ATCTTTAACACACAAAATTACATACAACTCTCACATATAAAAAAAAATAAAAAATAAAACAACTCTCCTTGAAACTCTAACACAACTATCGAGATTGCTCTCTCACAAAATGTGATGTCTTTATAGAAACTTTGTATAACTCTTTATACAAAGAGATATACAAAGGGGGCAACTATAGACACCACATTTTGTCCGGAACAGCCATCCACCTGAAACTGAAAATGAAACCCTGTTTAAAAATTAGAAGAGTGACTTGATATAGAAGTATGGATAAAATTGGTTAAGATTTGCAGTAGCAAGTCAATAAGTACCACTTGTTCCCAAGTTGCTTCTCTTGTACCATATTTGGTCCTAAATAGGTCTTGTATGATAACTAATTTTACATAGGTCTCGGATGAGATAAAATAGAACGAATGGTAATATACCGAATTTTATGGTCATGAGCCCAGTTGGGAATAATTTAGTTGTCGAGTTTGATCTAAAGATTGAAGTGAACGAGAGCTCAAATTTAATTTAGATTGAATTGAATTGGGTTTGAAAGGGTCGCTTGAACTTTATTAGACATTTTGCATTACATCGTAATAATTATCTAGCATTAAAGGCTAATGGCATAGAATATTACATGTATAATTACAAATAATGAATTACAAATTACACTAGGTAATTGTACATTTGAAAGAGGAACAAAGAGAAAGAAAATTGAATTTAAAACAAGGAAAAGTCCCTCTCGTTTGGGCACCAATCAGACTTTGACGCCCAACTCATTTTGAGTTCTTGGGCCTCCTTAGGTCATCACTTTGAGCAAAAAAAAAAAAAAACAAATCAGGTACCTGCAAAGACAAAGACAAAATCAGTGAGATAAGTCGAAACCCGAATTCAAAGTCTACAAGTTCAAACCAAGATATCAGAGCCAAGTTAAGCCAAAGACTAGACCGAGCCCGTTTAGAGGCCAACCAAAGACCCAAGTTCAGATCAGAACCAAGTCTCAAAATGTTCAAAAGCCCAGTTGGAAGGATGAAGTCAAACTCAGTTCACTTCAAGCCCAACTCCAGGCCCAAGTCGACCCAATCTTATCCACCCCTGACCAGTCAGAAGTCAGAACTGACCAAGCAAGGTGGAGCTCTCAAACACAGCCTCAAAATCAACCAAACACAATGAAGCAACGAGGCATGTTTTTGTTCTATAAATGAGCTCTATGGCGCACTTGTTAAAAGCACGACTGGAGGGAGGAGAAAAAGGCTACAAAAGACAAAATTTTGATAGGCAAAAAAAGACCTTGTTCTTTCTCCTTACTCTTTCTTTAGAGAAGCTCATTTCAGGTCAGAGATCTACTTGAAAGGAGCATAAAGGGGCAATATTAGAGCCAGAAATCCCAACAAGGTTGGTGCTTGTAATCTCAAGTTTCTTCTTATTAATGAGATCTCATGTAGTCAATTGTATGCTCAATTACAATACCGTTATAATCATCATTCTTCTTGCCTGTTTATCTCTATCAGCTTTATTTACTTCATGAGCTCCTTACATTCAAGACATCGGTTGAGTTTCTATAAGCTTCATTTTATGAGCTCCTTTACATTCAAGCCATCAGTTGAGTTTCTGATGACTCGATATTTGCACATGTTTTCCCCTTTGTTTCTTGATTGTTTAAGCTTGCATTATCTCTTATTTGGCATATTTTACGCTAGGTTGTGTTCCTTTGTCACATTTCAGGTCCTAGCACATAAAGTGAAGCGTAGGCGCAAGTTTCAAGTCAATCAGAGATCAATTGGCGATTCGGGGGGGGGGGGGGGGAGAAACTCGGGTATGACTTGAAGAAGAATGGATTTCTACATCATTTTGTGACCATAGAATCATGTAAGTTTGTCATGAGAAGAAATAGGACGAGACTACGAGCGTCTGGGATCAAACGACACCTGATTTGGAGTCCGAACGAGGGAGAAACGAAGAATCAAAATAGGGGACCCGAAATTGAAAAATACCCACTCAGTAGGTTAAAAATACCCGACCGGGTATTTTGGCCATCTGATAGGGGATTTTTAGCAGCATCAGAAGCCCCCCGGTCGTGAACCAAAAATACCCGGTCGAGTACCCAAAATACCCGACCGGGTCGCGAACGCAGGCTGTTAAAAGCATGTTTTGTGCGTTTTTGGAAGGGGAGAGCTGGGTTTTGGATCCCAAACACCCAAGGGACGAACCAAAGGGAGAGAGGGCGATTTGAGGGCATTCTTGGAGTGGAATTGGAGGATTTCTTTGCCTTGGAAGCTTGAGGAACAAGCCCGGACTTGAAGACTGATCATCTGAAGATTCTTACTGCAGTCTCTCTTTTCTCTATGGAGTAACTTCCCTTCACTTAGGTTTTGAGGAACCCTAGCTATGTTTGTTTGATTGGATGATTGTATGAGTACTCCTACTTGATAATCTTGAGTTCATATTCAATCTATGCACGTTTTCATGATTCAATTCTGCTTAAGTCGAGATTATTGATTCTCCGTTGATCCTATGAGAGCGAATACCTGATTAGGTCAATAGAGCACAATAGATTGATAGTATTGGATCGATTGCTTTAGTCGAGGGTCGATTCACTGCTTTGTATCAATTGAGAACCTCTTTCGATAGAGGGAGTCTAGTTTAGAATGCCTTGATCGGTTGTTCTAGAGAAGGATACGTCCCTCTAGGCAATCGACTCAAGAGGGCCTTGATCCAAGGTCTAGTCAAGGATTCTCCGCATTGTGAATGAAAGTGAAACAAGTTAGAAATCATCAATCATTAATCTGGCTAGTGGCTAGGGGGAATCATACCTAAGTGAGTTCCCAACCTGTAATTATATTAACTTTAACTGTAGTTTGTTAGAGTAGTTTTAGTTCTTCCATCTTAATCTGGTTTGCTAGATAATGAACTGAAGCTGAGTAATAGTAACTCTAGAGACCCGTAGATTCGATATTTATTACTTGAGCCACTATACTGCAGTCCCTTTCATTGGTTACACTTGGCTATTGTTAGGACTTGTGTCATAGTGAGTCAGTTTCTATCTAAACTTAACTTTAGTTTAAGTTGCAGCTTCTTTTTAAGCATATATAACTTAAACAAACATATAGCTTTCGATAGCCAAATTTCACCAACAGAAACCAATATGATTTTCGTTATAAAACCAAATCCAACAAAAATCAACATATCACAATAAATTTCATATTTTATAAACCCATAACTGTTTTTGAAAATTAACCTAATCTAATAAAAATCACAAGCAGCGGCTGTGAGATGGAAAGCGGGCTTAATTTTATATTTTTCAAAAATCAAAATCAGTGATTTATGAGTAATGACCATAACTGTAAAAATTCCTTCTTTTCCCTAAACCCTAGACCACGAATATGCAAACTCAACCACATTCACTAAAATCCGTATCTATGAACCAATTTAGAAACAACCAAGAATACGATCCTTTTTAACCTAATCACCCTAATCATACTAACTCGCGTTTAAGAAAGAAATCACCTAGATATGCATCGTTCATTTAACCTGCACCCAAATAGAACAAAAATCATAATCAATTAAAATCGGTAGTAAACCAAAGCAAATACAAAAATTTCTTACCAAATCTTCCACTCCTGTTGCCGTTCCTCCTTCTGTTTTCGCCACCGGCGACGCCACACAGTCTCCCCTCTCGTCCATAACCCCCACCAACAAGCCGAAAACCCGAATAAATAAAAATTAAGTCAAAACCAAAAAGTAAAAATAAATCTAACAAATAAAAGAAGAACCCCCAAACTTGCTCGTTCTTCTCCCCTCGTCGCCTGAGATCCTTGGCCCCATCGCCGACGACTCCTTCCCAAAACCCAGAAACCGTCAAGTCAAACAAAAGGGAAAGGTCAAAACCCGATTAAACCAGAAAAATAGAATCGGAAGGTCATGCATGTCGTTAGATTTCCTGGGTCGGAGCCTTTCTGGTCGGATTAACTCGACGTGAGCTGTTGTTTTGCCAAATCGGAAAAAAGGACGAGAGGAAGAGACGTCGTGTCTTTCTTATTCTCTTCTCTTGGTCGTGTTTTCCCATGATACAAGAGAAGGGTGAGAATCAGAAAGAGAGGCTAGGGAACGGCGGCGACGGACGGAAGAATGGATGAATCGAGCTCGCCGCCTCTCTTTCCTTCTGTTCTTGTTTTCGTGTTGTTTCAGAAGAGAGAGTCGAGAGAAGGGAAAAGAAATTAGAGAGAGAGAGAGAGGCCACTCGGCCTCTAGTGTTAGTGCGATTAGGGTTTTCTTTAGGGTAGTATATATAGTTTAAATATAATTACTAGATTGCCCCTAGGGTTACGTCGCAATTACGCAGCCGTGCCACCGCGTTTCTGAGCAATTACGAAATTTCCCCTCCCCTTTCTCTAAAACAAAAAAAGCAACGATTAAAATTGTGTGGCCGGGTTTCAACCCGTGTCCTCAGGAGCGAAGGCACCCTGTGTTGGCAACTTAGTCAGTTGGGTTGTTGGCCCATCATGCATCAATTTAACCATCCCGCTTAGTTTTATTTGTTTAAAGTCCTTAATACGAAATGTGAAATGCGGATTAAGTTTATTTTGCTTCTTCTCTAATACATCAAAATATATCCTAATAACTAAAATCCTTGCAATAATCAATTTAAATTTTACTAACAAAATTATATTACGAGAACACATTCAGTAGAACGTGGTAAAAATTATGATTAAACCTATCAAAGTCAACAAAACTATAATACGAGGATTACGTTCAGTGGAACGTGGTAAAAATTATAATTAAAATTATCAAAGTTCTAACGAACTACGTGGATTTTGATCCCATATTACGGGTATGTAGGCAACCGATAAGGTTCGAGTCCAACTAACCAATTAACTTTATCTTTTAATTTCTACGTCAGTGAGCGTATGATTAAATTACAATTAATACGATTTAATTTCTTTAGTGGTCTAGTAAGGCCCTAAAAGTACCTAAAACATCTAATTATAAACTAACACGTCAATGGACGTTTAGTCCGATTATACCTAATGAAATAGCAATTTCGTAATGATCTAGTGGGATCCTAAAATTATAAAATTATTACTAAAATACACCCAACTCGCATAAAAACTTATCGACTTAAGTAGTACCGATTTAGGGCGTTGTGGGGTGTGATTTCACTTCCTCACACGTAACCGTACTCCCGAACCCGAATCTCTTAATCGCAGATCACATCTCGGTTCTGACCCTAAGGTTGGAGCCGATCAGAAGAGTGTTCGGTCCACTCCAAGTAAGATCGATGGCGACTCCCAAAAATGTCGAGGCGACGACCCCGAACCCCTGGAGGGACGGTTGCGACAGTTCCTATTGCTAGGTTGGGCCAGACTATGAATGGGAGGACATATCATAGTGTGCTTAGTTATCGATTGGTGGTCTCGTTGTTTTCGGTATCTAAGCCCTGTCCTGCTTGTTCTCGTGTCTTTCCTGGTGATATCTTTGGGGATCATGTTGTGTCCTGTGCTGGTTCTGTGGGCATTAAGCATCAGCACAACCTCGTCTATGACACTTTATTGGACATCTGTTATAGGTCTGGAATTTCTGCTGGTAGGGAGGTTGATATTGGTTTGGTTGATGGGCATGGCGGACCCCTTCGCCCTACGGATTTGCTGCTTTATTCCTGGGACAGGGGGCGAGATGTGTGTGTAGATTTGACTGGATCTTCACCTTTGACTCAGACTGGGATGACTAGATTTGTGCCTGGCCGAGTTGTTGTTGATGCTGCTCAGCGAAAGTGTGTCAAGTACCGGGACTTGTGTATGGCAACTGGTTACGGTTTCCTGTTTTTTACTTTTTCTTCGCTTGGAGAGTTGGATACAGATGTCGTGGCTTTGCTCAAGAGGATCCTGAAATTCTCTATGTCTTAGGATGCAGGGGCCCGGGCGACCGCATATATTTTTACTAGACTTAGTTTTGCTATAGCTGAGGGAGTGGGGCTCCAGATTGTATCTCGGCTACCCACTAATTTTTTGTAGACCTTTGTTTGTTCTACTTCCACTCATATAATAATTAATATTATTATAGAAAAATAAAAAAACCAAAGAAACATAATAATAATAATAAAATAATAATAATAATAATAATAATAGTGTTATCCGAATGTGTTTAGTGGCTCAGCTTAGGTTTAATGTGGTGGTGGTTTAAGAAGATTTAAGGTAGGTATTGAGGTGAAAGTAATAGTTTTTACTAGAAATAACATAACTTTGTTGTACTTATGTTCAAATTATTTGTCGTAGTTATGTTTAGATGATTAATAACTTTTGGGTCTCGAATTGAGTTGGGAGGTATCATTTCATTCTCGTAACGTGAGTGAGTGTATCACAATATCAGACAAGTACCTCCTTCTCCTCGCAACGGTAGCATTTGTCTTTTCTTGATGTGAAGCAAAAATATTGTGATTTAAAGTTTCAAATGATTAATAATTTAGTTACTCCTTAATATGAAGCAAAAATATTGTGATTTCTTAGATCACAAATTTCAAATGATTAATAATTTAATTAACTCTTATATGAAGAAAAATGTTGTGATTTCTTAGAATCACAACAATGCAACAACTTTATAGAAGCGATACCCTTAAAAGCAAGTTCATTTCATCACCATCCAAATATGTCCGTTCAACCACCACTTCATATTCTTCATCTTCAAAAACAATATCCTCATCATAGAATAATGGGTTTGTACTTGTATTCCGAATTGAGGGAAATATTTTTTTTATGTAAAAAGTGAGGGAAATATTGAAAAGGTTAGGCAACTTCCTTTTTTTACGTTCCTTCCCTTGATTTTGATTAAGCATGCCTCCAATTATCTAATTTTGTCTCAAGGCGTTTAATCACAACTAGGCACCGTCTAGGCTTATGAATACCTTTTTTTTTTCTTTCTTAGGATCTAGTTGGCGGGTTTTGTTGTCACCTAAATACTTAAGCACACATAGATGTACAAGAAATTACACGTTGGATTTTAGTAACCCAGATATTGACATTGGAGTTGTATGTATGCTTAAACTAGTAAACAATAGTCGGCATGTATAGGTGGCTTAAATACTGTGCAAATGCACACATTACTAGAATAGGTTTACTTATAATATCATATCTTTACATTATTACTGGAACTACTTTAATGTATAATATAGATCACCCAATCCACTCTCAAATTGCATTTGGACTTCCATGGAAAACCGATCGAATTTCCTAAATTTCTAAATGTCAGAAGGTGATGGAGCATAATCTTGGGTTACATACGAAGATTGGTGACCGACATATTATATAATCTCGAATAAGGCCATTTGCAAGGTAGTATCTAACTCGGTTCAAAGGAGGTGGCCTGCTTCCAATAAATCTCATCAGCCGATTCAATGGCTAAGTCAAGCTCCTATATAAGGTAAACTTCTGTGCATTTCATTTCTAGTCATGTTTTTGGTGTTGAATACAAATACGATAAACACATTATATGGTGGATTCCTTAGGCGTTAGATAAACCCCCAAGAGAACGAACTGTAAATTTTATATACAAATTACAAATTTTGTGATAATCATTTGCAAACGATAATGGTGTATTGTATACACCCAGCTATTAAGCTTTGATTTTTTTTTTTCTGTTATAAATTATGAACTTTTATTAACAATTTACAAATGATAATGGTGTATTATATATACTTATAAACTAGACTTGTGTAATAAGTAATAACACATAACTTAAATCCAAAATAAGTTAAGTGAAAGCTGAAAACCAAGAATTGTAAAGTCGTACCAGAGTTTGTAGACTAAAGTCAGCGGTGGATATTTGATATTGAACCATAATTTAATCGTAATTCAATTGTTTCGTACCGCTAAAAACCGTCTATCATTTTTGTCTCCAATAAGAGATTTTCTCAATCAAACTACAAGTATTGGTTTTACAAACACTGATAAAAACCACATTCAAATACAATCAAATTGGGCCAAACAAGCTGGATCCAAACAATATATACTCAGATTCAGGATTGGGAGGGGCCTAGTGATAGCGCTCTTTGCTATGGAAAGTTAGAAATCCGCCAAAACGGAGTTGGGCTGATTAAACTATGCGAGCAGATAGTTCGGCCACGGAACTAATAATAACAGCACTTGAAAATGACATCCATGAACTGAACAAGTGGCTCGGCAAGAACAACAGGTCGACGAATCCCGTCGATTATTATTGCTTTCGTGAATCAGTTCACCACAGGCGTGGCAGCTTATGCTCTAAAGTAGCAGTAAAATATTATGAACACTTGGCGTCAGCAGATAACAGAGGATCTTAAACCAGCAGTTTGTCAATACAATTGTTGCTGTAATCCTTTCTTAGCAAGGACTGCAGATCCAAGGCATCTCACTAATGTACACAGAATTCGTTACAGCTATGAATTTTGCCTACATCTTCTTCCCGTTTCCCCGATCGCTTGACATCCTTGCTGGTTTTGCTGTCTCCCTGCAAACACAGCAGTAACTCAGAAAAAGGTCTCACAAGCATAACCCCCCAAACACAAACGACAATGGTTGCAGAAAAAATTCTAATACAAATGTTGAATGAAGACAGGGACAATTCGTAACATCATTGCATTGGATTGGAGATTATCAAATGTCAATTGGGAACTAAGGAATCATATACAGGCAGGGCCAAACTTATGAGAGCAACTAGTACAATTGGTTGCTTTCATTAGCTTCAGCAGCTCCCATGGAAAAGCCCAAAGAGAAAAGTGGGAAAATGGAGGATAACAATGACAGTTTTGGGTTCTGCTTTATGTATATATGTGATTTATTGTGGAAGGGGTTTTCTTTCCAACCAAAAAGAGATTCCAAAGCAAACACAAAGAAGAAAAATCTTTCCCACAAAGAACTAGTAGAAGGAATCCCAACTTTCCAGCAGGCAAGGCAGGGGAATAAAGTCCACACCCCACTTTCCCCAAATTAACATCTTAGAACTAACCAATTCGCCATAATAACTCGAGTCACCGATCTTAGAACTGACCGTTTCGTGGCAGTAATCAAGTCGTCGAGGGGTAAGAAACAACATCAAATAACCAGATATAAGATATTGGATAGGAAGTAGGCAGAGAATGAATGATCACTTACAGATGCTGATTTGAAGACTGGACAGCAGAAAAGGGATCGAAATTAATGGACAAAAGTGACATCTTGGCAATCTCAGAAACAGCACCATCACGAACAGCAGCAGCATCGCTAACCAAAGCTTCATAAGCAGCTTCGAAAGCTTCTTCCCAGAAACGAGGCAGCCTCCTGTTCTTGCTGTGCATATACACATCCCACATATGCTTCACCACCTTCTCCCTCTCCTCCACTTCCTAATAAAAAACCCAGAAAACCCCACAAATCAGAAAATCAAAATTCTCAAATCTTTTTTACTCACTTCCCGAAATTTCTTGGGAGCTTACGAGGATGTCGAAGTCGTCGTGGGTGGGAATGTCGAGCTCGTCGGAGAGGCGGCTGAGGAGATTGCCGGTGGACCACTTGAGGGTGACGGTGCCGGTGACCATGGACCAGAAAGCGAGGAGGAGGAGTACGGATATGACCCAGAACTTGTAGGGAGTTTTGCCGAACACTACGCCTGCATCTGAGTGCTCTTTTCGGGCAGGGATTGCGGCGGTTCCGGTGCCGCCAGGGGAGGTGGAGGCAGTGGCTGGGAAGAGTTGAGATGTCGGAGATATAGTTTCCTTCATTGTTATGGCAGGAAGCTCGATCGAATTGGTCGTGAATGGTGCCGGCGAGAGTGTGAGTGAGTGGCAGAGTGAGGTGAGGTTTTTAGAAGAGCCGAGGAGTGAACGCGGAAATAAAAGGAGAATGTAGGAAGAGAATTATTATTATTTTAAGTTTGGTGGGCTATCGTCATCGGAACGGTTGAATTGTAGTACTTGTATTGAATGCAGGGAACTTGCTTACGCCGTGTTTGGATAATAGTGGAATTTTGGAAGGATAGATTGATTCACTAGGGAAAAATATATCGATAGTTCGTGTAAGTTAGGTTAAAGTTTGGGAAGATATTTGGTTCAGTTCGATAAAGGAATTGAACAATTTTTTTATGGTTAAATTGAATATATTTGAGTTCAAATTAAAAAAAAAATTCTTCGGCTCAGTTCGATAAAAGAATTTCTCATACGAGTATAAATTAAAAAACTCTCGAAGAATATTCTTTCTCCGAAGAACATGATTTTTTTATTTTGCGATCTCGCAATTTGATGAATTCAGTCGTGGATGAATGAAGAGGAAGACTACTTTTGGAAGAAGAAGGAAAATGGTTATAGTAAAAGAGAGAGAGAAAAAAGAAGGAAAAGATTTATCGTCGGAGAAAGACAAATGAACCTCTATATTGTTATCGTTGTTTAAAACAATTACTATTCTTTACGTTCTAAATTGAATAATAAAAGTTTAATTAATTGTGTGCTAAGGTAATCAAGACATATGTACCTATATTAACTCTTAAAATAATTATAGTGAAAATGGCTATTCAGAAGGTTTGGCTATTATTTAGCATAAAAATACAAAGATTGGTTGTTGAATTCTTTTTTAGTCCTACCGTTTGTTTGGCAAACATGTTAGTCCGGTAAGCATCATTTACTATGTCATAGCCAACTTATATACACTCTCTTTCTATTTTCCACTCCCTCACTTTTTTCCAACAAATTTTTGGAACCACTTCAAAACCACATCCAAACATGGCCTTAGTTAGACTTGCCACTTGCCAAGGTTATACTACTATTATGGAGAGGCGGAGGCCACAGCTACCCCAAGTGGGCATTTCATTGGCCGACGGAATGGGACCCTACGCTACGCGTTTATGTATAGTATTGGTGCGGCTAAGTGTTTGACCTCTTCTTTGCCCGACACTCTTATCTTATATATCTTATTATTATTCACAAGTCTCTGTAGCTTTCACACTCCAGACACCAATTTCCTCTCCTTATAGTTTATGCATTTCTATCTTTCAATGAATTTCCCATCATCGTAACAACCAACCAAACCCTCACTAAGAGATAGATGTAGTCAATCATGAGATCCGAGGAAATGCAGACCTCGGTCGGACCACTACCACTTCCAAATAAGACGATACTGGTCTTGCTTATTGGCCGAACAAGTTACACAATTGGTATCGGGGATGTTAAAAAATATTTGTAACGATGGATATTCGTCCGAACTCGAAGGATATTTAGTGAGTACAGGTAAAATTCAAACTCGAATGTTGTCGGTAATGGGTGAGCATGAGTTTGTCACTATCCAACCCGAACCTACACATGCATATGTATTTTGTCTAGAAATAATTATTATTTGTCTCTAACATGTTTTATATTTAGCATATAAATATAATATTTTCATGAAATTATGTAGTTTTAATTAAATTTTTTTCATTCTAGTGAATTATTGTCGTAATTTTCCTCTTACGAAATGTGAGAATACGTGTGAATGTTAACATATTGGTTGGAGTTATGAAGAGAAATTGTTAACCACGGATAATCGTGGATACCCGAAACCCGAACGGGTATGGGCATAATTTTGATTTTCTACCCGTTTCGCATGTGGGTATGAGTAAAACCCGAACTACTTTGAGTACGGTAACGGATATGCACTATCCGCTGCGATCCGACCCATTGCCATCCCTAATTGGTATTTAGTGACACTAGAATCCCGTTGGAATGGATCTGTTAAAATAATACTTCATAAGATATTACAATTCATACTCACGGGTATTTTTCATGAGGCACTGGTCTGGTGAAGTCAACCCATATTCGAGCAGTATATTCATGTTTGCCTCGTCCTGCATGCGCGTGAAGTATTTTTTTTTTTTACAAAAGATAATAATATATTGATCAGAGAAAAGGTAATTACATCCTGGAATTGAGCCAGGCCACAAAATCAAAGAAACGACTTGCAGACATGTACAAGAGAATGGCTATTCGAGCCACCAAATGGGCTACCCTATTATTACGCCGACCTACAAACTGTACACTAAACCCTCGTTGGTTAGATAAGCAATGTAGAACTTCCTCTAGAAGGGCACCAATCCGACTATCTCTAACCTTAGAGTGGTTGAGTTTATCAACTATCACCTGAGCATCTCCTTCGAATCGTACGTCTTTAAACCCAGCCGCACTACACCAATGAACTGTTTCCCGGAGCGTGAGCACCTCAGCAACCAGAGGGTCATCAATGACACCAAATTGAACACCCTTAGCCCCTACAACCATCCCAGCCGAGGTTAGGACAATCATTCCTCCTGCAGAATGAGAACCACGTTTGGTAGCCCCATCCCACTTACAAATGAACGACCCAGGACTGCCAGTCCCCAGCAGAGGACTAGCACTAACAGGGGGTTGCGACTGAGCCCTATCCCCAGACAAGCTTATCCATTCCCGATACTGTTGATTAAATTGACGCATGAGTGTTGGGATCCCAAACTGCTTGCCCTAAAAAACAACCCAATTACGTCTGTAAACTGATTGCCAAACAAGACGATCCTCAACATCCTCCCAGGGGAGAGGAATCTCCTTATTAGCCCGACATGTCGGGGGATCAAACCACTGGCTCAGCTTCGAGTCGCACCAATGCCCTTCCCCCGAGTATATGATCTCAGCCACCAACAGGCAAAACCCGCGGGTTATGGAAAGGGTTTTCCGAATGTAGCCGAGGCACCCAGTTATTTCCCAGCAAAGGAGCAGAACGACCATTGCCAATTTGCCACCGAAACCCCTTAATTAACAGTTGACGACCAAAGAGAATGCTTTGCCAGCCCCAGGACGGGCGAGATCGAGCCGTGGCCTCGAGGAAACAACCCTTGGGAAAATATTTACCCTTATAAACCTGGGCCAGAAGAGAAGTTGGATCATTCAGGATCCGCCAGCCAATCTTAGCAAGAAGCGCCTGATTGAAATGCTCAAATCGGCGAAATCACATCCCTCTATCATGTTTACTCCTGCACATGTTACGTCGAGACATCCATCGGATTTTAGACTGTCCATTCTCCACTCCCCACCAGAATCTGGACACATGTCTATCCAATAGGCGGTAGAGCGAAAGAGGGAGACGAAAACAGGACATAACATGTAAAGCCAAAGCCAAAGCCACCGATTTGATCAAGGTCTCCTTCGATGCCCAAGATAAATTCTTCTACTTCCATCCCTGGAGCCGAGCCAAAAGCTTTTCTTCCAGATACCTAAACGTATCCATTTTGGACCAGGATATCAAGGTAGGCAATCTTAAGTATTTATCATGAACCCCCACTGCACCCAATCCCAGGATTTGGGCGAGGAACTTCTGATCCGAGAGAACAATATTTTGACTAAAACAGACCGCTGACTTGGCCAGGTTAACCTGCTGTCCACTAAACTCCTCGTATTCATTGAGCACCAGAATCAAGTTTTTGCATAATTGAAGTGATCCCCGGAGGAACAAGTACGAATCATTAGCGAAGAATAGGTATGAGATACGAGGAGACCGAGGGGAGACCTTGACTCCTTCCAATGTCTTTTCCGAGATAGCTTTCCGGAGCAGGGCTGCAAACCCCCTATACAAAGCACAAACAGGAGGGATGATACAAATATCCCTACTGGAGCCCTCTCGAGACTGTGAAAAACCCTTTCGGAGTGCCATTCATCATAACTGAAAACGAACTTGATCGGAGACACTCATGAATCCACCATTTCCAAGTGGAATTAAATCCTAACTTGTCCAAAATCGCTAGGAGAAATGGTCATTCGACTCTATCATAGGCCTTTTCCATGTCAACCTTAAGAGCCATGTACCCTTTCTTTCCTCGTGTTTTGATCTTCAAGTAGTGCATTAATTCATGCCCTAGAAGGACATTTTCTACAATCTAGCGTTCATGAATGAAGCCATTTTTGTCCTTCTGAAACAATCCGAGGTAACAAGCCAACCAGACGCTCAGCCATAATCTTGGTGATGATCTTGTACACAAACTGGCACAGGCTGATAGGGCGGAGTTGCCTCATGCTATCCACATTGTCAACTTTCGAGATTAAAGTCAGCCAGGTATGATTGAAGCTGCGTAGCATTCTACCAGTGGAGAAGAATGAACAAACAGCGGCTATGACAGACTCCCCGACAATGTACCAAAAATATTTGAAGAACTTTCCCGTGAAGCCATCAGAACCCGGTGCTTGCTTCAATCCCATGGAGAAGATCGTCCTTCTTACTTCCTCGGGAAGGACTACTGCCGTGAGACTGGCATTCATTTCATCAGTGACCCGACGTTCTATTGGTAGCATGGACACCCGTTCTCCCATGTTAGGCACCTGGCTTTCTGAGGAAAAAAGAGAGTGATAAAAATCTGTGGCAATATATGCCTTACCTCCCTCCTCTGTTATCCACTCTCCCGCATCATTACAAAGGCCCGCCACAAAATTATGTTTACGACGAGCTCTAGTAACCGTATGAAAATACGTCGAGTTCTTATCCTTTTTTTAACCAACGGACCCTTGATTTTTGTTGCCAGTAGATTTCTTCCACTTCCCACTGCCCATTCAGCTCTGTTTCCAGGGTCTTCACGGTATCCCAGTCAATCGGGACTACCAGTTTGACTCGGTCTATTTCTGCTTGGATGGCCTTTATATTGTGGAGAGAATTAGTAGTACCCGCCCTGCTCCAATCATAAAGCAAATGTCGGAGTTTCTTGAGTTTTTCCAACAGCTGATACATAGGCGTCCCTGGGATTTCCTCCTGCCAGACATAGGTGACCATAGTCTTGACTTCCGGATTGTCAGTCCAGTGGGCGTCGAATCGGAATAACGGCCGGCTATTGCGTATGTATGGTTTGTCGGATAGAAGCAAGGCACGATGGTCCGATCCTTGATCAGTGAAGAGGTCAATCCAGGTCTGAGAGCAAAGAGCCCTATCAAGATGCTCTCTGATACAAGCCGTCCCCCATTCGCTTATTCGTCCATGTAAACTGGTCACCCTGATACCCAGGATCATGGAGGCCCAAATCATGGACAAAATTGCGGAGATGGATGGCATGGGAGGCGTTCCAAGGGTTTCCACCATCTTTTTTGCTCGCCTGGAGAGTTATGTTGAAATCTCCTATGAGCACAAAAGGTAACGTGATGCCCTCATAATTCTCCCGCAACTGAGCCAATTGATTAGCTCTTATTGCTTCAACACAACTAATGTAGACGGACACCACAACATATGAAAATTCCACTTCATTAATTTGAGTACAAATGCAGAAGTTGGAATGGAAAAATACGGAAGCATTAACTTCGGGGGCCCAAGCTAAAACAAGTCCACCGGAAGAATCGATGGCATCAACACAAAAACAATGAAAATTATCAAAACCTAATCCCCGCATACGACGGGAGACGACTCGCCAGCGCGATCTTGTTTATGAAAAGAAAACAATGTCCGATTTATTAGAATGAACTAAACAGACAGCAGTTTGAAATGTGAGGGATGGCCCAATTCCTCTCACATTCCATGAGAGAATCTTCATTTATCTTATTGGGGCCATTTTTGGCTGGCTACCTCCACCTTATCAGAATCATCTTCCACAAACTGCTTCTTGGAGCTGGGATCATCACCCAGATCCCCATCCACCTCACTCAATGGGCGTTTACGACTGCCAAAATCCGGATCAACAAGGTTGGACCCATATTCATTGAGTTGGCCAACTTCCCAGCCTTCATTATCTTCCTCCCAATCCTTCATCCCTTGCACAAGTTCCGAAGCCGGAGCATTATTCCCTTGGTCATCATCCCCTGTTTTGATGTGCAACCCGGATTCAAAAGCAACCACAACCTGCTGAACTCTTCCCTTCAATCTCTGAGGTGCCGGCATGGTTGTCTTCCTGGGTGCCCGAGTTTTAATCTCAAAGCGGAAAGCATTATCCTCCGAGGAGGGATCCAACAAATCCTCCTCATCCTCAGTGTAATTTTTACGATGATTATCATTAGCCCCCTTGGGAAGAGGATCAATCGCAGCTTTCACAAGTCTCCGCATGTAGCCCTTCGCCACCGTTTGAGCTTGGTTAGCTAGTCCCTGCTCCTTCACTTGAGGCTCCATTTCGTCTTCAGATTCAGCCAGGATCAGCTTCCTCCAAAAAAGTCGAGTTGGGCTCGGCGCAGCAGGGGCTGAGTGAGCCGCAACCGACCTTTCTTTTTTTTTATTCCGACCCACATCCGAACCCCTCATCCCGGGTTTGATTTGGTTGGGCTGTCCCTTCCTTCTTCCGCCCAAATCTCGCTTTGGGCCTACTTCCACAACAGGATCGCCCCACATGGTCCCAGCTCGGCTTTTCAACGGGGAGCGTTGGCGTATGAGGCGACCAGACCTAGCCCGCGGTGACCTCTTCACATGTAAGCCTCTTGCACTTCGTCTCTTGTGACTGAAAACAGGCTTACCCGAAGCAGGCCTCGGGCTCGCTCTCCCTTGCGCAGCACTCTGTCGGTCTTCAAGGCCCAACTAAGCGACCCCTCCTTGGAGTCGATTTTGCACGTGTCCATCCATGCAATCTCCCATAGGGGTGGGCAACGGGAAACGGGTAATTGGGTATACTCGTCCCGTTCTTTGAGGGTTACGGGTACCCAAATATCCGTAATTTTTTGTACGGGATGGGACTTGGGATCAAGAATCGCTACTTTGGGTACTCACGGGTTACCCGTTAATACCCGTTTGGGTATTACGGGTACCCGTTGTACCCATTAGTCCAAAATTCTTGCAAGTGATTCTGATGCTCGTTGGTGGCGGCAACACTTCACCTTCATCATCAAATTAATATGCCTGACTCAGAAGAATAACATAACAAGAGAAACGAAGAATTGAAGAAATTGAACTTATTGCCATGTTTACTTCTATTTTCCCTTATCTTGGTAATGGCAGTACTCTTGATCGATCATAACTGGGTTGGAAATATTGATCATGCATGGCAACGAGCAAACATTAATTCCTATAACGTCTTCTTCATCTGGACAATTCTCTAGACTTCCTATATTGTTTATAGAGTAGACATTGATTCTGAGAGATAGTGGAAAATAATTTTTGATAGAATTTTGGAGCCAAAGAACAAAGGTTCTGCTGCGTTTCTTCCACCAATTGACGGGTATATACGGGTAGTATGGGTACCCGTTATCCGTCCCATATGGGTAACGGGTACCCGTTAACCGTACTGGTTTGGGATATGGGATGAAGATTGCTCTCTAAATGGGACTGGGTACCCGTTTAGATTGCTCTCTAAACGGGAAGGGTATCCTGTCCCGTCCCGTTGCCCACCCCTAATCTCTCAGCGCCATGTTGACCCATACAGACTTTGATTTGCCACGGAACTGTTGAGCATCATCCTCCGAGTCATACAGTCGAATGCCCAGTTTCTTGGTGGACATGTGCGGTCCAAATTTTTCCTTACCGGCTGGGGGTTCAAAAGTACAATCATTGATGAAGTGCCCTACCCTCCCACAATTGAAGCAGAATGATGGTAAATATCTGTACTTCAATGAGACCCAGAAACACCCAGTATCATCATTGACCGCCATAATTTGTGATCGCAACGGTTTGGTGAGGTCTATCACTGTTCTCACTTTCACAAATCGCTCACCAGTTTCATGACTAGCAAAAACCCCAGCCTCCAGGACCTGGCCGAGTTTACTTGTGGCCATCTTCCTCTCGAACTATTGCGTACAACAATCCTCCTTCACGTCCCACATCTGTACACGCAAAGGGACCATAGCCAGGTCATCATAGAGCTTTTTCGAGATGTTCGTCGTCCATGATCTCAAGTGTAAGATTATGTCGTTAACCACCCACGGCGTTCTTTTAAGAACCCAGGTTTTAGTCTCCTCGGAGGGCAGAGTAAATTCAAATAAGCCATGTTTGGTCAGAACCACTTTCAATTTCCCTTTCACCTGCCAGTGCGTGATGACAACATCCCTAACTTCCATTGTGGTGATCCGTTTGTTGGTGAAGAGACAGCCCAACAGCGAGTGCTTAGTGTGGTATTTGGAAGATTGCACTGCTTCCATCGAGAATTGCACCACCTGGTCGGAGGAGACACGAGCCATCATACAAGCTTGGGAACACGAGAATGAGTCTGAATTAGTATCGAGCCGATTCACCTTAATTGGCGTCAGACTCGTCGTGGGTAGGACTTCCATGCGTGTAGCATGCATGGTCTCCACTGCCAAGGCCCTGGCAATGCCAATAATGCCAAGCTTAATTGTAAATAGGGAGGAGGGAAAGAAACTAATACCTTGAGTTGGAGGGCGTTTGGGAGTCGATCGGGAGACAACTGCTCTTTGCGGACGCTCGACGCTACGGAGGGTAGTGAAAAACATTCATGGGAAAGGGTTTTTAAAGGGAAGAGCAAAGGCGGCCCCCGAGTGAAATACTCCAACTCGGTTTATGTTTATTTGTTTTATTTCCAGCGTAGGACTCTTATTCCGAGTAACCAAAAATTTTGGATAAACAAGGGAAACTCTGAGAATTGCCGGATTAGTATCTGGGGGAAATATTCGCCCAACGAATCCACTTCGGGTTTCCACCGGCCTGTGATGCGGTTTGCCACCGTCGTTAGGTTCCCGGCCTGGCTACGCGTTTTTCGGGGTGCATGGATTGGTTGTCATCCCATAATCAGGAAAGGTAGTTGGAATATGGGCTTCGCCATCAGCAGCGAGGCTTTTGCTGTCGCCGGTCCCGGTAGGCACCGGAGAAATAACTACCTCCTGGATTCTTTATCAACCTCCATCGAACTAGGGAGCGAGAATTGCCAAACGCTGTCTTTCATCTCGCGTCTTTTTTTTAGCAACCCAGTGATATACTCCTCGATTTTAACCTGAGTAGCATCTAAGAGTCGTTTACCAACACTTATTTTAGGATGGCATTGCATATTGGCTACATAGCCATGTTGCCGATCACGGATTCGATTCCGCCGACGACTTGGGGGGTTCACTTTGTTTACATCCCCCATATTTAAGTTGCCCATCGGAAGGCGATGCAGCGAGTCTTTGCGGGTCTCTCCACCTGCCTTCCGCTGTCGAAATGGATTCTTAAGGCTAAACATAAGGATCGCTGCGTATCAAGTATTAACTGCCCAAAAAATGTCAAAAAAAATGTCAATTATAAAACCAAGGATTGTCAAACCATACTCAAGATTGTACTGGCAAAGTCAGACAACAATAAGGTATTTTGTTCTAAAATCATGATTTAACTATGATTCAACCTTGGTTTAATCTCTAAAAAATTGTCTACTGGTAAGGCTCCAGTATAAGGAGCTCCCAATTGGACTGCTGGCACGGGATGGTTCTACAAACACCGTACAAAACACAGTACCGTAAGGCCTGCATCTCCATATCTGGTTGAGGTATTTCACCACTACTGTCACGCAGTACATGATTTAAACAATGAAGAACTGAAACAAAAAGAGATGGCACATTCCATAATGGTACGAAGGCTGCTAAACATTACATGATTACTCCCCTCCTTTGCCCCCTCTATCTCGTTCAGGGTTGAAAACAGAACCTGAAGCCAACTTTTGATAACAGAACATGAGCCAACACTCAACCTCAGGGAACCACAAGCTCAATGTTCAATGTCCAATTGCACTATGAAGCATAGATCTCTCTACAACTGCACTGTAATGAAGAATCGATCAGTTCCAAGAAGCCATTAGCAGCAGCTTGGTATCGAAGAACACACTCTACAGAGAAGCTGCTGCTTACTTGAAGAACAGAGCACAAGGAAGAAGGAACGTCGTCGTTCTGGTCTTGTCCAAAGGCAAGAAGAAGCTTTGTACCAAAAGACTAGAACGGCAGCGTTCCACTTGGGCGTTGTAATTAGTTCAGCCTTTACACGTGTATAGTTTCCATAGGCTAGATTAGAAAGTTAGTTTTCCATTTTTACTGTTTCAATTTAACCGTCAGTTACTTTACTTTACTCTTCCTCTGTAAATACTTGAGCTATATATATTGCAATCAGAAAACGAAGGTCCTCAATCATTGAGAACCCTTCACCAAAAACCCTATTTATACATTTCTTCTCATGGTATCAGAGCCTGGTTAAGGCAAAAACCAGGTCTCATTTCCTTTCCAAAACCCTAGCCGTTCTTTGTGGTGATTTCATTTCACCATGTCAGGTCAAGGAGCAAGAATCGATGGTCATCTCACTGACGATGCTGATACTCAAGCTTCAGAGGATGAGATCCATCACCAAGCTGCGTCTCAAAGCTCTCCCACTGGACGTCGCATTGAACCACTCGCAGCTCAGCCTTTTGGAGCACAGCACTTTGCGACTCAGCCCAACACACCTCGCTTTCCCCAGTATGAAGATCCATACCTGAACCCTTATTATTTGCCCTCTCGTGATGGAGGACTGACCACCATCATCTCTATGAAGTTAACAGATCATAACTATAATCTGTGGAGCCTAGTTATGGAGGTAGCTCTCAGTACCCGAAACAAATTTCAATTTGTTAATGGAATGATTCATGTTCCTACTGTTGGGGATCCATTATGTTAGTCATGGCTTAGATGTGATGGAACTGTGCGTAGTTGGATTTACAATTCATTGTCTGAGGACATTGCAAACAGTGTTGTTGCTTTCAAAGTTGCAAAAGATGTATGGGATAGCTTGAAAGACAGGTTTAGTCAGGAGGACAACATGAGAGTTTATGAGTTGAAAGAGCAGATTGCAAAGTGTGTTCAAGGAGATCTGAGTGTTACTCAGTATTATACTGCCTTAACCACAAAATGACAGAAGTATAAGATGTATAGACCCATCTCATGTTGTCCATGTCCCAATAGTCCATTCTTCACCATTCAGAAGTATGAGGATCAGGACTTCATTATCAAGTTTATGCAAGGATTAAATGATGTTTATCAGTCTGCTAGAACTCAGGTGTTGATGAATGCACATTTGCCAAGTATTGAGTCACTTTTCAAGCAAATGGTGCAACTAGAAGGACAAATGAAAGGAATGAATTCAGCAAAAGGAAGAGTGGATTCTCTGGCTCTACTAGCCAGTGGTCACTCACAATAGTCAAAAACTGGACAACCTAGTAAGAATCCTAGGGACTACACCACTGAAGGAAAGAAGTGGTGTAGGTATTGCAAGAAAGAAGGTCATATAATTGTGGATTGCTACATGCTTAAGAACAAGAAGAGGCAAGAAGGAGAGCAACCATTTGCTGGTTCAGTTGATACCACTCTTTCTGAGACTGGGGGATCTTCCTATGCACACAACTCTGGTGCAAGGAATGACATGAACATTCAAAGTCTTCTGACCCCAGATCAGTTTGAAAAACTGAAGCTCATGTTGACAAGCTCCCCTTCACCATCTCCTTCACCTCCAACTTCACCTCACCTGCCAGCTGCTACTGTAGGAAGAGTTCCTACAACTTCACACACACATCAAGCTTCTGCAAACGCTGCTGTGAGAGTTCCTCCTCACTTCACAGCTAGTTCCAGTTCAGCAGGTAAACAACCCTATTCTGGTATGCTTGATTCTTTGCACAAGTCTGAATGGGTGCTTGATACTGGAGCTACAGATCACATTATCTGTAGCCTTGGTTTCTTCATTAGAAGTAAACCAGTTGAGAATGTGTATGTGAATCTTCCAAATAGACAACAGGTTCAAGCTACTCACATAGGGATTGTTTGTCTGCCTTGTGGATTATTCCTCACTCAAGTTCTTTTTGTTCCAGCCTTTACTTACAATTTGGTTTCTGTAAGTAAACTAACCCAAAATCATCCAGTCTCATTGGTTTTTAAATCACATTCCTGTGTCATTCGGGACCTTATTACTCGGAGGAGGATTGGTTTACCCAAGTGGATAAAGGATTATACCTGTTTTGCCAATCCAAAAGTCAACAGTTTGAGTCAACTAGAGTTCATCAGCCATTTGCAGCAGGAGTTTCCCATGTTCAAACCTCAGAGTCCAACATCTGGCATGCTAGATTAGGCCATCCTTCCCTAGCTAGAATGAGAGATGTTAAAAACCATTGTAATGAGGTTGTTTTACCATTGACAAAACACTGTGAAGTTTGGCACTTATCCAAACAGAGAAGATTACCATTTCCTTTAAGTTCTGAATGCTTTGATCTTTTACATGTGGATATCTGGGGTCCATTAAACAAAGCTTCTCGAAGTGGTTTTCTTTATTTCTTAACTGTGGTTGATGATCACAGCAGAGTTGTTTGGACTTTCCTCATGAAATCCAAATCAGAAACCAGAACCATCTTGCAATCTTTCTGCAGAATGGTTAAAACACAATTCTCTAAATCTGTTAAAACAATTCAATCTGACCAAGGTCAAGAGTTCCATATGACTGATTTCTATAGTCAAAATGGAATTTCTCATGAAATGAGCTGTGTTTATACTGCCCAGCAAAATGGCAGAGTTGAAAGAAAACACCAGCATCTTTTAAATGTTGTCAGGTCTTTGAAATTCCAATATGGTCTTCCACTCTACTATTGGGAGGATTTTATTCTCCATGCAGCCTACCTTATTAACAGAACCCCCACTCCCATTCTTAATCATAAAACTCCCTTTGAAATTCTTCACAAAGTTCCACCAGATTACATGAGTTTGAGAGTTTTTGGATGCCTAGCATATGCTACTGCAGTAGAGGGACATAAGTACAAATTTGATCCAAGGGCACGAAAGTGTGTTTTCTTAGGATTTCCTACAGGAATTAAAGGCTTTAAACTATTAGACACAAACACCAGAAATGTGTTTATCTGTAGAGATGTTGTGTTTTATGAAGATTACTTTCCATTCAAAACCAATGAGCACTTAGATAATAGTTCATCTGAAGGTGAGTCACTCAATCTCCCTTCCTACTCAGAGTCTTTTTCTCCTCAGGATGACCCTTGTTCTGGTCAACCTTCCCTTGTTGTCAACCCTGCAGTAGAGAATTCTTTCTCACCTACTGCAACACCCACTTTCTCACATCCTGCTGCACAACTTTCTGATTCTGACTTAGATGATCCACCTGATCCAGTTTCTTCCTCTAATCCTTCTCCTTCACCTATTTCCCCATCTCCAGTTCTTCCTTCTCCTTCCCCACCTGTAGAGCCTGTTAGAAAATCTACAAGGCAGGTTGTTTTCCTTCTAAATATAATGATTAATATGTGAGTATGGCTCAAGTCTGTTGCTCTCCTTTGTTGTCACCTGAACAGCAACACTTTGCTTTTTCTCTCATGGCTGTTGTTGAGCCTGCTTCCTATGCTGAAGCATTACTTGATCCTCGTTGGCAAGCTGCCATGAGAGAAGAGATCCAAGCTTTATATGACAATCAAACTTGGGAGATCACAGACTTGCCTGGGGGAATGAAGGCCATTGGCTGTAAATGGGTATTTCGTGTCAAATATCACCCTGATGGAAGTGTTGAAAGATTTAAAGCCAGATTAGTGGCCAATGGATATAATCAAGTCTATGGAATTGATTATTGTGACACATTTTCTCCTGTTGCAAAGTTGACATCTGTCAAAATGTTGTTAGCAATTGCATCTATCCAAAACTGGCATTTGCATAAAATGGATGTCAACATTGCATTTTTGAATGGTGATTTGGATGAAGTTGTGTATATGGAATTGCCACCTGGGTTGAAGGAGAAACCAGAATTAAGAGGCAAAGTTTGTAGGTTAAAGAAATCTCTTTATGGGTTTAAACAGGCTAGCAGAATGTGGTATGCTAAGCTGACTGAAACCCTGTTAGCTCATGGCTTCAAGCAATCCAGTGCTGATTGTTCCATATTCCTTTCCACTGTGGAAAATTCACTTGTTGTCTTAATAGTCTATGTTGATGACATAGTTATTGGGAGCATCAGTTTAAAGGCAGTTGAAGCAATGAAGTGAATGTTGAAATCAGTTTTCAAAATGAAGGATTTAGGTGATTTAAAGTACTTTCTTGGCTTAGAGATTAACAAGGTTGATGGTGGGATACATGTAAGCCAAAGAAAGTACTGCATTGAACTCCTAAGAGAGGCGGGATTTGAAGAATGTAAACCTGCAAAGACTCCTTCCTGTGTTAAATAGGTTCTATCTGCTCAAGATGGTGAACCATTTCATGACATTAGCATGTTTAAGCATTTACTTGGTCAATTACAATACCTAAACACAACCAGACCAGACATAACATAAGCAGTGCAACAACTCTATCAGTATCAAGACTCTCCAACAACAGTTCATTTCAAGGCTTTACAAAGAGTTTTCAGATACCTCAAGAATGCCCCTGGGCAAGGATTGTTTTATCCTAGTAACAGCAGTATACAGATCACAAATTATAGTGATTCTGATTGAGCGACATGTCCAGACAGTAGGAGATCCATTACAGGTTTTTGTACCTTCCTGGGAAATGGATTGATAACTTGGAGAAGCAAGAAACAAGGCATTGTATCCAGATCATCTTCAGAAGCAGAATACAGGGCCATGTCTCAACTCAGCTGTGAAATGCAGTGGTTAGTTCGTTTACTTGATGATTTTGGGATTGATCATTCACATCCAGCAGTGTTATTCTGTGATAATCAGTCGGCAATTCACATTGCCAGAAATTAGGGGTGGGAAACAGTCCAGTTTGGTTTAAACCGGACCGGATTGACCCGATTTTTTGAAACCGTATTGGACAACTCCACAACCGAAGACGGGATTGGATTGTTACCCGGTTCAACCGTGACCGGACTGGATTGAATCTGGTTTCAACCGAAAAACCGGATCACCTTCTCCATCTCAAAACACAATCGTTTCAGTACCAAAATATTACCCACCTTCTCCTGCGAACCACACAATTCAATCCCTATTCCCTACCAAAAAGTTGCCCTCACCATTCTTCCTTCCTTCCCATCTGCCTTCGCGATGCTTCTTCTCCCTCTCCCTCTACTGGATCCAACCAAATACACACAAGCAGCTCTGCCTATGAGCTCGATTAAAGTAAGAGAGGCGAGAAGACTTGGATCTGGAGAAGGCGAAGTGATTAGAGTCATGTGAGCCGGGAAGGGATGCATGTCGTCGGCCGTCGAGTCTCGATCGATCAAATATCCTCGCCGACTCCGTCACCATCGTCGTCGCGCGCTGGGAAGTTGGAGAGCAGAGGACCTAGCAGAAGTCAGATCGGACGGGATGGACGACGGGTGATGGAGGGAGGCGATTAGCGTCTGCGAGTTCTGGTGGCGGAGTGGCGATGGTCGGCGACAGGATGGAGGGAGCCAATGGTCGGATTTTCTTCTTCTCCTACTCCTCTTGTGTGGTGGGTCGGTGAATGGGAAAGAGAAAGTTGAGGGTCGAGGGGGAGAGAACAGAGGAGGTTGATTAGGGTTTGCGGTGGTGGGGGACTGGGGGTGGGTTGTTTGGGCTGGGATATTAGCGAGCTAGGCTTGTTTGGGCTGGGATATTAGTGGACTGGGCTAGGCTATTTGTTTATTTTCTGTTGTCCGGTTTTTCCGGTTTTAACCGAATCGAACCGGGCCTGTGAGTATTACAACCGCAAACTGGATTGGATTGGTTGGGATCCGGTTTCCGGTTGCAGCCGGTACGATTTTAACTGGCCAGTTTTCGATTTGACCGAAAAACCGGGACCGGATTTCCAGCCCTACCAGAAATCCAGTGTTTCATGAGAGGACAAAATACATTGAGGTCGATTGTCATGTCATTCGAGAAAGGGTAGTAAATGGTTTGATCAGTTTGCATCATTTATCTACTACTCATCAGATTGCAGATCTTTTTACCAAGAGTCTAGGGATTGATCGATTCAAAATGTTATTGAGAACGCTAGGAGTATCAGAAGATACTCGCCAGCTTGAGGGGGCGTAATGAAGAATCGATCAGTTCCAAGAAGCCATTAGCAGCAGCTTGGTATCGAAGAACACACTCTGCAAAGAAGCTGCTGCTTACTTGAAGAACAAAAAACAAAGCTTTGTATCAAAAGACTAGAACGGCAGCATTCCACTTGGGCGTTGTAATTAGTTCAGCCTTTACACGTGTATAGTTTCTATAGACTAGATTAGAAAGTTAGTTTTCCATTTTTACTATTTCAATTTAGCCGTTAGTTACTTTACTTTACTCTTCCTCTGTAAATACTTAAGCTATATATATTGCAATCAGAAAACGAAGGTCCTCAATCATTGAGAACCCTTCACCAAAAACCCTATTTCTACATTTCTCACACTGAGAAGAAACCTATGAGCATACAAATCCGAGAAGTCCGAGCCACCAATCAATCAGCAATCAGATGCTCATACTGTATCGTGAAGACTGTGGACTTCCAAGTATCACTCCAATACCTCTGATACTCCCTCCGTCTAACCACGGATGAACAACACATGACAAAATGTGACATCCAACTAATTCAACATTGATAGTTTTAGGGGGAACAAAGATTTGATATCAACGCTCAGACGATTAGATAGCATGAGTTTAATCACAGACAATCATAAGTCCAGACATAATTTGAGCTTTTTCATCATCACTGCATTGCATTCCCACTTGAATTCAAAACAATGCCATATTATCATAACACAAGGCAACCTTCTTCCGCATAAAAACAGTTTTTCTTCAAAACAAAAAGCAGTTTCAGTTGATGCAAGATTCTCAGAGACATTCCAATTGATTGGAAATGTGCAGACAATCTACATGGCATCAGTTCTGACCGCCCGTCTGCTTTTTCTCATCATCGACATTCAAAAGTAATCACAAATCCAAATACCCAATGCAGCAATACTATGCTATAATCTACAATTGCATAACAAATTGACAGTAATCCTTGGGAGGTAAGGAATGAAGACATCAGATAATAAGCGGAGTTTGTAGTCCACATTGAATATTCAGTGTGTAGAATAAGAACTAAACATCACTTGCCTTCCCATTGTTGTTCCCCCCAAGAATGACAACATCTAAAGAGTCAGACTGACAGATAACCCAATTCTCAAATAGAGCAAAACATCACTAAAAACGAATTGCAGCAGATAAATGTGGGAGTTTTACATATAACACAACAGTGATTCAGTGTGCTCAATATATAAAATCAAAATCCCATAAGCAGATTGAAATATAATCCTTGGGAGACAAGGAATGAAGACATCAGATAATAAGCGGAGTTTTTAGTCCACATTGATAAATCTCAGTGTGTAGAATAAGAACTAAACATCACTTGTCTTCCCATAAATTTCCCACAAGATAATATGATCAAAGCTTTCAGCTTCACAAGCAACCCAATTAACAAAACCAAGGTTACCCGGTTTTGACAGAGGCAAATCGGAAAGAGGGTTTGGAAACAAGTGGGAGATTACAAACAACACAGCAGCGATTTCAGTTTGTTCGAGTAGGAAAAATTGGATGGAAAGAATGTCGGAAGGTTCATTTGACCCCACAGCAAGTTGGAATACAAAGAGCAAGGGGCTGGTAAGCCGACCGATTTAGCTTTCTGCACCAGTTTTAACTCCTCTGGGACTCTTGAAAAAACCGCCATAGCAGGAGTGGGTAAACAGATGCAAAAACAAAATTGAAATAAAGATTCATTACACGAGCTGAGAACAAACGAAATTGTGTTGCATCAATCATCGCCCAGAAGCGATATCACATCTAATTTGCATGTAAAATTATAACAAAGGATGAAGATGATGGGAGACCGAGAAAGGGAGGAAACGGCGCCAGGCGCAGAGGGAGAACTAGAATGCTCGAATGCTGGTTTTAAATAGGGTTTTATGGAAATTAGGGTTTCTTTCTACAATCACTTGGGCGGGGCAAGGAGGAGAGGACGACTTCTACGTTCTTCCTTCTTCTTTCGGTTTTGGGTTGGTGCGGGTTGCATTGGACTGAGCCCAGTTTAAGGGAACTAGGCCCATTAATTTCATTGAGTGGGCTTTCTTTTTTAAGAGCAGTGGGCTTATTCGTTAACCTAAATATCTATATCTATCTATCTATCTTCTATCTATACTTAATATTATGGTTATTCAAAAATAACTTCTTGCCACATAAGCACTTGGTGAATTCACAAGATGCCAAGGTGGACAATTGTTTAACAAACAAAAATTTATTTATTTATCTATTTTTGGAGCTATCTCTCTCTTCTTTTAATACTTCTCCTCATTTTTACTAAAACTTAAAATAAGGTACATTTTTTGTGACACATTTAAACAAACAAACACAAATAAGTAATAATCTTTTCTTCAATTAAACAAACTATAAAAATGAAAATAGAGAGTGACAGTTTAACCCAAAATATCTTAATAAATCTCATTAAGTAAATTTTCTATTCATTTTCACTAAAAATTTATAATAAGTTACATTTTGATGGAAAAAACAAGCACACATATGAATAATAATATTTTTTCAATTGAACAAAATTTAAACGATGGCCCAGGAGAAAATGAGAGTTTGACAATCAATCATTTTTGAAAAATGAACTACATGATTATATATTTTTTGTTATCAAACACTCACTTCTTCCTAACGAATATACTTATAAAATAAAACAAGTATAATTTATATAGAAAAAGGTCTGAAGATAAATTTGACATAGCAATAATTGTTATTTTTTTAAAACACTTCTTATTCATTCCGTTTAAATCAAAAACATATTATTTTTTTCTTTGTAGGAGAATAGGAGGAGGGAGGTACACGAGGAAACGATTAGATGGAAAAATTTTGAGCAGTTGTAACTTATTTTTGCCTGTTGATAAAAGCAGTTCATCATATCATTACGAAGACGAGGTGAACCAGTGGCGTAGTTAGGATTTCATCTAAGGTGGGTCCACTTAGAAGAAAAATACACCTGGTAATATAATTTTTGTTAACTTTGCGAATCATTCATGACATAAACTTATATTGGAAAATTTTGGTCAAGTAAAATAGATTAGCAGTCGAAAGTATCAAGAATATTACTTTATATACCAAACAATTATTAATGATTTAGTTAGTCGTTCTGTTTCGTATGATGTTCTTTATAAAAACCCATTAGTATCTATAACTCGAGTTGTCAAGAGATATTTAATAATAAATCTTACACCAAACAATAATTCATGATTTGGTTAGTCATTCGCTTACAAATGATGTCATTTGTCAAGAATCTTTTTGAATCAATAAATTGAGTTGTTGGAAGAGGTTCAATAATATATCTTATACTATTTACTAGCACGCTCCCTCATATAAGAAAGTCAACTTATAGAAAAATAAAGTTTGCACAAATCTGTATATCGTGTACTTAACAAATGAGGTCGCCAAAATTTCGAACAAAAAATCTTTCGATCAACTATTATCAATTAAATACCCCTAATTTTTCTATATAAATTAACTATTGTACATAATTGAACAATTTTCCTTCCGAGTCAGGGTGGGTCCCGAGACCCACCCTGTTATACTCTCCCTCCGCCACTGAGGTGAACCAAACCGAGGATTGTCGACTACTCCCTCTTCCTCCTTGATCTGAAGCTCGCAACTGCTCACTCTTTTTTCCATTATTTTCTTAATTTCTTCCAAGTTAAAACTGCTGGATGGTAAATTCCCTACTTGATGAGCGAATGTATTTATTCTTCGTTTTCACGGAGTTATTTTATGTTCTCTATTACTTCATATACTTTTATGTAAATAGGTAATATATGATTAGAAAGGTTAATTGGTTGGACTTAGAGCATATGTCCTTTGGTTGAATAATTGATTTTTATTTAAATGTCTATTGCAACCCGATACTTTAGATGTTGAAATGGAAAGTGGAGTTGTGAGGGTTTTTCATTATGTTCCTTATGTTCATGATTGACATGCTACTAGCTAGCTATAAGATGATGATCTGGTTAATAATTAGTAGGTAGCAATGAGATTATAAGTAGAAGGGAACATAATTCGGGGTTTTATAAAGGCCATGAAGAAGAAAGAAAATGACTGTGGCGGTTCCTCGGTTGTGTATTTTGATGTTTTTTCAATTTCTACACGTTTGCAATGACATTTGTTTGTTTCATTATGGTGAATTTCTCCTCATTAAATCCTTAACTAAAGCTTGATTTTGACATGATTATTTTCTTACCAACTACTATTTTGATTGATGCATAGATTCAGTTCACAAATTAGGAATCTGCAAGATAAAATGAGTTGAGTTGTATTGAAGTATGCTCCTTTCATTATTTGTCTATGTTGTTATTAGGTAAAAAAGCACTATTTTTTCTTGTAGGAGATATGCAGCTCTCTATAAATTATAAATTGTGTTTATATGAAATTTAGTTTGTTGAAAATATTGTTTTAATAAATTAGTGACAACTGATAGTTTTTTTGTGGTTGGTTTTGCTAGAACATTGACAAGATAAATTAATTGAGTATCCATAAGACTGATGGATGTGGATGCTAATGTATTTCATCATTATTCCAGAATTGCAGGTGTAACTGATAATACACGATATTCGTGAGATCTAGATCGGAATATTCTCTATTATCATATACCAACATAGGAAGAAAATGAAAAGCTCTTCACTTATTTTATTAATTGAATCCTATTTTCTTATCCTAACTTCTTCATTTTTTTACCTTAAATTTTTTAACTTCTTTATCACTTTTTTGAGTTCGATACAATATTTTAAATCAATAAAGAACGGTCTACAAAGAGCTCAGTTAATACAATTAAATTTTTCATAAATAAAAAAGGTATAAAAGTATGAAACATTACCTAAATAAGGTAAGTGAGATTTACAATTTCATGTATATTAAATCAACAAACATAAATGATAATAATAATTAGAATACTATAACGAATTTTAAAATAATCAAATGTAATGCACCGGCCAACGGGCGGGTAAAAAACTAGTTCTAGATTTAAAATAATCGATCTAAGCGATTGTACATGTGTCAGCAATATGCTAACAGTTATTAGTAAGCTTCGGACAACAAATCCAATACAAGTGTGTGCACACGAAAATGTGAAATTGATTTAGATGAGCATTAGTTGGGAATTTATTTTACAAATCATTATTTTACAGAAAAAAACCCAAAAAATCATTATTTTGAAAATATGGGTTTTTGTTATCGCTATCAGACCCCATCATCCTTCACAACACGAATGCAACTTCCTTGTTCGTCGGTCTACATACGGAAAGCGAAGTTCACATAAAAAAAATATTCTCTGATAAACTTTCTAAAATCATCAACTAGTTGTCATGAGGGATTTTTCCAAAAGTAGCACTGTTTTTAAAAAAAAAATTCTAAAAATAGCACCCAACTTCGAAAAATTACTGTTGGGGGTGTTACTAAACACTCCGTTCACGGACTAAGTAGTAGGACGCACAATCGGCGATGCGCGACGCGCGATACGCGCTACAGGTATATAAGGGCTTGAAGCCCCCCCTCCCTCCCCCCCCCCCCCCCCCAAAAGAGGGGGGACTTCTCCTCTCTCCTGACTTTCCACTTTTCATTATCTCTCTACACTTTATCTCTCTACCTTGTTCTCTCAACTTTCACCTTAAACATAAACTGACTTGATCAGTGGAGCTTAATCCGGGGGGCAACCCCGGCTCTTTCACAGGTCTCTTCCCTCCCGACAAGATCAGACGAACGGATCGTGAGTCGACCCCACACCAACAAATATCATTGTTCGTGTCCTGAGCTAGAAGGTACAAACAATTGGCGCCCACCGTGGGGCTGACTTCACACTGGTTTCTTCGATTTCCGAAGGAGGGAGGGATCTCGGTAATCGGAAGTTCACAACAGCCTCGTCGGAAGGAAGGGAAGAGAGTTAGCGACTTGCAGAGGAAAGTCAAATTTCCTTTCACCAATCCGAGCGGCTTCTTCGGAACCAGAAGCTTTCATCTCCCATTTTACGATGAGGAATAAGAAACTGAAAGGAAAAAATCTACAGATCCCGACCGCCAGAAAAAAAGTCAGCGTCGGAGCTCAGACGAAAAGAAAGGAAGAAACAGTGGCCATCCTGTCACTATCACCACCATTTCAACCTACTCCACTGCTCACCTACAGTAAATAACACATAGTCAAGAAAAAGTGACAGCTTTCTCTGAGCTGTCTTTTCCCTCTTTCGAGGAAACGCTGACCAACGGGGCTACCGAGGCAAACAGGCAAAGTTATCGTGAAGACAGCTGGAGGTGCCAATCTCCCATGGTCCGAAAAGGAAGCGGAGAGCTACGGCGACAGTGGGGTTAAAAGAAGAAGCGTCAGGCGCAATTAAAAAAAATGTGTGATATAATTGAGGTTATGTCATTTACGTGTAAAGCCCATGCACAGCGCGCCCACGCGATGTGGCCCGCATGTGACTCGCGGCTCGCTCACGTCAAATGGGCCGACCACTACTCACGGGCCTACTTCACACCGAGTCACCCTACCGATCCCAGCCTTCACTTCAAGCTTGCTAGCCGCCTCAACACTCGCGGCCCAACTGGCGGACGTTCAAACAGACACTCGCGGCCCAACTAGCGTCCCGCATACCCGCCTCAAAAAAATATCACCGCCGCGAGTCCTCGAACCAGCGCCACGCTTCCGCCAGACAAGTGAGATTACCAGCAGGCTACATCCGAGCCTTGTGCTTCAATGGCGCAGCGTCTGGCTTTCAACTACTCCTCCGCGCCATCCTTCCGCCCAAGCTTGCGGCCCACCGCCGCCTGAACACTCGCGGCCCAATTGGCGAACGTTCAAACAGACACTCGCGGCCCAACTCGCGTCCCGCGTACCCGCCTCAAAAAAAAAATGTCAACGCTGCGAGTCCTCGAACCAATAACACACTTCCGCCAGATAAGCGACAATACCAACAGGCTACATACGAGCCTTGTGCTTCAATGGCGCAGCGTCTGCATTTCAACTACTCCTCCGCGCCACCCTACCGCCGAAGCTTGCGACCCACCGCCGCCTCAACACTCGCGGCCCAACCGGCGGACGTTCAAATAGACACTCGCGGCCCAACTCGCGTCCCGCGTACCCGCCTAAAAAAAAATGTCATCGTCGCGAGTCCTCGAACCAGCAACACGCTTCCACCAGATAAGCGACAATACCAACAGGCTACATACGAGCCTTGTGCTTCAATGGAGCAACGTCTGCCTTTCAACTACTCCTCCGCGCCACCCTACCGCCGAAGCTTGCGGCCCACCGCCGCCTCAACACTCGCGGCCCAACTGGCGGACGTTCAAATAGACACTCGCGGCCCAACTCGCGTCCCGCGTACCCGCCTAAAAAAAATGTCATCGCCGTGAGTCCTCGAACCAGCGCCATGCTTCCGCCAGACAAGCAACATCACCAGAAGGCTATATGCGAACCATGTGTTTCAATGGCGCGACGTCTGATTTTTAACTATTCGCGCCCACTCAGTTCGACAGAACAAAGAATAGCAATATTCATGAACTATTCGCGCCCACTCAGTTCGTCAGAACATAAAATAGCAATAGTAATGAACTATTCGCGCCCACTCAGTTCGACAGAACAAAAAATAGCAATGGTCATGAACTATTCGCGCCCACTCAGTACGACAAAACACAAAATAATCAACTCACCTCCATCACGCTTCATGAAGAGCAAGGAAGCCAGCCAAAATGCTTAAGCCATGATTCGAACTCGGGCAGCTGCGCTCCCTAGCGCGCGTGCCAACCAATATGCCACAAGATCTACAGGTGGTCATAGTCCGCATGGACTTATCTTGTTTGCTCTTTCTTCCGCACCCTCTGTTTCGATTCGCGCCTCACACCGGGCTTTGCCATGCCTTCCGCCTCTACACCAGTCTCGCGGCTGATGGGCCAACCACCAACGCGCGGCCCAGTCTCGTTTCACTCGCGGATTGCCAAGCCAAACATGTACTGAGCTCCTCATAAAATTATTTGTAGGCGCCAGTCCTCGAACCCGTGCCACTCTTCTGCTATGCAAGCATACTGACCAGTAAGCTACAACAACAACTTATGCTACAAGATGCGTCGCGCCTTTATTTCAACGATTGCCAAACCACGCTACATGGGCTTACATTTCGTCCACTCCAATCGCGGCCCACTCTCATCCGGTGACCACTTCGAACTCCACGCATCGCATGGCTCGACACCAACTCGAGGCAAGACTGCTTTCGGCCGCTCTAAGAGGTAAAGCCCGCCTTGCATCGCGCCCGCACAACTAGCCCGCGAGCTCGCAATCTCAACTCGCGGATCAGGCCCAATGCTCGCGTCCAACGGCCTGCTGTGCTGTTCAGGCGCGCTAAGCCCAGCAGACAAGGAGCTCATCAAAAATAATATTGTCACCACCAGGATTCGAACTCGCGTCACTCCTCCGCGTGACAAGCAACAATACCAGTAGCTACAAACGCGCCTTGTGCCGAAATAGTGCGGCACATTCCACCTAATCAGTATCCTGCCGCCTCTCCAATTTAAAGCTAAGTATTCTATCCCTCTATCATTATTATATATTGAAATATTTTACTTTCATGAGCGTTAATGGCGCTAATGGGGGCCTACACGCTTTAATGAAATACACCAACTGGGGGGCAAGACGCAAGAAGCTGGCACCGCGTCAGTCAAACGCGCCACCAGCTGGGGGCAACTGGGGTACATAGGGCTCCACCCAGAATTACCGATGAAGATTTTTTTTAAAAAAAATAATAAGCTAGCGATGAGTTAAGACTCACCACCAGCTTGGGGGGGGGGGGGGGGGCAATTGTTGGGGGGTGTTACTAAACACTCCGTTCACGGACTAAGTAGTAGGACGCACAATCGGCGATGCGCGACGCGCGATACGCGCTACAGGTATATAAGGGCTTGAAGCCCCCCAAAGAGCGAACTTCTCCTCTCTCCTGACTTTCTACTTTTCATTATCTCTCTACACTTTATCTCTCTACCTTGTTCTCTCAATTTTCACCTTAAACATAAACTGACTTGATCGTCGGAGCTTAATCCGGGGGGCAACCCCGGCTCTTTCACAGTTCTCTTCCCTCCCGACGAGATCACACGAACGGATCGTGAGTTGACCCCACACCAACAAATATCATTATTCGTGTCCTGAGCTAGAAGGTACAAACAATTACAAAAATAGCACCCTTTCTGCAAAACCGCCACCCGTACCAACGGTTTAGGCGAAAACCGCCAGTCGAGGGCGCGTTTTTCGATGAAATCGCACTGGTAGGGGGCCGTTTTACAGACCGCACCCCCACCATGCGGTTTGGTTGCAGACCGCACCCCCACCATGCGGTTTGCTTTTTTTTTTTTTTGAAAAATCCTAACCTAGGTGGAAACTTCAAATGAGCGTATCTTTGTGTTCGGGTGTCCGATCGTCGCGAATTTTTTTTTTATTCTGCATAACCTTTTGAGATCTTGCAAGCCGAAGGTGGTTAGGTCCTGCCTTCGTCCCAAAAAATGTCGTTTGCTACCCCGAACGAGCTTTTTTTCCAATTTCGTCAAACTTTGGACAACCATAACTTTGTGCTCCAAAATCCAAACGGCATGAAATTTTTTTTATTTCGCATAAATTTTTAAGGAATACAACTTTTATCATAGTCATAATTTCAATATGTACATGGATTGCTGAGAAGGGAAGGTAAGCTATTCCCAAAATCCTGTGTATCCAAAAATAATTCCTGTTTTGAAAATTCTAAAAAATCAATCATGCGATCTATATATACAACCCTACACATGAACAATGATGAACTACAATATCCAAACACACACATGTACACAAAAATCCCACACATCAATGTTGCAGTTCTACTACTTCCCTCTTCAGATCCGCCGGCGGCAAGAAATAATCCGGCGACAGCCCCTGAATATTGAAATCCACCTCGTCGATCTCCCACGCCTCCTCCACCCTCCTCCGCTGGTTCTGCACGGCGTCGCCGTACCTGAAGAGCGTGGTCACCGTCTCCCCTCGGTGCGCCACGTTGATCCCTTCGACGCAGCGGTAGTCCCTGATGAAGGTGGTGATGTTGGTCTCCCAGAAGACGCAGTTGTTGGCCCGCACCGACTTGATCATCTTCACCAGCTTGGTGTCGCTGAACTTGACGAGCAGCCCGGTCTTGTGGCTGAAGTGGCCCCAAACGGTGTGGTGGAGGATCTCGGTGCTGGGCGAGCTCTGGAACTTGAGGACGGAGTAGTCGGTGTCGAGCTTGAGGACGAAGCAGTCCTCGTGCTCGATCTCCTCCTCGCCGACGAAGGTCGCCTCGATGAACAGTTTGGCCACGCACCGGGGGTCCAGTCCCTAGTGTTTCGTCATCAAAGTTGGCGGAGCTAGCTAGGTATTAGTTCATTATTTGACAAGATGAGGCTTGGTACGTAGCCATTATAGTTAGTGATACGATGGATATCTGTCTGAATCTGATCTAATTTGGGTAGATTAAAGTCGAATTCAAATATTCTGAGTAATGGATGAGTAATATTGGGGTTTCTCATTGTTCAATCCAAACCCTTTCGATTTTACATGTATATTTTGTTTAAAAATATAATTATTTTACTTAATATATCATTATTAGGGTCAGACTGGCTGGTGTATTCATGGATTATTATACTATGATTCAGGTACTCTTAGTGAGATATCTCTATTTAGACCATGATAAACAGATAGGGGCCATTCTCGAGGAGGTCGCGTGCGTTATTTCATGAGTAACAATGGACTTACAGTGCAATTTGTAGAACGGAGTAGTAATAGGGTAGCTCATTTGATGGCTAAAAAAATCATTTCTTTGTACCTGACTACATGTGGTTTCTTTGATTTTCTGGCCTGGTTAAATTCCAGGAAGTTATGATCTATTTTGTCAATCAATATATATAATTATCTTTTGTAAAAAAAAATACTCTAGCCTGAAGTGGACAAACCACGTACTCCGATTTCCGTACACAAACATGAAGTTCAATTTAATAGAAAACATTAAGGCAAAATACACTTGTGTAGCCAAAACTTTGACGGTTTGGTCAAATATAGCCACTTTTGGAGAAATACCAAAAATAGCCACTTCCGTCCAATAGTTTGACAGTGTTACTTAACGTGCTGACTGGACTAACGAATCATCCGACGTGGCAATTTTGGACCGTATGTAAATTCCACGTGGAATTACATTAAAAAAAGGAAACGAAAAGGGGTAAAATCGTTTGGCCTTCAGTCACTTCTACCTTTTAATTTCCCCCTTCCCCCGACGCTAGTTTCACCCAAACCCTCCTCTCCGTCGACGATGAATGGTGCTCACCTTCTCCGGATCGGCGCTGGTAACCGCCTCCGCCGCCGACGATTCCCTTTCCAATCGATGATCCCACCACGAAAAGCAAAACCCATTTCCCCCTCACCAGAGAATCTCTCTCCCATCCCACACACCAGCCTCCCTCCACCGAATCGGCCATGCATCCGGCCGGTTCATAGATCCTCTGCTACCACGTTCCGGCGACGCGATTCAGAGTTGGTGAGGTCAATTTCTCGGATCGAAACCCAAGATTTCCCAAGATGAAGTTTCCGGAAAAAACCATAATCCTCAAGCTTCGTGATTTTTTATTGGGGGCGATTTCTATTATTGTTCCTTTCATTCGAAGTGGAGACGCAGTTACGACGGAGGCCAACGACGTCGCGGAGCTGCGGCGACTGCGGCGGCGGCTGCGGATGGCGAGTAACAGCGGAGGTAGGGACGGCGCGGAACGGGCGAGCCCAGATCTGGAACTCCACTCCCCTGTCTACCCTCCCCAGAATTTCAGCCGTCACCCATCTCTACTCCATACAAACTCTACTCACCCTTCTCCATCTGTCGTCAAGCCTAGCCGCCGAGCCGGGAACGAAGGCTTCACCCTTCCTAAAGCAGAATACGTGTGCACCAGATCCTCGAATCATGGATCTAGGTCGCCAAGCAAATCGCGGTGGAGGAATTCGAGGCGACGGCGAGCGATTGCTACTTCGTGGAACAGATCTGGAAGATTCTCACCGATATTGAGGATTTCCACCGCCTTCCCTAATATAGGAAAATCGCAGCGACTCAAATTTGTTGTAACTGACGAATATCTAGGCGGCGAGGGGTCTAGTTTGGGTAGGTGATTGAGAATGATTTGCAGAGGGGTTGTAATTGATTTGTCGGCGACAGGCGTAGGGGTCGAGAGTTTAGGTGGGGATTCGTTTAAGGGGTACATGGGCTTGGCGGCGATCGTCGGAGAGGAGGGCATTGTGGCTGGGCAAATCTGCAAAGTCCTGGTCGGCCACGAATCGATGGACTTCAGTCGCCGGCAGAAGCTTCAATGGCCGGTAGGGGGCAAACCCTAAAAACGAAGGAGGAGTGCATAATTTTTATTTTTATTTTTTTAATATCTGACGTGTCAATTTCAGCTTATTTGGTGCTAACGTGTCCACTGAGTTGGCGCCTTGTCAGCGAACCGTCAAGAAATTTAACGGTGTTATTAACACTGTTAAAGAATCTAACGGAAATGGCTATTTTTGTCATACAACAAGTACTAAATATGGCTATAAGTGGTATTTCTCCAAATCTGGCTATTATTGGCACAAACGCGAAAGTTTTGACTATACAAGTGTATTTTGCCAAACATTAATTCATTGTTGAGATTGGTCGAAACTTATCAAAGTATATTTAACGGTCGGATTGTCAATATAACTATATAATATTTTCATGAAATCTCGAAGTATGTGTTTTTTAACTAATTTTCTTCATCCTAGTAATATACTGTTGTTTTACTTATGCAATGTGAGATTGTCTCTATAGTTTCAAATATATAGTTTCTCATAAATAACCGTAGATATCAAAAACAGGTCACGTGTGAATATAATGTTGATAACATGTACGATTATTAGGATATGATTATGAATAAAACCCAAACTCAATCATCCTACAAACAATTTGTTTTCACAGCATAGCATACCTGGAAGAAGCGGCGCAAGGGACGGGTGGGCCCCCGATTGGCATGCCCGGGCTGGGAATAAGACTGGTTCCATGCGATCTTCCCGTCGCTGCCGGCGCTAACTTTGTGGCCGGCGACGACCAGTTCGAAGTACCACAAATCCGGATTCTTCTGCCACACCACGAACCCGCCCACCTCCGACGTGGCGGCCACGTGGATCTCCGTCCCCTGAAGCATCTCCGACCCAACCATCTTCACCTGCCCCACCGCGTACATGCTTTGCACCGCCGTCAACGCCGCTGTCCCTCCCGTCGCCGCCGCGTACTGCTTCACTATGTACCGTGCCGTCGACGCCTCCTGCATTTCCGTAGCGTACATGCCGAATTTTATCACGAGTTTGTGTAGTACGAGTAGTATTGTGTTATACTACGAGTAATATTGTTATGTAATTGGGTAGAATTATATTCTTTATCAGAATTGTATAAATTAGATAATTTTCATACAAGCGTATTAGGGTTATTACAGAAGTCCGTCTCTGTATTCTATGTAAATCCTATATGGTTTCAGTAATAAGAGAAAACAATTTCCACCGCATTTCGATTTATCAACAAAATTTTAATCAGGCGGCCAAGAGAAGGTAGCCAATTGTGTATATAAAATAAACCTACGGTGGAGTAGTGTTTGTCGAAGGAGCGATTGAAATACGGCTGGACGTGGAAAGGGATGAGAGGAGCTCCGACGATCTTGAGCAGAGCCAAGAACTCGCTGTTGGATTTCGCCAGCAGATGACACAATTTGTCCGCCGTCGTCTCGGCTTTCATCAGCGCTCGCATGTTCCGCCACCGCGACGCCGAGTTGGTCCCCATGCTCGTGAACATTTCTTCCGGCACCGGGACCTCCAGCACCGTCTCCAAACCAGCGGCGTTGTCGTAATTTGGACAGAGTTTTCTCATTGTTTTAAGATAAAGAAATGTTGGAGAAAACAAATTTGAAGGAGATATTTCTACTGATAAGGTGAAAAGAAGGAAGGGTTTCGACGTATCGAAATCCTCCTCTTTTCCATTAGTCGAAATCGCTAGTTAGCGATAAATTTTCTTTTCTTTTCTTTTTTCTCTCTTGTTTTTTCTTATGGTGAATTGAGGTAAATTCAAGAAAAGTGGAAAGAAATGATAGTCCTTCTTTTTCTCTAGAGAAGTTACGTTGTTTGAGCCTGGGGTAGTCCTTATGTATCGTGAAGGGATACCACAAATCAAAAGACTTCCTTTCTCCCATTATCTCAAATTATATATTTATATATATTTATATGGTTATGTCTTCGGTGCACTCACTTTTTTTGGTGCATTCAATGCACCCGCCTCATAATCGTCATTCTGAGCAGACGATTCATGTGAAAACGATGTCAATCATCCCTTGTAGTATGATGAACAAGAACCACATGAATTTGTACAAAAATCATTCAAGATTCACTTTAATTTGAATGATTTAGGGTTTAGGAATTTTGGGTTTGGATCAGGGTTTACAATTTGGGATTTTGGGTTTATATTCAAAATTGAATGTTAATAGGTTAGGGTAATGGGTTGATTAGTTGTGATTCTGTGTTATATCATCATATGAGACTAATGCTACCCATTAAATTTCAAAATTTGATGTATTATGACCACTTTTAGAGGTGGGTGCACTGAATGCACCCAAAAAAGTAAGTGCACCGAAGTAGCCACCTATATTTATATATATATATATATATATATGATAATAATGGCAAAAATGCAGGACAACCCTTTATCAATCTTCTATTTTGATAACAGAACGCAAGAGCTGATTGGGTTGCATAAGTTGTGAGGTGACAATAAAAACAATATATGCAATTGGTTTTGCAATTACATGATATGGTTGCTCAAATAGTTAATTGATAATTAAAATTAGAGAGTGTATAATTTAGAATGGTTGACATTAAAAATATTTTAAGTATGATTACAAATTGATTATTAACATATTCAAAAAAATTGTAATTACTTACGTGTAAATGACAATTGTACTTATGAGTCATTCAAAATCAATTAGTGTATTTACTCGATACCCACAACAAACTTTTCACCAAATTATATCTAATTTGTAAAAAAAATATTTCAACCGGAGGAGAAGGAGAATGTAATAAAGGTGGTTTCTCAGGAGGAAAATGCGTAAACTTGTTGGTAAATGGTATATGATTCATGATTGAACTTCTTCCAACAACTCGAATTATTGAGAGCAACTGATTCTTGATATGGTATCAGAACCTTCGAGAGATCTTCTGTTTAAATCCCGATGACCCCCATCTGTTTCTGTTAAGCACATGGTGTCCGTACCTATTCCTGTGCAAACTCAAAGCCTATCTAAGTGGTTTGAGTTTCGGGGGAAGGTTAGTAAACAGTATATATGAATATGATCCATGATTGAACCTCTGTCAATAATTCGAGTTATTGACAAAATTAGAAATAATAAATAATTGAGAATGAAAATTAGATCGCGTCAAATTGTTGAGTACGAAAGTTAATAAAAACTATTTTATCATATTTAATTTTTTTAGATAAATTTAATATTAGACGAAATGTTTACGCCTATGCTTGGTACAAGATGGTTGTTCTTAGGGATGGGCAATGAGTGGGTCAACCGCTAGACCCACCCGATTATAACCTACCCATTACAAGTTTGGGTGGATGTAGTGGATGGGTGTGAGTCATCATTTTTGTCACCCATTAAATTTGGGTGGGTGGGGGTTGGTCATTAACCTCAAAATCACATAATATATTAAGTCATTAATGCACATTCTATAATAAAAACACATTTTTTCTTATCTCAAAACTTTAATCAAAATTGATTCAATCAAACTACAATGATCTTTTTTAGATTTTACTTGACTAATAACATAAAATCAATTATTTTAAAATATGATAACTATCAATAAAATATTTTGTGTTCACAAATGAGAGAATTGATGTTAGATTATGCACTAAACTATGTTTAATAACTAACAATTTTATCAATTTGTATAATTGATATTCAATTAGTTTATGCAAAATTTTATGACTCGTATTATATAATTATTTAAAAATAATTTGACCCGCCAAAACCGCTAAATCCACCCACTATCTATTGTCACCTACCCAACCCACCCACCGGACTATATAGCCCGAATCGAGACCGGACCGGGACCGGATAGAAAACAATCCAATCCCATATTCGGGTTTAGATTTGAAGTAAAAAATCGTTCGGGACCGGATCAAAAACCGGATAAAGATCGAATAACAGAGCCCAACACCAAAAACTTAACCAACTCCTCACCCTTTGAGGCCAAGCCACTCAAATCCCCACAAGGTCAATCTAAAATCAAGACCGAATTGGGACCGGATCGGGTCAAAACCGGACTGTGTCCAATCCAATCTTGATCCTTATATTCCTGAAAAGACCGGACCGGTACCGAATCAATTTGGGCCATGATAACCAGACCGGACCTTATAGCCATCCCTAGTGGGTGTGTGCCATTTTTTTGTCACCCACCATAACAATGGGTGAGTGAATTTTGCACAAATACTCACCCAACCCACCCATTGTCCATATCCCTGATTGTTCTCTTAACCGTTCACAAAAAGAAAGGCTAACGGCCTAGCACCTCCCACAAAACGCAAAGACGTTCCGCCGGTATCAGTAAGTGTTCCGGCGACGAGTTTCTACGTCATGACTCGCCGTTGAACTGCTTACCTGTCAGAACAGAAGCGTGGCAATCGATAATCCAAACCAACACGAACGAACGCAAATTTAACGTGCAAGTCAATTTGGAGTTGTAGGCTTGGAGTTAGCAGTAAATTTGATGTTGGTGTTATGCACGGAAATAACACCAAGCTGGTTCTGCATGGCAAGTCCCAACAAGGGTTGGACTTGCTGCATGTTTTGATTTGTTAACCGCCCTTAGGGGCATTTGAAGGCAGGGGAGATTCTGGTACAGCTGATTTGGAGGAGTTTGGTATGTCTGGCAATCTTGATTGCATATGAGTTTGGCGATTTGCATCGCGTTTGAGTTTGGTGATTTCGATCACACCTGGTACATCTGACAACTTTGGTTGCGTCTGGTACAAGTGGTATCAGAGCCTGGTCGATCGGTTGGGCAATCGGCTAGGGATTTTGGTGACTGCTGCGGTATCAGGGGGCAGTCTTCAATTTGGTTGGCGGAGAAGCCTTTAGTTTTTCTTCCTCCAAATTTGATTTGCGGTGGTTCGTGGTCTTTTGTCCTAATTTGGATTTGTGCGGGGTCGATCTGAGGAAATTTGAACTTGGTGTCTTTGGAGTTCACTTAAGTGAATTTTGTGATCAGTTGTGACATAGCTCCGGTGGTGATTATGATTTTTCGATCATCAAGATGTTCTGTTCTGACATTACCATTCACCAATAGACCGAGTTCCGAGCTAGTAGCTTCTTTATTCATCATCAGTTGCCGTCAGCGTGGGCTTGCGTTGCGGTGGCAGAAGGAATATAATATAATAGGCCGACGAAACGCGTACGGATTGCGCGCGGCAGGAATGTTTCTCGTCAGCAAAGCAATAGCTAGCTAAGCTAATACGCGAGCGACAGCGGCTCGCAACGCAAGACGACGCTTGCCTTTCGGCCTTCAGGTGCTTGTCTGGTAACAACCCTCCACACTCATAAACCATATCCCAATCGCTACCTAATGTTGAATAATACAATACAAAATACGCACACTGACAAACAGGCAAGGCAAAAGGTTATATATATATATTGAACCGGTTTTTTTAGTTGTTTTGTCTATTTTCTTGTATGGAATTCGTCAATGACAATGGCTGGAAACAACGCCAGTTAATTAATCGGAAAATATTTCAAGATAAGAAAATGAGTTCAGCAGCTGGAAGCGGTGAAGAAAGTGGATTAGTTCCTCCAATAATAGGTCAAAAGGTCATATTCAACCGTGTAGTTTATAATGCAAAATTGCATGCATGTTATTTGGAAGTAGGCCGGATAGTTTCTTTGCCGCAACGGTTTGGTTCGGACCGAATCGACGCTTAGGTCGGATTATATCGAATCAAATATAACGTGGTTGGTTAATTTGGGTCCCATAAGTTTTCAAGTAGGAAATTCCTACAATACCTTGAAGTTATTGTAACATGATGTTTTTTGACCTGCTATAACAGGTTCCACAAGTCGCATTACATAAAATACAATAGACATTACGTAAAGATGATGTAATGTGTGTTTATCTTATGTAATAGTTGAAAATTTTCGTTACGGAAACCTTACGTAATAGACACTCATTTTACGTAATGAATATTAACTTTCGTTACCTAATCTTTTTAATCATTACGGAAGACTTACGTAACGCCTCTAATTTAACTGTTACGTAAGAAATAACTATCGTTTCGTAACCTTTACGTACCAGATGCATACTTTACGTAACAGTTGTAAAGTGTCATTACGGAAGCCGTACGTAATGGATAGTCCTTTTGTGTAAGTCATTACGGAAGTATGGATGGTCCTTTTATGTAAGTCATTACGGAAGTCTTACGTAACACTTCAAATTTAACTGTTACGTAAGAAATAACCTTCGTTACGTAACATTTATGTAATGAGCATGTATTTTATGTAACCGTTGTAAAATGTCATTACGGAAGCCAAATGTAATAAACGATGCTTTTACATAATGAATATTAACATAGTGTTACGTAAAATGATAAGTCGTTATGGAAACCTTCCGTAACGCTTCTAGTTTAACTGTTACGTAAGACTAACAAGCACTACGTGATTGTTACATAATAAACATTAGATTTACGTAATGCCATTTGTAAAATTTTATATCAAAAAGTTCAAATTATAGTTACTTCAAAGCCTATGATAGAAGGTCCCAACAAATTATGTAATGTTTGTCATCACAATAAACTTGACCTAATCGCAAGCAAAATCGATTGGTCATATCTTGTACCTGTCAATAATAATGGACCAACCTAAACCATCTGCCATTGTATATACCCTAATTAAAACGATGGATTGGAGGTCTTGACGGAATGGTAAACTCCAAGTATAATAACTTGAAATTTTCCTCCAAGTCACTGTAATGGTTATCAAACTGTTTAACATTAAAAATTTAGAGATAATCAGTTTAATAAATTTGGAGTCAATACAAATATAGCGGCCCAGAATCAACTACTATTTTGTTTTTCTATTTGTTTTTTATCATTTGACGATTTCTATATCTACGCCTATCAAAGTTGCACTGTATCTCGAATTTGTAGCATTTGCAAAACGAATGTTCATGGTAGTAGTACTGCATTGCCGGTTAGTTTGGATCAAATGGCAAACCCTAGTAACCCACAGAGCAGATGTGATAGTGAAACAGCACACAGACACTTAAAACTCCAGCACACACAATTGCTATTATAGTATGGCCGGGTTTAGGTATATAAAAAAAAATGTAAGCCGTAAATTATAGAGCGTCAAATAATGAACCTACAGCCACAAACTCCATATTTTAAATATTATAACGAGTGGCGAAACTACCGTTTAGAGTGAGTAGTAGATAACGGTATTAGAATTTAGAGTGGACAATACGAGTAGTAATACTATTAGACATTAGTATTATACTTACTATAATGAAAACAAGTTGCAATACGTTCTTAGAATTAAACCTAAATGTTGATGGAAGAGAGTGGTGAAGCTAGCGTTTAGAGTGAGTAGGTGATAAGAAGAAGTTGCAATACGCCAATACCCTTCTCAATATTAATGTACTATGAATTATTTGTTCTACCTTTTCTTTTCAGCAAAGAAACTAACCAAAATATCATATGGAAAATGAAAAGCTAGCTAGCAACTCTTTTGATTTGGCCATTTATACATATTGGGTCGCTTTCTCTCCAATAGACTTTTGTCGTAGTATGAGAATTGTTCTTGAAATAATTAGTCATAATGAGAGAATTCTTAGAATTGATAATTTTATCCAACTTGCAAAACCGATGTATAGATATGATAAAAAAAATCGTACAAAGCTCATAGATTTAAGTTTTAACCATTTCATAGTGGAAGTGTACCTAGCCGTTTAATGGAGGACCAACGCATTCCGAGCCCCAGCCCCCATCCAACTCAGCTAAACAAATTTATGCATCTAGCTAGCCACTTGTTACGTAATGAATGTGCAAGCTAACACATAAATCAGAGGTTATCTAAGGTTGTTTAGCTCCACAATGAGATAATGATAGGGAATTGAATTTCGAGATGGCAAAGATGATATATTGTTGTGGCGTGGATGTTTGCGAAGAGGTTCCTTTTAATAGATTTTTTCGCATCAGATTTTTACGTTAAACAGATAAACCAAGTATCAACCCTCAAAAACTTTAGAATTTTAATTTCACAATGACTTCGGAAAACATGAACGGGAAGAAAAATGGGAAAACTTGGCAAAATACAATCAATTTCTATTGTTTTTAATTCTTATAATTTTCAAATAAGCATTCTAATTTCTTACAATAAATTTTGAAAGGTACGGTTACGATCATGCTTAGTCTTAGGTTAAATAATAATTCCATCCACATCGTATCGACTCGATATTTGCGTCGAATTAGATCAAACAAAAAATAATTGAATTTTTTTACTGTATGTAATTGCTTAAAGTCGAAGAAAAATTATGAATCGTAACCATATAAAATGTTCTTTTGACTTTCATCTTTAAATTTCACTTATTTTTACTTTCTTTCTATCATGATTCATTGGGATCGTGGACCATAACAAACCCGCCAATACGAGAACAACTTAAATACTTCTTCAACCTAAATATGCTACTATTTACATCTATATATACTATCTACATCAATGCATAGCGTTCCATTAACGATTCCAAAATAGTTTTATAACGATAAACCATTAATCTTGAGTCATTGACATTTTCCATCCACAACCGCTCCGCTTTTGAAAACATAGATAACATGAGCATATTATTAAAGGTTAACTTTGAATTCTGATAACTAAAGTTCAAATGGATGAATAAACTACAAAGGTCATTTCAAGTCAGAATATTCTTCATTTTCGTATCCTTAATTTATACAAATTTAATACATCTATACTAATATTTTTGGAGCTTAGTTGCTTTGCATCAGGGCCGACCAAGAGGGTGTATCGGCCGGCCCTACGGCACAGGGCCTCTGAATATTAGGAGCCTCCAGTTAGATCCGTTAACTACCGATCGGATATTGTAGGTTGTATTTTTAGTGTATGATTGATTGATTACGAGTATGATGAAGATTTCAATAAATAATTTTATATAATAATAACAATTGAAAAGGATCTCATGGATAATACAAAATCATTGAGATAATAGATAGTTTTAATTTAAACAATATAGAAAGATATTACATTTTGAATAATGGTATTATAATCTTTTTACTTTTATTATAGTTAAAAGTCAATTTGGACCACATCTGGATTTTGGAATATGGCTTCCACTATCCATTAGACAGCCCGCACCCACCTCTCGATCAATTTAAACTATTTTCATTTATCTATTCAATTTTTGCGTTATATTCATTTTCTCTTCCCTCTAGATTTACTCTCCTCTCTACTAGGGCTAGGAATTTGGTCTTGGTTTCTTGGTCAAACTGGAAGCGAGATCGTTTATTCATTTTGAAACTATTTTTTTAGCTTATGTATTTTTTATAATTATTTAATAAATTTTTGTAGAAAAAAATTTAGGGTCGCATTTAAATTTTCGAGCAGGGCCTCCAAATATCATGGGACAGCCCTTCTATACATAATTGTCCAAATAATATATTTCCATACCACATTTCCCCTCTTTTCCTCGGATTTTTTTTTGTATCTTTAAACTATTTAAATGTAATACATCTATAGTAACATTTTATACACTATTTCCTTTTTTTAATTCAATAGATGACAATCTACAATATATAAATCAAAATAGTGATACAGTGATATTTTCAAGGATTCATTTGCAAGCTACTTATTTCACATATAACGAAAAATAAAGATCTTTGTTGAAATTTGTTGCTTTGATTCGGTGATATTTAATATCTCAAGGCATGAATATAGATTCTAGATAATTTTCATTTCATTCGTTGTCTAACTTAAACTTATTATGGTTAATCATAAAATGAAACACATATTCAGTAAAAATTATAAAGTTAATGGACACTCAAAGTAAAAAAACATAAACTATCAAGGTACTCTTTCGCACCACCGGTGCTCAATACTAAAAGTCGAACCACCTACATTTAAATAAAAAATATTCGAATGACCACAAATCGGCCAACGAGCCGGATACAACACTACACTAGTCTATATTATAAGTAATATCTAATAAATATTAATCATCTTAATCCGTAATCACACACAAACCAGCTTAATTATACCAATTTATCACGTTGATCTATAATTATTTCTTGGTCATTGATTTTTCATTTTTGACTCCCAAACCCCAATCCATCTGTGTGACTGTGATGACTGATGAGCAGCTTCACAGCCTGCCACCCTTTTAGCCCAATAATTTAATTCTCTTACCTCCAAAAAAACTGGCCGGCCAGAAAAAGACAAAAAAGGCCTATTGGGCTCCACTCCACGCTCCAATTATAAAACCTCGGACCAGGCCCATTCTTTCCCCACCACCAACTTCCTGAATCCTGATTCCCTCGCCGTTATTCCCCCAATTCCTCTCCTTCTTCTTCCACCGAGAAAACGCTGCCATGGGGAAGCGCCTCAACAATCTCAAGCTCTCTTTCTCATTCTGCCGGAGCAAAAGAGGCGACGCCGTCGCCCCCGCCACCGCCTACCGCCTCTCCCCCTTCAACCCAAAAGCCTGCGACATCAACTTCCCCAAGTTCCCCTCCCCGCCGCCGACCACACCCGACGACCTCGGCTTCGCCAACAGCAACCACCGCCGCCGCCGCCCGCCCCTCAGCAAGATGGCGCCGAATTACTCGAGGTCGTCGCCGTTCCACGACCTGTCGGCGTCCGATTGCAGCAGCGACTCGATGGAATTCTCGGCGAGGAACGACGCCAAGTGGCAGGCCAGGACCAATTACGCGAACAAAATCAGCCTCCAGAGCTGCGATTTCGGGCCGGGCGGCGGCGGCGGAGACCCGAACCCGGGATCTCAGAACCCTAAACTGAAAAAAGGGGGCAAAAAATCCGGCGCCGTGGTTGCGCCCTGCGACGAGAAGGAGGAAGAAGAAGAAGAAGAGGACGGCGTCGACGAGACGGAGAGCTTCTGCTACTCCTCGAGGAGCTTCTCGTTCGATGACACGTCGTGCGAGTTCAGCAGCCGCGCCGGGGAGACGACGGGGAGCGAGAACGAGGAAGGGAAGCTGCTGCGGCGGGGGGCCGGGGGGACGGCTGCGGCGAACCCGAGTGCCGGACCGGCGCAGAGGATGAAGGAGATGCGGCGGCAGGCGCTGGCGGGGGGAGGGAAATTGGGGCCGGCGGCGATGGGGGAGGCGATGGCGGTGGTGAAGAAATCGACGAACCCGAAGGAGGATTTCAAGAGGTCGATGATGGAGATGATAGCGGAGAAGGAGATTTACGATGCCAAGGAATTGGAGGAACTGCTGCAGTGCTTGCTGTCGCTGAACTCGAGGCAGTACCATGGAGATATCGTGGAGGCCTTCTCCGAGATATGGAAAGTGCTTTTCATCAGTGATTGAGAAAATACACGAATTACAGTCACTAGTATGCTGGCGTGGCTGGTCTGTGTGTTTGATGTCAGGTTGATATTGTTGTTTGGATATCAATTCTTGTAATCTAAAATTGTCTTTTCAAATGTATGAATAATGTTTTTATCTCAGTGTACCTACAGAATGGCTGAAACGGCGAGGAGCATGTAATTTAGTGGCAATAATTCTTGTTTATACGAACATGTTACTATGATTGGAAAACTTTTGTACGTGGAATGAGATAACGAATTACTACAATCTGATATCATTAAATCATAAATTTTACAATTACTATACAACCAATGAACTTAATGTCGCAGTTGCCTTATGCCCTTATATTTGAATCGAGAAGGGGTGACCTACCTACTGAATTGAGAGTCACTCTTCGCCGAATTTTTGGACTCACATATTCGCACTCTCTTCTTTCCGTCGATACTAAGAATAGAAGAAAGGAACCAATATTTAGATATTATCCAAACTTGTTATTTTTTTTGACAAATAATCCAAACTTGTTATTGATCAGATAAAAATTTGATAATTTTGTCTATGAGGCTTACTAGGGATGGCAATGGGTCGGGTCGAGGGCGGATAGTGCCCTACCCAATCTAGTTCGGGTTTTACCCATACCCATACCCATATCCACACGAAAAATGGGTAGAAAATCAATACCATGCCCATACCCGTTCGAGTTTCGGGTATCCACGGTTATCCATGGGTAATAATTTCTCCTTATAATTCCAACCAATATGTTAACATTCACACGTATACTCACATTACGTAAGAGGAAAAGTACGACAATAATTCACTAGAATGAAGAAAATTAAATAAAACAACATTATTTCATGAAAATATTATATTTATATGCTAAATATAAAATATTCTAGAGAAAAATAATGATTATTTATAGACAAAACACATATGCATGTCTATAATCGGGCGGGTTCAGGTTGGATAGTGAGAAAACCATGCCCACCCATTACCTAGGGGTGGGCATACAGTTCGGTAAAACTGAACCTAACCGAACCGAACCGAATATAAATCGAACCGAAACCGTATTAATGTTATTCGGTTCGGAATTCGGAAGAGAAAAGGGCATATTTCGGAAACCAGGGTCCTTTCGACCGAACCGAATTTCCGAATTTCCGAATTCCGAACCGAAAAACCGAATTATTATAATTGCAAGCTCTAAATGGTGGATTTTTATGTTTCTACTTATTATGAGACTTAAATATTTGAATTATGTTAGTGTTTTATGACTTATGTGTTGAAATGTTTGATTTTATCATTGATGATACATATTTATTGTTTACATTAGGGTGAAAAATAATTTAAAAAAGAGAAAATACAAGCTAACCTCACTATTTCGGTTTTGTATGAAAAACCGAATCGAACCAAATTATAATTCGGTTTGAACCGACCGAACCGAATTATAATTCGGTTCGAATTCGGTTTGAGGTTTGATAGAATTCGGGGACCCGGTATGCATAATTTTGGTTCGGTTTGAACCGAACCGACCGAATGCCCACCCCTACCATTACCCATAATATTCGAGTTCGGATTTTACCCTACCCGATTAGGTTGGATTCGGGTGGATATCTACGGTTACAGATATTTTTGTCATCCCTAAGGCTTACCAATACAATTTTTTTTTTTCATTTTGGGTCTGAATTGGGGCCATACTATTGGAAGTCTAAACATAATATTATTTTTGTCTTACTTTTTGTTATGAAACAAACAGAAAGGTGGAAACACCTATATTTGGGTTGAAAGTAGTTAATGAAATTGTTGGTTTTCTTTTTTTATACTATCATCTACACTCATTTGGGTCCAACCCAAATAAATTGAACCAAGTAGGATGCAATCCAAACTCAATCCAAACTGAAAAATATTAAAATTGCATAATGTATACGAGTCCATTTGAATCCACCTTAGTACCCATATGTATCATGCCAATCAGGTCAGATTACTCAATATATCGATTTATTGTCATGTCAAGTTGTTACAACAAATAGATAATTGAAATGGTCTCGAAGCATGATTCAACTATAGTAGGTCGTTTACACTCATTCAACATATATTCAACAAAGTCAACTCATTTGGTATTACTTATTAGCATAGCACCTGCATATATTTATGGCCATAACTGCAATTGTCAAAACTAAACAAATGATGATTGCCACTTGTCAGGGGAATTCGGCAGCTCGGGTGCTCGAATGTGTTGTTTAATGGTGATTTCATTAGTAACACGTTGGAATTTAGAACTTTTTGTAAATCTCGTAGCAAAAGAATGTATCAATAAGATGGATAGGAGGACTATTTCCACATAAGCTACACACAAGAACAAATTCATATCATGAAAGCCGCGAGATGAAAGATGACTTCAAATAGGGCTAGAAGTTTGGCATCGGTATTTGGGATATACTGAATATCGTATCGAATTTGTCTATATTTGGTATTACCGAATACACATATTATTTCTTGGGATTGAGATTGGGATTGAATTTCAATTGTTATTCGGTATTAGGGATTACGGGATTGGGATCGGGATATACCGAAATACCGATCAATACCGAAATAGAAGCTAGTTTGTATTTTATCCTCTCAACTAGACTCTCTCATTTACTACTAAATGACCCTCAACCACCAAAAGTGTCATTTAATTATACACAGATCATTCCATCACTATTAATAGTCGTCTCTCAACCTCTAATTCGTCAAATTAAAGATTATCAATAACAAGAACTTGAGATGTCCCCTCTCCTCCACTCTCCTTAATAATATCCTAATTCAAAACTCTTTGCTTAGTCTTTTTCCCGTAAATTAAACAATAAAATCTAATTTATATATTTAATTATTAATTGCAAAGGTAATTAATTTCGTATTCGATAATACCGATTGGGATACCGAAGTACTGATTGGGATACCGAATTATTTAGGGATTGGGGTACCGAAATTATTTAGGGATTAAGATTGGGATTGACTTTAGGGTATAATTCGGTATTCGGGATTTCGGTATTTGGTATTGGAATACCGATACCGTACCGATTTCCACCCCTAACTTCAAGGGCAGATTGATGGCATTGGCAGCTTTATGACCTCAAATGTGTTGACTTTGAAAAGGGGTGCAATAGCTAAATAGGTTAGCAATAGATAAACGAGATCTTTGACTTTCTCCCAAACAGACTAAGATGGAATGAGTGATTTATTGATCAAACGAAAATTACAATCAAAGAGTTTACAAACAAAGAACCTAATCCATGCCAACTTTGAAATTTGAAAATGAAAGACACTTCCCAAGCTTGATTCCCTCAGATAACACACTGTGAATCAAGCTACTGAAGCAAAACTCTCATGGACCCAAAGTAGAAGAAATATTCTGCTATTTGGGATTTTTCCAGAAATAGCACTTTTTAAAAAAAAAATTCCAAAAATAGCACCCAACTCCGAAAAATTCCAAAAATAGCACCCTTTCTGAAAAACCGCTCCCTACCAGTGCGGTTTAAGCGAAAACCGCCACCCAGGGGCGCGTTTTTCGATGAAAACCGCACCCCCAGGGGGCGGTTTGGCAGACCGCACCCCCACCATGCGATTTGGTTGGTGCGATCTGCTTTTTTTTTTTTTGAAAAATCCTAACCTAGGTTGAAACTTCAAACGGACGTATCTTTGTGTTCGGGTATCCGATCGTCGCGAATTTTTTTTTTATTCCGCATAACTTTTTGAGATCTTGCAAGCCGAAGGTGGTTTGATCCTGCCTTCGTCCTAAAAAATGTCGTTTGCTACCCCGAACGAGCTTTCTTCCGATTTCGTCAAACTTTGGACAACCATAACTTTGTGCTCCAAAATCCAAACAACATGAATTTTTTTTTATTTCGCATAACTTTTTAAGGACTACAATTTTTACTATAATGAATTTTCAAAACAGGAATTATTTTTGGATATACAGGATTTTGGGAATAGCTTACCTTCCCTTCTCAGCAATCCACGTACATTTTGAAATTGTGTCTATGATAAAAGTTGTAGTCCTTAAAAAGCTATGCGAAATAAAATAAAATTAATGTTGTTTGGATTTTGGAGCACAAAGTTATGTTTGTCCAAAGTTTGACGAAATCGGAAAAAAGCTCGTTCGGGGTAGCAAACGACATTTTTTGGGATGAAGGCGGGACCAAACCACCTTTGGCTTGCAAGATCTCAAAAAGTTATGCGAAATCAAAAAAAAATTTGCGACGATTGGATACCTGAACACAAAGATACGTCCGTTTGAAGTTTCCACCTAGGTTAGGATTTTTCAACAAAAAAAAAAAAGCAGATCGCACCCTAGGGGTGCGATCTGCAACCAAATCGCATGGTGGGGGTGCGGTCTGCAAAACCGCCCCCTGGGGGTGCGGTTTCCATCGAAAAACGCGCCCCTGGATGGCGGTTTTCGCCTAAACCGCACTGGTAGGGAGCGGTTTTTGGAAAAGGGTGCTATTTTTGGAATTTTTCGGACTTAGGTGCTATTTTAGGATTTTTTTTTTAACAGTGCTATTTCTGGAAAAATCCCCTGCTATTTCTCTCATTACAGACTGCCGAAGTTCAATTGAAGGAGGAAGATCAGTATTTATACTAGGGAATGGAGAAGATGATCGTTGTGGCTTGCAGAGACGCAACGGGAAGGCATCATGACCTTCTGTTGAGTCGGTGATGTCTGTGGAGCTTCATCGAGGAAAGCTTTGGAGTTTTTGCTGCCGCTTCTTTAGATGGGAGGCTAGGTTTGTGAAACACGATGATCCTGATCTTCTGGAGAAGACTTAGAAGGACGACTTTCTTAAACGGCGCCGTTGAGACTGGCTTGGCAGAGACGATGTCGTGTAACATGATAGTTGGAACGTCGCCGTTCTGGCTGCTTGGGTGAGACGGCATCTTTCTGTCTACAAAATGGAAATGCAGCTACCGGAGGGATCCTAAGGGATCATCTTGGCTCTTGGGAGGTGTATTGTTTGATCAAGGGTTTCTTTAAAGTATATATCGAATTAGTATAGCTATCTATCTTCTTCTTTTTTTTTTTAATAAATTAGCTATCTTTCTTCTAATGCACCAAGACATCTAACTATAATCACTAAAAAGGAGGTCCTAAATAATTTATTTTTTGTTGTTGCTAAAAAATGTATTTCTTTAAATTAGTTAAGATAATGATTCGTTGGGTTGCTTTCTAATAAAATTTCGTGAACATAAAATAGATGATTTTTGTGCGTAATTTGGGATCATATTCCATTACAAGAGCATAGCTCAAGGGTGCAGCAAAAGGTTTGAAGATTGCTAGACATAAAGGATACAAGAAAGTTCAGTGTAACTTGGATTTCACAACCACAATCAACATTATCCATAAATGCATAAAGAGGCAAGAGCAACCATAGACGCAATCTGATAGTCCAATAAACTACAAAGTTTCTTAATAGAAACTAGTTTTTTAGCTCGCACGCCTTTTTTTTCTTGCAAGAGTTATAATATTATTTTGGCACACATTTGTAGAATGTGAGGGATCCTTATCTTCGCTATCCGCTTATGTAGGACGATAGAAAAATCTTCCAAGAGCACACTATTTTAATATAAGTTGGGGTTCTTTTGTATCTATCTTTTTATAATGAAAAATAACCACATTTAATTATTGAACTCGAGAATGCAAACATTGTAAAAATAACGAATATCTTACCGAGTTAATTATTGGTATATTCTCTCATGTCATGTACAATATCAACCAATGAATCCGTCTACAAGGCACATTGATAGAAACACCACACAGTAGATGGGGGTGGGTGGATCCCTGGCTTGGTTTATTGTTTGCGGGTTATTATTTGTTTGAATCACTATTTAAGGATTGTTTGGTATTATTTGGGAATTAAGAAAGAACAATTACATAAAACTATTCTCCTATCCTCATTCTCTCTCGACTGCTCTTCCTCTCCAATCCCTATTTTCTTCTTCAAATCCCTAATCTTCCAGCTCAATTCTTCCCCAATTCTCATACTCTTTCACCCCAAATCCCTACCTCTATCTTGTATATACTCAGTGGTATCAGAGCAAGATGAGTTTATCGCAACTCTCACTGTGGGAATTGACCTGAAACATGAAGGAGAAGCTCGCAAAGGGCGAGACTGACTCGATCCAGGCGGTCGACTTTCTGGCGCAAAAGGAGGAGGCTACGGCGACCGTGAGCAGGGCACCGACGGAGGAGGTGGCGAAGGCAGGGATGGAGCCGAAGCTGCTGGCCATCATCTCGGTCACGTCTATGGCGGGGAAATCATCACTGGCAACACTGCGGTTCCGAGCGCAGGTAGAGGGAAAGACAGCAATGACGCTGGTGGATAGCGGAGCAACCTTGAACTTCATGGGAGAGGGCCTTGCTAAGACATTGAACCAGATGGCAATGACCATCAAACCGTTCATGGTGTGGGTAGCCAATGGAGCTCCACTGAGGTGTGAGCGGATGTACCGGGGTCTCTCGCTGACGATTCAAGGCCTCGAGGTAACTGTAGATCTTTTCGTACTGCCATTACAAGATTTGATATTGTATTGGGGATTCCTTGGTTGAAAAGCCTGGGACCCGTCACAAGCGATTGGGAGCGCATGACCATGCGATTCAAGTGGAGGGACAAGGAGTGGACATTACAAGGATTGACCACGGTGGCGGGACCAGTGCCGCTCGAGCAGTGTGCTCGGGAAGGAGGAGTGGTGGTCGTCGTGTTTTGCTGGCCGCTGGTGGGAGGAGACGCAGGAGGGAGCCAGGATGCTGCAGTGTTTTGGATGTGTATGCATGTTTTTTTCCAAAAACCTACGGAGCTTCCCCCGCAGAGGGAAGTGGATTATCGAATTTGGCTTCGAGAGGGAACTGATGCAGTGAACATGAGACCATACAGATATGGGCACTCACAGAAGGTCGAGATTGAGAGACAGGTGGAGTAGATGTTGGACACAAGATTGACCCGCATGAGCGCTAGTCCCTTTTCTTCACCGGTGCTGTTAGTGAAGAAAAAGGATGGGACGTGGCGTTTTTCTACGGATTACCGGGCTTTGAATGAAGTCACCATCAATGACGGGTTTCCCATTCCCATGGTGGAGTACATGCTTGATGAGTTGCACGGGGCCAAGTACTATACCAAACTCGATATGCGAGTTGGGTACCACCAGATCAGGATACATGAGAAGGACATCCACATGACGGCATCCGAACTCATAACGGTCATTATGAGTACTTGTAATGCCATTCAGACTGTGTAATGCTCCTTCTACCTTTCAGGCGGCGATGAATGAGATTTTTAGACTGTTATTGTGGCGGTTTGTTTTGGTATTTTTTTATGATATTTTGATATATAGCGCGAGCTAGGAGGAGCATCTGCAGCATTTACAGGTGGTATTTGACATTTTGCAGTAGTAGTGGTTCTACATAAAAGCCTAGAATTGCGCTTTCGGGTTCAATGAAGTGGATTATTTGGGGCATGTCATATCACAGGCAGGGGTGAGGGTCGACCAAGCTAAGATCCAGGCCATGATCGACTAGCCAGTTCCCCCTTGGAGACAGAGTTGAGAGGGTTCTTGGGTTTGACAGGATATTACAGGAAATTCGTGAAGAAATACAGCTCCATAACAAGGCCACTTACTATGCTACTTAAGAAAGGAGGGTTCGGCTGGAATCCAGCTGTAGATGAGGCATTCCAGGCATTGAAGGTGGCGATGACCACAACACCGACCCTAGCCCTCCCGGATTTCTCGTGGTCGTTCGTTATTGAGGCAGATGCATCGGGACGAGGGATCAACGTCGTGTTGTTGCAATACATGCACCCTATCGCCTTCATAAGTAAGACGCTCACTCCTTCAAAGGAAGCGTGGTCGACGTACCAGAAGGAGATGTTGGCTATCATTACTGCAGTACAGATGTGGAGGCCATACCTTCTTGGGCAGAGAATCTGCATTTTAACGGAACACCAGAGCCTCAAACAAATGCTCACTCAGAAGGTGTCCACTCTAGATCAGCATAAGTGAATGTCTAAACTGATGGGATATGATTATGAGATCCATTACAAGCCGGGACTGGCTAACATGGTGGCGGACGGGGTGTCTCAAAGCCAAGGAGGGGAGAGGCTAGCGGCGATCACAGGGCTAGTTTCTCAATTTTGGGAGGAGCTTAGGGCTGCGATGCAGACGAGCCCCTACATGCAGGAATGCCACGAGATAGCTATGAGTGAGCAGCCAGGAGATTATACTTACCTACATGGGTTGGTTTTTCACAAGGGTCGGATTGTGCTTCCTGCAGAATCATCCCTAGTTACTACGATACTCAAGGAGTTCCATGACACACCGATAGGGGGTCATTCCGGAAAGGAAAGGACCCTCTGGAGGATCTGAGCTCATTTTTACTAGCCTCATATGGCGACAGCTGTCCAGGAGTACGTGGCGATCTGTGGTGGTAGAATGAGACAAAATTAGGAAGTAAATTGCTTAGGGGTATTGACTCACTCAAAACTACACCGCGAATTATATCGTGATTAGAGCCCAAGTTTTTAATCACTAACCCACTGAAACCATAAAGACTATGGTGCAGTAGAAACTTATATCACCATCATATTGTAAAGTTCATGGAATGATAATAACAAACATGACCTAGGACAAACATATCGGATGCAGCCTTTTATTTTCATATTGAAATCACTATAAATCAAAAAAAATTAAAATTAAAATAATATATTTAAGTATTGTGTGGCACATTCTGTTTCCGTAACTACTAAATGAATCCCTACCAATATTAATACTTAGAAAAAGTCATTCGTTATATATTATCTACACGGAAAATAAAAGATTTCAAATATTCATCATGTATCTCAAAGTGTTTTTAATATTGAAGGACTTAATTGTCTATTTTGAAATAAAGTGATTCAATAAACTAAAATTAATTACTTAATTGATGTAAACGTAAATTAATAACTAAAGTGAAAAACTTAACTATCCAATAATTGTTTACCATAAAAGAGGATGTGACTTTAATGAATAGTTGTAATTGTAAACTGAAGGAATTATTTAGGCTTAGTGGCTTACCATGAAAAAGCAGTAACCATGGCTTACCATTAGTAAAACTTAAATGTGCTATCATCTGCCATCGAACCAACGAGCAAGGGGTCAAAATAAAAGTGGTCTTTCGCTGCACTAAATGATTTTTTTGATTATATCTTGCACGTCTTTATATTTAACAAAAATGTTTAGTTTATACGTAATACCCCAAACCCCCCCCCCCCCCCCCCCCCCCCCCCCCCCCCCCCCCCCCGAGGGCTACTGTAGCTCCGCCTCTGATCAACATGGATTTTATTATTGGTCTACCTCTGTCAGGTGGGAAGACAGTCTTGTTCGTGGTGGTGGATCGTCTCACTAAGTACGCTCACTTCATGGCTCTTGCACACCCGTACATGACAAAGTTGGTTGGTAAATAGTTCGTTACGGGGGTTATTCAACATCATGGCTTCCCGCAGACTATAGTGAGTGACAGGGATGCAATATTTCTAAGCCATTGCTGGAAGGAGGTCTTTGCTATGGCACAGACGGAATTATGTATGAGTTCAGCTTACCACCCACAGACCGAGGTCATTAATCTTCATTTAGAGTAGTATTTGAGGTGTTTCGCCCATCAGCAGCTGAAAGGCTGGTTGGCCATGCTACCCTAGGCGGAATTGTGGTACAACACGATGTACCATAGAGCTATACGGATGTCATAGTTCGAAGCTCTTTATGGTCGGTCATCGCCGGTGTTGGTTTGCTACAGATGGGGTTCGAGCACTGTGGATGCAGTGGATAAATGGTTGGCTTCTCAGGACGAAGCTTTGGCGCAAGTGAAGAATTATTTGGCAGTGGCTAATAAACGGATGAAGCAACTGGCGGACGCAGGACGGAGGGAAGAGGAGTTCGCAGTGGGTGATCTGGTGCTTCTACGACTGCATCTGTACCGACAGTCTGTTGTGTTTAGGCGAGCTTACCAGAAACTAGCAGCCAAGTACTTTGGGTCGTATGAGGTACTGGAGCGAGTGGGGCCAGTGGCATACAGACTGCATCTACCAGAGACTTCAAGCATCCATCCTACTTTCCACGTCGTGCTGTTGCAGAGGTACCCGAAAGTACACGTCCTGGGGAGGTGCCAGTTCCACCGGTTACGGCAAAGGGAGACTTGTTGCTCGAGCCCTTGGAGGTCATGGATACTCGTTGGGTGCAATGCAGTCAAAAGCGCGATTCTACCTAGAAATGGAAAAGGGGCAAAATCGTAAAGCGTAAAAGCGTAAGTTTTTGACGCATGCTCTAAAATAACTAAAAAACTGTTAAGTACGACATATACTATGTAAAATATGAGTGCACAGAATTTAGAAAAGTTAATAAGCACCCGCAATTCATACCTAAAGTAGAGAAGCTAATAGCCTCTTAATAATAAGTTCATAAACATAAATCTTAACAATAAGCCACCTTTCTCTCTATGCTAATGAATTTGGGAAGATCCTAGATGTAGCTGGTGAATTAGATTACTCTATTGAAGCTGAGAATGCGCCCAAGTACCTGTTATGTATCTTAATATCTTTTAATCTCAAATGTATCATATTGTTGGTATTTACCATTAAAATATACTTTTTATAATTAATGTCATGAAAATAATACCCATTTAGTGAATTAGAAGCGTAAAAGCGTAAAGCGTTTTTGGTGAACTAGAAGCGTAAAAGCGTAAGCTTTTAAGCTTTAAAACGCAATTTAGTCTGATTTTGTACACTAAAGTTTTTATATGGAAACGAAAGCGTTTTGGTGACCTAGAAGCGTAAAACCGTAAGTTTTTAAGTTTTAAATCCCGATTTTAACTGCATTGGTTGGGTGCACAAAGGCGGCAGGTTAAAGGAGGAGAGCTTGATTCGATGGAGACATGTGGAGCCGCAGGATGCTACGTGGGAAGATACAAAGACTATCATACGGATTTTTCCTACATTCGAACTCGAGGGCAAGGTCGATTTCGCAGAGGATGGGAATGATAGAAACACGACCCAGCAGATGGGGGTGGTCGGACGGGTCACGGACCCGGTTTATTGTTTGCGGGTTATTATTTGTTTGAAACACTATTTAAGGATTGTTTGGTATTATTTAGGAATTAAGAAAGAACAATTACATAAAACCTATTCTCCTATCTTCCTTCTCTCTCTACTGCTCTTCCTCTCCAATCCCTAATCTCTTCTTCAAATCAATCTTCCAGCTCAATTCTTCCTCAACTCTCATACTCTTTCACCCCAAATCCCTACTTCTATATTGTATCTATCACACATATATAGTGATTTATTATGTAAATATTAATATGGATGACCATTACATTATATGTATATTGGGTGTTATCTGTAACCCCTCAACCCATTCCAATTACCCATTCATTCTCACATTCATGTATATTGATTGTAAGAATGTAGAAGTTATGTGATGTGTGCCTATAAATAGAGGATCTTCTGGTACTAAGGAACACATGAATAAGAAAGCTATATTCCCCTCTCTTGTGTCTATCCCTCTTCATACTATCTCATAGTTGTTTATCTTTCCCTTTAATTCATAACATGTTATCAGCACGAGACTCTTCTTTTTGAAAATGTTAAATCCATAGTTGTTCTGCTCAAGGCATGTTGTTTCTTCCAAATGGTTTCTTTTATTGTTCTAATTCTATTTATATACCATTTCCTTTATTAATCACACATGAATTCTTTGTTTGAGAATGCAAAGGTATAATCTCCTTAATTTTTTTTAGCAAGTCATAGTTATATATACTTCGTAGTAATATAAAAATATTAGTATATTTTGCCTTTATAATTTGTTTCTTTAGAAATTCAAATTTATTTATATATTTGTAAAAAATTTGATTTGATATATTATGGGTCACAGAAGTCATTTGTCTTGATAACAATCTGTATTTATTTATTTATTACTTTAATTTGTGTATATTTCTATGATAGTATGTCGAATCTTTCAAAGCTTGAGTTTGTGGCTCTTGATGTCACTAGAAAGAATTACCTATCATGGGTGATAGATGCTGAAATTCATTTAGCTGCCAACGATCTTGGAGACATGACTAAAGAGGGTAATAATTAATAAAGCATCGGATCCAGATAAAGCTAAAACAATGATCTTTATTCAACATCACCTCCATGAGGGATTGAAGAATGAGTATCTTACGGTAAAAGATCCACTTATTCTTTGGACTAGTTTAAACGAGCGGTATGACCACCAAAAAACTGTGATTCTTCCTAAGGCTCATTATGATTGAATGCATTTGAGGTTACAAGATTTTAAATTTGTGAGTGATTATAATTCAGAGCTATTCAAAAATAACCTCACAAGTATTGTTATGTGAAGAAAATATTACTCATGAAGATATTTTGGAAAAAACATTCCCCACCTTTCATGCATCCAATGTGCTCCTGCAACAACAATACCGTGAGAAAGGTTCAAGAAATATTCTGATTTTTGTCTCCTTGTGGCTGAACAAAATAATGAGCTCTTAATGAAAAATCACCAATCTCATCCTACTAGTGTCGCCTCATTCCTAGAAGCGAATGCGGCGAAGTTCACAGAATATTCTTATGGGCAAATACATGGATGAGGACGTGGGCGTGGTCATGCTCGAGGTCGTGGCCGAGATCTTGGTTGTGGTCGTGGTGAAAGTTTCAAAAGCTCATTTTTCCCGAGAAGTGGAAAAGATGATATGGTAGATGAGGCAAGGAACAAAGTGTTCAGGGTAACAAACACGTCGAAAATGTTTGTTACTGTTGTGGTGGAAAAGGTCATTAGTCTCGTACCTGTCGTACGCCAAAACACTTGGTTAATCTCTACCTATAATCATTAAAAGGTAAAAAGATAGAAACCAATTGTATTTTTGAGGAAGATTATCCAGGAAAAGAATATAATGATGCTACTCGTCTAGATGTATATTTGCCCACCCTGAAGGAAAATAGATCACTTGATTGGTGACAGGAATGTTCGCAAGTGAAAAGTCTATGATTTCCATTGGAAATTTCTATTTCTTTGTCGCTTTGTTCACAGGTGAAAAGTTTAGGTTTCCCATTTGAAATTTCACTTTCTTTGTCATTTTCCTTGAGTGTGTTTTTCCTTTTAATGTGTTGCTTTAACATAATTTTCTCTTTATAATCCTATGATGGTGTAATTTCATCTATTTAATCATGTCATTATTGTTATCTTTATTTGGAGATATTTTCTTATATTTATTTACTTTCTTTCTTTTGTGAAAAGGAATATTCTCATGCTTAGCACCAAGATCAAAAAACACGATGCGTGTCTCATCAATAGTGCATCGACACATACAATCTTGAAGGATAATAAATATTTTGCTCATCTTGAAATGCGAGAAGCTAATGTTAGTACTATATTTGGAAGTACAAATTTAATTGAAGGCTCCACAAGAGCTAGTGTATTGTTACCAAAAGGAACCAAATTATATATCGATGAAGCCTTATACTCTTCAAAGTCTCGAAAAAATTTATTGAGTTACAAAGATATTAGCCAAAATAGATATAATATTGAAAAAATGAAAAAGAGAATAAAGAGTATATTATGATAACAAATATGGTCTCCGGCAAGAAACACATATTGGAGAAATTGCCTACTATTTCTTCTGGTTTGTACTACACGTTTATTAGTACAATTGAAACTCATGCAGTGGTAAACGAGAAGTTTACAAATCTTGAGAACTTTATAGTTTGGCATGGCCGGTTATGCCATCCCGAATTGATTATGATGCGAAAATCATTGCCAATATGATAGAAACCTAGTAATTTTAGTATTATGTTTAGTGTCGGATTATCGCTATTTCGGATTATTGGGACCATTTCGAGAATTGGGAATAAATTATATGTTGGGTAGTAGTAGGTAATTATCCAATCATTATATATATTACTTGTAAGTGGGATTAGGCCACTAAGTAAGATTAAACCCTAAAATATTCTCTAAACTCACCTCTCTCCCTTTCCCCTCTGCCGAACCCTCCTTCTCCCTCTCTACTGCTGCCTGCGGCAGCCTTCTTCTTCCTTTCCCCTAGCTAATTCTAATTTCATTATTCCACTCCCCTTTCCCTAAGCAACGTAATCACCACCTTGGTGATTCGATTCTTGCACGAAATCCCTAAACCGATAGAACCTAATTTTAGGGTTCTATCATTTGGTATCAGAGCCCCGTTCTTGGGTTCGTGAGCAAACGAAGAACGAAGATCGAGATGATGTCAACAAAGTCCATGCAAGCAGCTGAGAAGGCCGCCAAGGCGGCGCAGGAGCAGGCAACGATCGCAGACACCGGACGTCCGTCCACCGCCGATGGCGTGCCCGAGATTCCCCATCCTCGGGATGGGGAGATGGTTGATTAGACGATCGGTGAGGAGCTTCGCACCGGTTTGACCAAAATGCAGAGGCCGTGGAGCAAGATTGCCGGTTCCGTCTGAAGGGTGAGCCGCAGAAGAAGTGGCTTGCGATCGGCGAGCTAAAGGTGATGCTGGCTGAGGCCCTGGGGCTCTCAGGAGGAGGCGGCGGCGGCGCGACCAGAGGCGCGGGCTCGTCGGCGGTTGCCGCGGCGGGCGGAGCCGACCAGGGCGGCGCGCTCGGCGGCGAGGGGGCGGCAATAGGAGCCGCGGGAAGTGGAGGGGGCGCAGGGGGCGGCGACAGCAGGCCACCGCGCGGCGCGCGAGGCGCCCGAGAAGGCGCCGGCGGTGACGGCCCGGGGCGCTACGCGAGAGGCGGCGACTGAGCTCGGGCCGGGAACAGGTGGAGGCGGAGCAGGGATGGGCCCAGCGCAGGCAAGGTTAGGTGGGGGCCCGGGTCTATTACCTACACGTACAACCCAAGAGATTGCGGCCCGAAAGGGGAAGGCCAAGATGCCCAGCTATGACACAGACGGGCCCCCCATGAATATTGGGCCGGAGCCGATGGGCCACTATACGAAGGTCCACAACGGGCTGGGGTGGTTAGATCTGGATGATGGGCCCGAGGATGACGAACTTAGCTTGGAGATCGACAGGCCAGGGGGTTGAACCGGAGGTGGACCAGAGGGGGCCTGGTGGGCCGAGGAAGACCGCCGACCAGTTTGGGCGGGTGGGGTCGGCTCCTATGGGGCGGACCGCAGTGGGCTGGGCAGAGGCGAGCTGGACCGAGACCGGTCGAGGTGAGCTGAACCGAGCCCGGTCGGGCCAAAATGGGTCGACCAGAAGTGGGTCGAACCAGACATCGATCGAGTCCGACTGCTCAGCAAACCAGAAGGGTGGACAGCAGGGAATCAGCCGGCTGGGAGGGTCCGTACGGGGCACCTCACGTTCCAGGAGGGTACCCAAACCTACACGGCAGCTACCCGGGTGACTATTGGCACGGGAATCCAAGCTGGGTTCAGGGATCTCCAGTTAGGCAGTCGTGGAGGACTCCAGGAAATGAAAGGTATGGGTCCCACTGTATGAACTATGAGGGAATTGATGGAGTAGTTTTTCGAGCTAAGCCTCCTACCATTGAGTTTCCAAAATTCAATGGGCAAGAGGATGCAGGCCTTTGGTTTTATGCAGTTGAGAGGTGGTATAAAAACCACCCGATCCCGGAGGAGAGGAAGGCCTATCTGGCATCGTTCTATTTGGTGGGAGATGCGCTCCAGTGGTGGGATTGGATGGAGAGATCCTACGCAGCCGCAACAACTTTGATCACATGGCCTATGTTTCAGGAGGAGCTCCGCTATCAGTTTGGGAAATCGGATGGTGGGCTCCTGAGCAGTTGGCAAAGCTGAAGCAGACCGGTACGGTGGCTGAATACCGTGCGGAGTTCTTCAAGTTGGGAAACTAGTGTAAAGGAGTCTCAGAGGACACCTTGGTGGGGCTGTGCATGGCGGGTCTTAAGCCCGAGATAGCAGCGGCAGTCAGGGTATTCGAGCCCGATTCCTTGAAAGCTGCTTTTCGTCTTGCAAGTCATAAGGAGGAAGAACTGGCTAGTTGGAGGAGCACCATTGGCCGTTTCTCGAAGTCTGGTGGAGGTGGAGGAAGCAACGGGAACAGTGGCGGCATGGGAGGGGCGCCAGTAGGCAGAGCAACTGGAGCTAAACTTGGCAGTGGAGGCCCTGCCCCGGTGGCTAGGATGGGACCACGGGCCATTCCCAAGGGGTTCGTGCGACTGTCTCCCCGCCGAGGTCGAGCAAAAGAGGCGGGAGGGCAAATGTTTCAATTGTGATGGTCGGTTCACCATCGGTCATCAATGCCCGAAGCCGGACCTGATGATGTTATTGGGGCGTTGGGAAGATGAAGTGGAAGACGCAGCCGAGGATGCCGGGATTGGAGAGGAGGCGACACAGTGAGCTCGAGGAGCAACCTTGGGGACAAGGTTGATTTTCGAAGGAAACGGGGATGATAGAATCCTAGTAATTTTAGTATTATGTTTAGTGTCGGATTATCGCTATTTCGGATTATTGGGACCATTTCGGGAATTGGGAATAAATTATATGTTGGGTAGTAGTAGGTAATTATCCAATTATTATATATATTACTTGTAAGTGGGATTAGGCCACTAAGCAAGATTAAACCCTAAAATATTCTCTAAAATCACCTCTCTCCCTTGCCCCTCTACCAAACCCTCCTTCTCCGGTTCTCCCTCTCTACTGCTGCCTGCAGCCGCCTTCTTCTTCCTTTCCCCTAGCTAATTCTAATTCCATTCTTCCACTCCCCTTTCCCTAAGCAACGTAATCACCACCTTGGTGATTCGATTCTTGCACCAAATCCCTAAACCGATAGAACCTAATTTTAGGGTTCTATCACAATACAGGTGGACATCCATTGAAAGGTCACAAAATTTAACACTTTAAAGGTGTACCATTTGCTGCATGTTCTCGTGGCAAGGTGATTATACGACCATCACCTATAAAAGTAAGGAGTGAATCTCTTACATTTTTAGAACGTATACAACGTGATATATGGTGGCCAATTCACCCACCATGTGGACCATTTGGATATTTTATGATTTTAGTTGATGCATCAACTAGATGGTCACATGTGTGTTTACTATCAACTCGCACCTGACGTGTGCTGGATTACTTGCCCAACTGATTCTACTACGAGCATATTTTCCTAATGTTTCAATCAAGAAAATAGGTCTAGATAATGCTGGTGAATTTACTTCACAAACTTTTAATGACTATTGTATGTCCATTGGCATTGATGTAGAACATCTTGTAGCACGTGTTCATACACAAAATGGCCTTGCAGAATCATTTATTAAGCATTGCAACTGATTGCAAGACCATTGCTTATGAAAACAAGCTTGCCAATTTCTTGTTGGGGACATGCTATATTGCTTACAACAACATTAGTTCGCATCAGGCCAACAAGTTATCATGAAATTTCTCCCTTGCAAATGGTTTTTCGTTAGGAACCTAATATTTCTCATCTAAAAATATTTGGGTGTGTCGTTTACATCCCTATTGCTCCACCACAGCGTGTTAAGATGGGTCCTCAAAGGAGGTTGGGAATTTATGTTGGATATGAATTCCCATCAATCATAAAATACTTATAACTCTCGAAGGGAGATTTACTCACTACTCGTTTTGTTGATTGTAATTTTGATGAATCAGTTTTCCCAACATTAGGGGGTGAGAACAAACAACTGGGAAAATATATTTGTTGGAATGAATTATCACTATCTCATATTGATCCTCATACTAGACACTGTGAACTAGAAGTTCAAAAGATAATTCATTTACAAAGTTTAGCAAACCAAATGTCATATTCTTTTACTAGCCAGAAGAGAGTGACAAAGTCACACATACCCGCTGTAAATGCTCCAGCGAAAGTCGATGCCCCTGTTGGACAATCTGAAATTGCAAATGAATCTAAACCAAGAATGAAGCGTGGTAAACTAGTAGGTTTCAAAGATAAAAATCCTCGAAAAATAAAAGGAGCTATGAATCAAGATGGTCAAATTGAGGATATCAAAGCTCAATAAGAGATCTCAATCAATTATATCTTGGTTGAAAAATGTTGGAACCGAAATGAAGTAATTGTCGATGATGCTTTTGCCTATGCTGAAGCGTTGAGTGTGATGAATGAAAATGAGGATCATGAACCAAGATCTATTGATAAATGCAAGTCAAGAGATGATTGACCAAAGTGGAAAGAGGTCATTGAGGGGAAATAAACTCACTTTCAAAACAAAAGGTTTTTGGATCGGTAGTCCTTACACCAAAAAATGTAAAGCCAGTGGGATACAGATGGGTTTTTGTGCGGAAAAGAAATGAGAAGGGTGAAGTCGTGAGATATAAAGCACATCTTGTCGCACAAGGATTTTCGCAGAGAACTGGCATTGATTATGAGGAGACATACTCTTCTGTGGTGGATGCAACTATGATTCGATACTTGATTAGTTTGCCAGTTCGAGAAGGACTAGATCTGCGTCTAATGGATGTTGTGACAGCCTATTTGTATGGATCACTTGAAAATGTGTGTGTATATATATGGATACGACTCGTATGCTCCAAATGCATAGCATGTGTCAGGCCCTCCACACCGTTGATCTAATCTAATGGCTATTATTATTTATAATTAACTAATTTCTTATGAATAATTACAATTCACGCCACATAAATAAGTATACTTCCACTACAATCCCCCAACAATTTTTACCATTATGTATTATACTAGCTTTTACTCGGTCCTTGACCGAATGAGCTTTGTTTTATCTTTTACATTGGTTCATTTCTTTTACATTGTTTTATATTTTACGTTGGTCGGATGAATTTTATTTTATGTTGATAAATTTTTTCATGTTTTAATATAATTTGAGGTTTTCTAAAATAGCTAATTCATTGTTTTAAAGTAATCTTTATGGTATTTGTAGATTATAACATTAGCTATAATTAGTTAATATGTATTTTTTTATCAAGTCGTCCTAGTTTACTGTTTTGTATTTTTTCTCCTATATCTTAGAAGAAATTTTGTGGACTTTTTATTATCGGATATAAATTTGGAGTTGGAAGGAAATATATGTCATCTAGAATTGGTAGAAATTGAAGATAATAAAAAAATCAAGAGAATAAAGAAAAGATTATGCCTCAAAATCTCAAATATGAAAGAATAAGAAAAAATCATGCTTATTGTATAAATTATTATTATTTAGTGTATATGCTTGTTTGAATAATAAGTGGGGGTTGTTAGGTGTTAGATACTAATGCACGTACTAAAGTTAAGAGAATCCAAACATTATAAAAGGTTAAATTCTACTCTACCAATATACTATTTGACTTTCCATGTGGAGTTAATAGCATAAATTGTCACTCTATTATCCATTTTTCTAAAATCTATCCCTCTATTATTTTTCAAATCAAACATGTCCTGGTAATATATAGTATATAAGCATTATCAAATTAAATTTAGCCCCTTTTATGATTTATCTTCTCCATCGGCAACTCCCAATAATTAGTAGCTACAGTCACATTCTCCATCTGTTCTGCTTTCTCTTCCTTCGACCCAACAATAATTAAACGCAAAAACTTGTCTGTCACGAAAGAAACTTGAAGACCGGCTTTTGAATTTCAACCACTCTCTGAAAATCCACAATATTGATCGATTTGACTCAATAATAAAAATTGGAACACCAAATTTTTTAGAATATATGGCTTTTAAAGATCAAAGGTTGTCAACCTTGTTTAGCCCGTTGGTCCGGTCGATTAAGTGGGTTGAGGGTTAATGGTTCATTCATTTTAGTCCGCTTTTGCCCGGATATATGAAGAAGTCATTATATTGTTCATATATTTATAAATTATATAAAATCTCATCTATATAGGGATAATATTCTTCCTCGCCCGAACTATCTACATTTGTTTCTCTATCTACTACTTTCCGCTATCCTCCGAGCTCCTAAAAAGCACTGCACCAACATGTATTCATCATGCGACGAAGGTCGCACTCCTATGATGCCGGTGTGTGTCAGATGTGAAACTAATGAGGAATGGCCAAGTGAGAATTGAGCGTGGGGGTGCTTGCGAGGGAAGGCAATTTGTGATGGAAGCCGAATTCTGATAGTAGTCTATTTGTCTACAGAATTGACTCGACGGATTTGGCTTACCAATTAGCATAGAAGGAGCTAGAATGGGAGCGTAAGAGCGTATATTCTTTGAGAATTATAATTTGAGTGCGCCGAAAGAGCGTGAATATTATATTATTTTAATTAAAATATCATTTAACTTACTAACATTTTTTAGTAAAAATATTACAACAATGCAGCGGAAAAATAAAAATAAAATAATTTTAGTAGGATAATAGTTTTAAATAATCTGATTAAGCCCAAAAAGGGAACAGATTTCAAAAGTTGAATAGAAACCCACCAAAGTTTACGATACTGTTTTTTGTTTTTTATTGAAGTTTTAGTTTTATTTTTTTAAAAGGAAAAGAGAAAAGAATGCATCGTTTATCTACCCGCATGCACTCAATTCTTTTATCCACCCCCATGCATCGTTTCTTTCCCCTCGGTTCTTTGTTTCCTAAGTCGATGCTGGAGGTCTCCTGTAGATGTACCAAATTGGCAAATTTTATATCATCAGTCATCTAACTAACCTCTTGTCCTTTTATTTGGCCATAAGCCCGTGATTTGATGATCTATTTTACAGTCCCCATTAGGGGGCAGTTCGGTTACCGGTTATCGGTTAACCGGCCAGTTATCCACTAACCGGTAACCAAAGTAACCGAACTTCGGTCGGTTATCGGAGGCTGGACGAAATGGTTTTTGGTATTAAAAGTGGTGAGCGTAAGAGCGTATATTCTTTGAGAATTATAATTTGAGTGCGCCGAAAGAGCGTGAATATTATATTATTTTAATTAATATATCATTTAACTTACTAACATTTTTTAGTAAAAATATTACAACAATGCAGCGGAAAAATAAAAATAAAATAATTTTAGTAGGATAATAGTTTTAAATAATCTGATTAAGCCCAAAAAGGGAACAGATTTAAAAAGTTGAATAGAAACCCACCAAAGTTTACGATACTGTTTTTTGTTTTTTAATGAAGTTTTCGTTTTATTTTTTTAAAAGGAAAAGAGAAATGAATGCATCGTTTATCTACCCGCATGCACTCAATTCGTTTATCCACCCCCATGCATCGTTTCTTCCCCCTCGGTTCTTTGTTTCCTAAGTCGACGCTGGAGAACTCCTGTAGATGTACCAAATTGGAAAATTCTATATCATCAGTCATCTAACTAACCTCTTATCCTTTTATTTGGCCATAAGCCCGTGATTTGATGATCTATTTTACAGTCCCCATTAGGGGGGCAGTTCGGTTACCGGTTATCGGTTAACCGGCCAGTTATCCACTAACCGGTAACCAAAGTAACCGAACTTCGGTCGGTTATTGGAGGCTGGACGAAATGGTTTTTGGTATTAAAAGTGGTTTGGTTAACCAATAACCGAGAAACCGAAGCCTATTTCGGGCGGTTTTCGGTAGGGGGAGTGGTTATTTCGGTTATCGGTTATAACCAAAATAACCGAACTGCCACCCCTAGTCCCCATTTAAGAACTTGTGGTGTACCATTTTCGTCTTTGCTCTCCAGATCTTTGATGGCACCGCATGTATTCCTTTCTCCCACGAAGAAGCGAGCCATCGTCTTCGAGCCAAAGCTGTTGATTTGGCTATAACTTGTTTCATTTTACTTTGTTTATAGAAAGAAAAATCTCTCAAATAAGTGATATATGAAATCAAATTTGCGAACTTTGATTTTCAATGCTCTGATTTTTTAGTTTGATCTACAATTTCTGAGTTTTGGAAGTTTGTAGTTTCTGAAAAATAATTGTGAAGCAAAAATATCATTTTTACTTTCACTCTCGTTGTAGGAAATTCGAAATGAGACAACAATTTTCTCATTTTAGTATTTTATATTGTGTATAGTGTATATAAAGACATGTCCATTCCCTACAAATTCATTAGCACATTTAAAAAAGGTGAAATGAACCAAATTATCAAACTCTTAATGATTGTTGGATCCAATCATGTCAGAATAGGAAGAAGTTTAAAATTTGACGGTTAGGAGAGCTAAAATGTTCAAAGAATCAGTCTCATATAGTTTACACGAAGATATGAATACGATTGTGTCATAGTAGATCTAATTTAAGAATTATACATCACTTTTACATATTCAATACTGCAATTCGATATGGAAAATTCAAACCAGTGATATTTGGGCCGCGATTTTAAAGTAAACCTCTATTTATAAGATATATATAGGAATTTAATTAAGTATTAAACAATAATTAAAATGAGGAATTTGGCCTCTATTAGTCACACAAAGTTTTAACTCAAATGCATGTTTCTCTAATAATTTTTGCTTCTTATTTGTATGAGTTGAGGTCAACCAGCTCTATGACTGTGCACCTGGAGAAAAATGAAATTTACTATTGCGGGATTATGATGCATTTTGAGATGGTTTGGTCTTGTATTGTAGGCTCTCGAATCTAAAGCAAGAAGAAGAGACGATGGGATAGGCGAACCTGGTCTGTGATGCTTCATGTTGTGGGAATCTGTGATAAGTAAAAGATGATATGACAACATAGCTACATATATGAATTGTTGAAAACAACATCATTTTGAAGTGGCCCGGTGCTTGAATCACTTGTTTAACTCGGTCGGATTTCCCGTTGAGATAGATAAACTCGACTTTGACCGATCTCGAGTAGACAACCAACTAGGTCTTCGACACCCGCTGAGATACTCAAGTTTAGGTAGAATTGGTTTGACCAGCAGAGTCATACTCGAATTGACAATAATGGTCATGACTCTTGTTGTCTGTGTTTGAAGATACATTAGTTCAAATCCCAATACTTGTCTATTTTCTATACAAAATAAAGATATATAATGGCGAAGACAAAAATGTCATTCATACTTTTGCTCTCGTTGTAGAAATTTGAAATGGGGCGACAATTTTATCATGCCAGTAGTATATATTGTGTAGAGTGTATATGTAGACATGTCCCATTTTATCATGCCAGTAGTATCAATTTTACCACGTTATACCATGTGGTATTGTATGGTAGTTAGATTTGTAATTTTCTACAACATATTTTACCATGTTTTACCACGTTATACCATGTGGTATTGTATCATAGTTAGATTTGTAATTTTCTTCAACATATTTACCATGTTTTACCATGATAGTAGAAAGTGATAATCATATTTATACTTGTAATTACTGTCTTTAGCACTGAATCATTTAACGAAAAAATCATCATTCAATTTGAGATGGAATTAGATCAGAGATGGCTAGAATGGTTAGATTCATTTTTGTTGTATATGGGAGAGAGAAGAACTAATGTATTTTTTCTTTTAATAATAAAACAAAGAGTGAGAGAGAGGGGAACCAGTGTAGGGTGGGAACCGCGTCTGGTCAAAAAGTCAGCGTCAGCGCGTCAGCATTAAATAGGGGTACAATTTACCTTAGTGCCCCTCCGTGTTAAATTTAAATAAAAGGAAAAAGCTGACACGTGGGGACAAATGATTAGATTACTGACAGTTACTGATGGGTGAGTTACTGACCTGATCCGGTCCCCCCAACACCCTCATCATAAAAAACCTCACAAACCTAGACGCCACCTAGAACATCATCACAAATTAAAAGGGAACAAAATTGGTTCATTAAAATCAGATGTGAGATTAAATCCCTCTCGCCGTTGCTCGCCTAAGTATCCATCTCCACATCACGGAACTCCGTCGGAGATATGACAACTACGATTCCATATCCAGATTAGCACACAGACCGGCGGCCAATTCCCCGTCAATCACCAAACTCATCCTTCCATTCGGTTCATCTTCGCATAGAGCAATTCGTGTCGTTGAAGGAGGCAGCCGGTGACGATTGTTCTTGCAGGCGGTGGTCTTGGATTTTTCTTGCCGCTGTTGTCGCCGGCAGCGGCCAGAGTGAGGGGCGAGTGGGAATTAGAGGTAATGTGGGACTGCCAATGGGGAAGAACTCGAGTGGCATGCGGAGTGGAAGCTTTGACATTTGTGGGATATGAGAAGTTCTGGACGGCCATGACCATGGCGGCGGCTGGGTAGAGCGGTGGCTGTGGATACTTTTTGACCCATCAATCGCAAACTTTGGAGACGATGAGGACGATGAGGACGATGTCACAGTGGCAGCTGCCGGAGAAGAGGTGCTTTCGGTGTACTCGCCTGCGTACATGGCAGTGACGGTTCCTTTCCTCTTGTCATCTTTAATGATCCCGCTGCAGCTTCCGGCAAGACGGTCTCACTCCCTCTCCGTCATTTCTGTTCAATCGGTAATCTCAACCATCAGTTGCGGCGACTGCGTATTATTTAGGGAAGGTTGAAAGAATTCCTTGATAAATTGAAGTAGTTAATTGCTTAATTTCAAACGCTAACCTAACGTTGTGTGTGTGTGTATTTTTTTTTTGTACAGATCGGTTGGGTCTATCAATATGAGAAACCCTGTACCAAGCTACCCGCAATTCAAAACAGCAACAATAGATGCAGACTCATAACGTAGAGTGGATTCAAAACCCACATAGAAGGAAGAAGAACCAGGGAACGTTATGTGTCTCACTATTAGCTTCATAAAGCAAACGATTTCCATTATGTTCAGTTTTCAGTATCTCTGCTTCGTTCATTGCGTGTGCTCTGTTTCTCTCATTTGTGTCATGCTCTGTTTCTAAGTTGCAGAAGAATTAAAGTTTGTTAATGGACCAAAGTGGAAAGTGGGATTTGGAGTTGAAACGACGGCTTGGAAAAAATTAAGTAGCTTTGATGGAGACACAGTTACAAAAATGGGGTATTCAAGTGATGATTAATAGAAAATTAGGTACATGAATTTAAAAAGGTATGAAAAAGTTTGTATATGGACTAAAGAGGACGTTTAAAAAAGTAACGGAACTAATTAATTATTTATATATTGTAAAAAATAAATAACTAATCATAATTAATCAACGCTGTTAGATTAGATCAACGGTGTGGTGGTGATTAATAAATAACTTAATCATGCCCAAAAATCTGGTTAATTCGAGGTCTAGATATCATTTTCTTACTCAGGGGTATATCGTACCCTAGATTTTACTCAAGGTACGATAGAAGCCACCTCCCTGAAGGATTCACTTTGCCAAAAGCAAGTAAGACAGATTCTCGAGAAAAAATTTCTATCAAATTGAACAAATCCTTGTATGGATTGAAACAATCTGGACGAATGTGATACAATCGTCTTAGTGAATATTTGATGAAAGAAGGATACAAGAATGACCCCATTTGTCCATATGTTTTCCTAAAGAGATTAGGTAGTGAATTTGTTATAATATCAGTTTATGTTAATGACATAAATATCATTGGAACTCGCAAAGAGCTTCCAAAAGCAGTTGATTGCTTGAAGAAAGAGTTTGAAATGAAAGATTTAGGAATAACAAAGTTCTGCCTTGGATTACAGATTGAACATTTAAAGGATGATATATTTGTGCATTAAGAAGGATATGTTGAAAAGGTGCTTAAACTATTTTATATGGACAATTCACACCCATTGAGTAATCCAATGGTTGTAAGATCACTTGATGTGAAAAGAGATATTTATTCACTTGTGGTGGTACAATCATTTCGTGACGATCCACAAAACAAACTATAACATCCACATCATCCAATCATGCGGAAATCTTAGAAATTCACGAGGCAAGTTGTGAATGTGTTTGGTAAAGATCTATAATTCAACACATCAGAAAATCTTGTGGACTATCTCGAGGAAAAATGATCATGACGATCATGTATGAAGATAATGCAGCATGCATTGCTCAATTAAAGGAATGACACATTAAAGGGGATAGAACAACACATATTCCATCCAAGTCCTTTTTCACTCATGATCTTTAAAAAGGTAGTGAAATAATTGTTCAAAAGGTCCGTTCAAGTGAGAATCTAGCATATTTATTCACCAAGTCACTCACGACGACAATCTTTGTAAAGCTTTTCCGTGATATTAGAGTTCGACGACTCAAAGACCTGAGTTGATGTGGTCATGAGCGGGAGCATATACGCATTGCACTCTTTTTTCATTAACGATTTTTTCCCACTGGGTTTTCCTGATAAAGTTTTTAATGAGGCAGCATAAGATAACGTAATGTGATCTATTGGTCATCCAAGGGGGAGTATTAATATCAGCGTTGTTAAAGTCGGACAGGACTGGACCGGTCGGACCGCCAAAACCGATACCACGAGGCCAGACCGGTCCGGATCAGCCTAATAGCCGCAACAGGTAGAATGGCCGGTCGGCAAGCGGGTGAAACGATTAACCATTAGAGTCGCTCGAACCGTCCGACCGGTTTTCGATTTCTGGCCGCCCACTGAAAGAAAAAAGAAATTGATCGCAAGAGAGGTGTTTAGCGAGGCGAGGCAAGGCTCGGTTCTAAAGCGGCGGTGAGTGGGGTGGAGGAAGACGATTTCGCGATGGTGAAGCAGATACGGCATAAGGCGGTGTCTACGAGCGCGACGGAGACAGTGTGGCTGTTGTGCAGCTCTCCCTTAGAGATTTGTCGGCGATGAGGCTGGGTATGGTGGTGGCGGGGTGGGGGTAGGGTTTTGTGGAAACAAAATTGCAGAAAGAAAAATGGAAGAGAAGAGATCGAGTTTGAGAGAGGGGGTGAGGATTTTAGAAGGCGTTGCGGCGCTACCGCTTTGGATGGGGTGGGGTAGGATTTTTCAGTTACTATATTTATATATTGCTAAATGATACTTGGTAAATTTTATTTTAGTCATTATATTATTAAATTATTAATTTATGTGCCTTTTATTTATGATATTATTGTTTATAAGGCACCGGTTTTCTAATGGTTTTTTAACGGCAATACCGATTGAACCATTAAAATACGAGCCGTTCACAATACCAGGTTATGCTCCGGTTCGGTTCTGACAACATTGATTCATATTAATATGAATGACCGTTACATTAAGAGGTATTATTTGGTGTTACATGTAACCCCTCAACCCATTCCAATTACCCATTCATTCTCACATTCATGTATATTGATTATAAGAATGAGAGGTTATGTGATGTGTGCCTATAAATAGAGAATCTTGTACTAAGAAACACATTAATAAAAAAGCTCTATTCCCCTCTCATTCCCCTCTCTTTTATGTCTTTCCCTCTTCATACTATCTCATAGTTGTTTATCCTTCCCTTTAGTTCATAACATAATTTTCAGATTTTTTTTCTTAACTTACACTATAGTGTTATATCCATAAGTTAAAATATACAGTATCCACAACAAACAAAGATCCTCTTCATACTATCTCATATCTCATAGTTGTTTATCTTTCCCTTTAGTTCATAACATAATTTTCATAATTTTTGTTCTTGACTTACACTATAGTGTTATATCCATAAGTTAAAATATACAGTATCCACAACAAACAAAGATCCTCTTTTCGACCATTAGCTACTACAGATTCGCTTCCATGCACGACATTGTTTTGTTGCCGTAGTATTGGACCTTACACCACAAAATCTGTGAAACGAAACAAAAGAAGACGGCCAAGCCAACTGAAATATGACTATATGTCACATTACCACTTGTAGGCTGCAGCATAGAGACTGTTTACAAGAGATTAACAAACTAGATTACAATTTCGTTAAAAAAAGGGGAAGAAAGCTAAAACGCAACAACGCCGTTGAGAAAGTGGCTTTTCTGGTCTTTTCTATGATTTCCATAAGGGGTTCGGCTAGTCCAAAAGGCCGCTTAGTCTAGCAGCATTTGATGTATTAGAGTTCATCAAATCCAAGTTTTCTCGCTCGCATTCGCGTATTACAACAATCGATCAGAACTTCAAATTATGCTCCTTGTCATGATGAACTTGAACAAGTGATCAAGAATCTGGATGTGTTTGGAGATCCAGCATACTAATTCGCTATCTCGTTGACATATCATTCTACTTGATGCATTCTACCTATGTTCATGAAGTAATTTTGTTTGCATTCATGTGGATCAATAGAATGGACGTACACTTACATCGCGCAGTGAGGTGGAAAAGATGCCCCATGGTCCCCAGAATTTTCTTCAATCGTCGAGATTAATGGGCTCCATGAACTCGACCTCGCTCTTGAAAGTCTTGACGTGACAGAGCTTCCCGCCGGCTTCGTTGGTGAAAGATATATTCCTCTTCTCCTTCTGGGCGACGACGATTGCTGCTGAAGTAGTTGCGGGACCATTTTGGGTCAATTTCTGAGGCTTCATTTCAGTCGGTAGGTATTAGTAACAAGTATAGAGACACTAGCTTTTTAGGAAAGTCCATGACAATAGTCAGTAGAGAAAGACAAACCATTAGTTTGCAGAAGCGATCGCAATCCCTTGCCATTGTGGAGAGCCATCTTCGTACATTTTCTTCCACTCTTGCTGCTTTCTCTATGGTGCTACTTGCCTGCAACAGCAAAATCAAGAACCTGAATTATGGGTCTCCAGTACTATTGAAGTCCCTGGACTGACTTTTTCCCCCTGTATCATACCTCTTGGTGAGTGTACTTGGGGGAGGCAGATGGATTGAAGTGCAATGCTGCTTCAGCAATATCCTTCATAGACTTCAATTCCTTGGTGAGCTTAGTCGCCATGGATTCGAGGTCACGCATATGGTTCTGCGAAAACGAGATGGCATTCTCTGAACAACTTTGTATTGAGTTGCACCTTGTACTGAAACTCGGAGCACGAACAGGACGGGAAATGGTCCTGGGGACGTCATTAGGAGGAGGACTAATGGGTTTCGGGTTCTTGAGTTTCCTCATCAAGTGTTGTGAACTAACTGTGTTTTCAGCAGCTCTCTTGGCCTGATTCACCGCATCAGGCCTGCTATTGGTTCTCTCTGGCTGCTTCTTTCCGTAGCATAATTTCCTTGCGATCTCTGAACACAAAGTCACAAAGTGGATTTGAAAGCTTATTAGCTGGCTAGATAGTAGGGCTACTTGTGACAAGGGGAGGATAATAATTCAATTTAATGACACAAAGAAAAAGGAGAACATAATCGAAATTAGATGGAATGAACTTGTAATCTTATTACTCTTCTAATTCTATGTTCCTTTGTCGATACAGTCAAAGTTCACAATCTGACTGGACCATGTGCACTCTAATTTTGATCATTGCAAATGACCCTGTACGAGTAATCAACCATGTACAGACTAAGATTGAAATGTGTCTGAAGAAGATGCACAGAAAAGGGGTAGAGAAGAGTACTTATTGTATAATTGCTCATCATCTAACTCATTGGATTCCATAGCTTTGCGAAGCTTTTCCTGTGAAGTTGGAGAAATGGCCTGAAATAATATGCTACCCAAGTTACCATTCAGTTTAAAGAAAGAGAGACCTGAGTAAGGGGAAGCCAACAAATAGATGTTAGTATGTCACAAACCTTCCTTGCTGAAAGGAGCCTTTCAGGAGGATGTTGCCGCTGATCTGAAGTATCAGAGTCCTCACAGGCGACCAACTCAACTGGCTGACCAGATCCAGGTTTCATGGCTGGAGATAATGGAGACTGCACTACTACATCAGTAGAAGAAGAGCATCTATCTTGGCTTGAGGTTGGATGCAAAATTTGACCTTTGTCGTTGCTGACTGCATTAGGAAAACTGTCAACCGTGGCTTGAGGTTTTTCATTTTTATCTTCACCCTCAAAGCGACACGAATCCACCACCATGCACTCAGTGCTATCTTTTGTAGTGATTTCCACCTTGATGGCAGTAGGGCTAGCATTCTGCAGCTCTTCTTTGGAATCGTCGTGTACAATTGAGCAATGATCCTTACTTGAAGAGACTACTTTGTCCAACTTTCCAATTGGATGTGAATCAACAACCATGACGTCTTCCTCCAACATTGACAAAGACGCATTTGATGGCTGTTGAAACTCAACGTCTGCTACTTCTTCTTCTTCGCATCATCTTTATCATCTTTCACCATTTCTCCCACACCCAAGTCTTTCACATCATCAATGGAAACTGCTGCTACATCATGCTCTTCATTTGTATTGGATTCTTCACTCAACAAACACCTAGAACTGGGAGGTGATGACTCAAGACCATGCAAATGTTCATAAGCCTATCTGCTAACATGGCAGTTTTCCAGCCCATCTTCAAGCTCTTCAATTTGAAGATCAATTTCGACTGAACAACATTGAAGCTCATTATTGATGTCATTGAAAGTTCTAGCCGTTTCAGACTCCTCAGTCTGAGAATCATGGTTTTTCAATTCCAGAAGCTCAGGAGGAGATACTATTGACAATCCAGTTTCAACATCACAACCAAAACTCGAGCCAGGCTCTCGATCGAAGGATGACCCAAAAGAAGCAAGTGGCTCAACCCTACCGCTAGAGCTGTCCAATAAGTTAAATACAACAATAGCTTGGCAATCTACATGTCCAGCCTCAGGAATCTCAAACTCACATTCAGAGCTCAAGTCGGGCTCTTCATCATCAGAAGGCAATCCAAATGGAGCAACTGGCTCTACCCAGTCACTTAATACAATGGCTTGGCAATCCCCATGATCACTCTCAGGAACCTCGTCTTTGACATGAATATCTGAAGATACACTTGAGTCCGCGTGACGTGGGGATTCATCGCTGCTCGATACATCTTTAAATCAGGGGACTGCTGGGGCAAGTTTGGAAGAATATAAGTCGCTCATTCTCTTGTTCTTTTGATTCATCTTCTTTTTATGAGCTATTCTAACTCTCCAACTGCTGAGGCACTCCATAAGATCACAATCATCTTCCTCGGCTCCTGACAAGCTACTTCCAGTGGATGATTCTTTGCTGGAACGCTTTCGTTCTTCGCCATGCATCTCCCCCTGAGTTGCTTCAGTGTAAGACAACAGAAATCAAGATCTTCCTCATTCTTATCCTCTTCCACCGCTTCTCTGGAGTTACCCTTGGAAGAAGCTCCACTCTCCCTTTCAGCCTTTGGTTCACTTCCCTCAAACATCTGTAGATTTTCAACCTTAACCTCACGCCCATCTAGATGAGGCTTTTCTAGAAGCTCCTTAAGTTTAGCTTTTGGTCATCGCCTAACAGGAGAATTAGGGGCGTTCTTCAAATCCCTGTACACATCTTGAAGATTCCTGAACTTGAGGGCTGGCTTACCACGATACACATTTGGTACTCTCGTAACCTTGCCATCTTTGATTGCATTAATGTAGTGAAAATGATTGAAACTCCTCAATTCCATTTGGACGATAACTTAGAAGAACCACAGCAGCCGAGGATCTGCAACAATTGACTCGTCAGTTTAACAAACTCAGTGCATGGCTCTCACGCATTTTATCGAACACAACGACTGCATTAACTTTTACCAATTGCAACTCTGCTTCCCAATTCTAAAAACCCACACACAAGTAGAGAGCCAAACGATTCAGAACGGCAAAAAAAAAAACGAAATGCGCAACAAGTGAATGCGAGAGATTAGTTCAGTAATCGCTAGCCATGAGTGAGCTACCGGCAGACTCTGATTTCGGAGCTCCACCATGTGATCTACCAAATCGAATATACATTGTGCGATAATCAAACGAAATCACATATCTAGGCGCCCAAAAGGCACACTCGCCACGCCGGAAAATAGCAGATCTAGTGACAAGGATTTCCCAGCCTGGGCGATAAGGTGGTAAGGACGGAAAGGGAGAGACAGAGAGCGGGAAAATGTTTCTTACAAGGAATCAGCCGCCGCCGACAGAGTGAAAATGGAGGTGAGATAGTTCCCGTGACCTGGTCGACTCGGGTGTATGTCGCCAAGTGAGTGCTTCAACTTTCAGGAGAGAAGAAGAAACTATATTAAACTTTAGGGATTTCATTGACAGTGTAGATTCAAAAAAGAGCGATTTGCGTTTGGCGCCAGCGCCAGTGGACCCCTTTTCGTTCTTTTAGCGGGAACCGAGTCCCGCTCTAATGTCATTCCTACATTTGCTCTCGTTGTTCAACGTTACGTTGATTTCGCTTGGGCCCTGCGTTATCAGCCCATTAATATCTCAACAAGCCCAATAATACTCAACTCCAAGACTTTGACATTGGTCCTTTAGAAAGCCCACTCAAACTCGCTTTGTCGTCTGTAATGATGTCATCACACACCTCAGTAACTAACAAGTAACAATCCTCATGCCGCAGAGGAACCAGCTACTCGCTGTTCGCACTTCCATTCATCACACCGTACACACCCCATCAGAACCGTCGGATCATCAGGTCAACTCTCTAGTCTTTTCAATCGACGGTTTGCATGAATATGCCTCGGCCGGTTTCATATTTCACCTGTGCAGTTCATTCGGCAAGCACAAGAAAAACAGTACAAAAAAACCCTCGGTCCCTCGACTTCCTCACCTAATCTTCCGCATTTCTTCCTTCTCCAACATTGATTCTCCCGACCGACGAGATGAAGGCGGCTCTGAAGGGAAGATACGGCGACGGCAAGAGCACCGCCGCCGCAACGCTCGTCGTCAACGCAGGGGATGTCAAGCTCCGGGCTTCCCTGACCGACGCCACCGTCGCTAATGGCCCCAGCTTGAACGGCTTGGCTTTAGCCGTTGAGAAACCGGGATTCTTCAGCGTTGACTACAACGTTCCCAAGCAGGTACTTCGCGATGAAACGCCATTGATTTAGCTCGAAATTAGGTTGTTAAGCTGTAAGGCTGAAGTTGCAGCCTCTTTAGTTGTAGACTTGTTGGACTTGTAAGTTGTAATCAGTGGTAGGTAGCACGATTTGACTCGGGCCACAGAGTTATTTGGAATGCTTTCATTGGTGTTCAGTAGCTGATTGAATAGGGTATTACAGGTTGAATTTTCGTTGAATTTGGAATCATTCCTTGATGCTTATCTGCTGATGATTGCGGAAAGTTAGTTCGATTATGGTTTTCGGAGTTGACCTTTAGTTCAATTTAATTGAGTGGAATCGTTAGTCACAGCTCGTAGTTTATTGATGTAAATCTTGTTTCTCCGATGGTTTTGCAGGATGTCTGCTTTCGGTTTATGAATACGGTTAGAGTTGCAGATAAACCCTTAAATTTGACTTACATTCATAGCAGAGGGGATAACAGGACTATCCTGGACGGAAGTCTTGTAATTGACTCATCTAACAAGGTGTCCAGTAACTATGTGGTTGGTACTGGAAATTGCAAGTTGAAGTACACTTACACTCATGGGGGTTTGACTACATTTGAGCCGACCTACGATTTGGCGAAGAATACATGGGATTTCGTGGTCTCGCGGAGAGTTTATGGGGATGACGTGTTTAGGTCTACGTATCAAACATCGAGCAAGAATTTGGGGTTGGAGTGGTCAAGGAACTCGAAGCTTAATGGGAATTTCAAGGTAAGTAATAAATTGAAGTTATGCATGGATATTATTTTAAAGTGTAGATGATAGTGAAAGGTTAGTGTTCTTGTGATCAATCCCTGTTGATGGTGCGTGTTTCAGCTTCTCAAATCTGGCAAATTGCTCCCTTTGGTCTCTGGAGCTGTTGCTAAATGTAGGAAACTATGAATATTAGTTATGCTTGCGCTGACGAGTTATTATTTTGAGCTGGAGCTGACAATTCTGAACTAAAGCTCATAACTCTGCCTTCACCTTTACATTCAGTGGGGACTTTAGTTATTATTTTGAAGTTCACCAATTTCTTGCTGCCCCATAACTCTGCCTGCACCTTTAGCTCAAGCAATTCGATCCCAATGTGAGACTGAATCATTTCAAATCTTCCCGCAGTGCGTGTTTCAAAGAAGTCCTCCGACACATTAGTCTGAACTAGTTATTAGATTGGAATAGTCATGGTTGTTGATGCTCTCCAACAGCAACATCTTTGACAGATGAATACCTATGATGAACTGCAATTAAGTTTGATTTGGTCCATTTGGTGGACTACTTGTGAACGCAATCCCCATTGAAGAATGAGAAGATGTCTTTCATGAACTGTGATAACCAGAATTCCTGGATATGTGTATGACATCTCTCCAGTTTGGTTTTGACATCCCGAAGTCTTTGCTCGGAAACTGCTAGTATCAATGTCTGAGTCTGGTGTATTCTATCATAGTTGGGATCATGTTAGTACATTCCCCAATCTCTTCCCATACCACGCGTGCATCAAAATGTTTAGCTAGATTGGATTAAAGTACTTGCTTGCATTGATTATTATCACTTATATTGATAATTTTGTGACTTAAGATGTGTATTATTCTTCTCAGGTTTCTGCATCTGTCAATTTGGCCGAGGAAGCAAAAATGCCAAAACTAATCGCGGAAACCACTTGGAACATTGAGATGTGATATGCTTTCTGGGGAGAATTGAGTAACCGCTCAGAATGTTCCGTCATTTGAGACGGTTGTGTCGGGCATTAAGGGGGGAATGACCCGTAAGTGTCCAATGTTCTTGACAGTTTCTTGTTATCCTTGTACTTTTACTGCTGTCCATAATTCTTAATCTTACTCAGCTAGATGGGGGGGTTGAGCTCTGAAGATTGAGTCCATTGTTAGAACTTTGCTAGTGCCCCTCCTACATCTTTACAATACTTCCGATTATACACTGAACCTTCGATATTACCGCATCTTATCGTCAGGTTTGTTCTGACAAATTGAGTTGAAGCTGGTGGCAAAACCTATCTATCAGATTTTGATGAAGTTTCCACGACCATTGATCTTTTATCTTTCGTAATGCTTTGTGCGCGTGTTTGGTGTGAAAGAGAGTGGAGACTGTAGAGTACAAGAGACTGGTCTAGAACAGCAATACTCGTTGCCTTTGGGTAGCTAACGAAGTAGTTTATATTCAAGCATATGGTTGCAAGTACACGTTACTATGCAATTTGTCTATAGCTCGGTATTGTCATAGTTTGGAATGGGAAGGGAGGTTCTCCCTCGGTTATGTCGGCAAATCGAAGAGGGATTTTCCCCCCAAATTCTTTAAAAAATTCTCAAATATAATAATTTTAATAAGAATTTCTAAAATGCACATGTTTCCACCAAGTCGCTTCCGACATAGGCCATCTACATGATCGTGTTTGGAGAGAAAGGTGATCATGTATAAATTGTCTTACTGTGAAGCGATGATACTTAACTCACTTCCGAGGATAGCGATCAAAGAGTTAATCTCCTACCAAAACAACGATTTATTATATCATCGTCGGTGGGTAAAGCGATCAACTAAATCGCTTCCAAGGAAAGGGATCAATATTACATCACTGTCCTCCACCGCGATTTTATTTCAACACGAGGTTAGGGTTGGCGCATTGTTTTTTCCACGAGGTTGAGGTTATGGTTGGTGCAACAATTTGCACTTGATCGTTTTTGTTACAAGCGATAAACTTAAATCGCCTTTGTCTTGAGCGATCAGTATTGGGCACAAGGTTAGGGTTAGTTGCAGCGACCTATGCATGATCACCTTAGTTGAAAGCGATCTTGCATTGGCCGCTTTACCCTGAAGCGATCTTGCATTCATTTGATTCTAATATAACAATACGACCCCAACACCCTATACTCTTATTTCTCCATTTCTCCACCTTCGTAGCAGAAACTTCCATCTTCTTCACCACAATTACAGAAAATCTCATGGCCACACCAGAATTCCATTCCCTCGTCATGACCATAAGAAATGTCTGGATTTGTTTAGTATGGTAATGTTTAAATAGTTGTGTGTTTGTGATTCACTAATTACGCATGGTGTTAATAATGCTAAATATCATGTTAGTATGGTAATGTTTAGTATGGTCATGTTTAAGTAATTGTGTGTTTGTGCTTCATTAATTACGCATCATGTTGATTATGCTGAATATTCATATTAAAGCTTAAATTATTGTGGCTTATAGTTTTGGATGTTATATGTAATCGTTAGTTATTTTAAATTGCGGATTTGGGTAGATTTGGAAAGTTCCAGCTTCTTATTCGTTGGAATGGTAGTGTGACAAACTCTCAAAGGGGGATCGGGAAAGTGGAAGGTATGTGTCTCAGGACGCCACTGCACCTCTCTTACACAGCCGTGAGTAGCTCGTTGTCAATCTCCATCTTCATGAAGCATCTCACCCTTTCCAACCCCCACCTTTTCTAGATAGGACGCAAGTCGGGCGTGAAACTGGGGCAAGCGCTCAGTCCCTCTATGGATGGGAACAAGTGATTCCTACGAAAAAATGCAGAAAGTAAGTTTTATAGCGACATTTTAAAATAATTAAAAAACAAGATTTTGAAGGTAGGGCGTGCCTACCGGGTTGATGTTCCAAATCGCATGAGATCTATGATTTGCTTGCTCGGTTAAATAATGTTCATCCCTCGGGCCATTTTGGATATACAATATAGGATCGTAAGTATATACCACCATCTATCATTTTAATAAAAGAAAAATAACATTATTATGTTTGTAAACACATCGTCGAAAATGCAAAACGTTCAAATACAATGAAACCTCTTTTTTATAGTATTTTGGGCAAAAATCATAAGTATTTAAAAAACAAAAAACGTTTAATCACAAAAATATAAAACATACGGCGTGCAAACCAACATGGCATATGACATATGCCGTGCGAATCTAGGGTCTTATTCTCCATCCTTGCTTAGGTATAAGGGCAATGAGGGTATGGTTCAATTCCATGGGGAAAAGGCAAAGGATGGGTTTTTTTTTTGCGGCAAAATTGGATATGGCTAAGGCCTACGATCGTGTTGAATGGGACTTCTTGGACAAAGTTATGAGAGAGCTTGGTTTTGACGAGAGATGAGTTGGTCTTATTATGAAGTGCGTCTCTTCCGTCTCTTACTCTTTTCTGGTTAATGGCCATAAGTCTGAAAGCTTTACCCCCTCTCGTGGCCTTAGTCAGGGTGGCCCGATTTCCCCCTATCTATTCCTATTGTGTGCTGAAGGCCATTCTGCTCTTATAAAGAAAGCTGAGGCTGAAGGAAGTTTGCATGGGATTCAGATTCGAAAGAAAGCTCCTACTATCTCTCATCTCCTCTTCGCGGACGACTGTGTTATTTTTGGAAAAGCTATGCTATGAGAGTGTGATCAACTTAGAGAGATCTTGAATATCTGTATTAGAGAAACAGGGAAGCAGGTTAATTTTTCTAAATCCGAGCTTTCCTTCAGCAAGAATGTGAGGATAAGCAGAAGACTGGAGATTTGTGGCACCCTGGGTATCAAAGCGGTGGGAAAACATCCTAAATACCTTGGTCTCCCACTGTGGTGGGGAGATCAAAGAAGGTTATCTTTGAGGAGATTAAGAAAATGGTCCAGAAAAAAACATAAGGATTGGAAAAGCATAACTATGTCACAAGCAGGGAAGGAAATTTTGATTAAAGCGGTGGCTCAAGCTCAATGTCTTTATTCTATGTTTGTTTTCCATGTCCCTGAGGGTACACTAAACGAAATTGAGAAGCTGATCGCGAACTTTTGGTGGGGGCGGAAAGTAAAAGAATCTAAGATCACTAGTTGGAGTGGGATGATCTTTGTGATGATAAAGAGGATGGAGGATTGGGATTTAGAGACCTAAGATCCTTCAATTATGCGATGCCAAGCAAACAGGTCTGGAACGTGCTTTCTCGACCTCACTCTCTCATGGCTAGAGTCTTGAAAGCTCGATACTTTTCTAAGACAGATACTCTGGAGGCTAAGCTTGGCTACCAACCAATCTACATTTGGAAAAGCATCATGGGGGCCAAAGAGAAGATAATCGAGGGGTTCAGATGGAGAGTTGGAAACGGGGAATCGATAAGCATTTGGAAGGATGAATGGATCCCTGGTAAGAGTTTCTACCAGGCTCATCATGTCCCAATGAAGGATTTCTCCGAGGAATATGTGTGTGATCTCATTGATGCAGGCACAGGTGGCTGGAATAGTGATAGTCTGAAAGACTGGTTTTCTATCAATGACCAAATTCTTATCTCTAAGATCCCCCTTAGGTCTCCCCTTGGAGCTGATTCTATGGTATGGAAAGATTCGAAAAATGGGGCATATTATGTTTAATCAGCATATTATTTCATTCGGAATAATCGTAATCAGTCCATGGTCCGTATCCACAATAGAAATCCGGATGATTCTGAGGTCTGGAAACTCCTATGGAAGCTCAACATTCAGCCTAAAGTTCGAATCTTCCTATGGAAAGTGTTCAGAATGATCTTACTTGTGGGGGGCCATGTCAAAGAATGGATTGAGAATGCTGCTCCTGGGAGTCCTTTCTGTAATCTCCCGAAGTCCCAAATGCATGCTTTAAGGGAATGTGACTTGATCCGTAGGCGATGGCAAGGCTGCGAGGAAAAAGAACTTTATGAACACGGAGAAGGAAAATCCAGCTTTGACTGGATTGGTGACATCCTAAAAAATTACCCAGAGGACAAAGTTCAGAAATTCGGTGTGCTATTATGGTACATGTGGAAAGAACGATGCAACCACAAGTATAATAATCGAAAACTGGAAGAGGACGAGATCGTCCCACGTGCTATGGGGTGGTTGTCGTTGTATCTCGCTGCTCAATCATCCCCTGTTCTTAATCCTTCGGTGTGTCCGTCCTTACCCAGATATGCGCAAGACTCCCGATGGTCCCCTCCCCCTGAGGGATTCTTCAAAATGAATACATATGCTGGAGTTCTGCAAGCTCAAGGTATTGGATTGGGCTGCATCATCCGGGACCGGAATTAGAAGTTTGTCGAAGCGATGGCGATGAAGGAGAAGGGTGCGTGTAGACCGATTGAAGCGAAAGCTAAAGCTATGTTGATGGGGTTGCGGGAAGCAAATCGGCGGTCGCTAAGTCCTCTTATCGTTGAGTCTGACTGTCAGATGCTTGTGAATTTGTTGAAGAATGGAGAAGATGATTTTACGGAGCTGGGGATATGGTGTGAAGAGCTGAAGAGAATGGATTTGGTGAATGAATCTCTTTCGGATTGTAAGGTTAGGTGGGTTTTTTTGTCTAGAAAGACCAATTCGGTGGCCCATTGGTTGGCTCATGCTGGGTCGGGTTGGAACCACCAAATATTGGTCTGGGTGGATAACCCACCTCTCTCTCTTTGTTGTTTGATTGAGGCCGATTTGGGCCATGGTCCTTTGGGACAGGGTTGACTTCCTTTAATAATATTTGACAGATTTCCCATACTGAAAAAAAATTCTTCATCTTTGTTGAACCACTAGGGATGGCATATGTCTTTGACTTATCCCCTTTTGGTCACGATAGTTTGATGCTTGCGATGATTAGCTGGTGAAGCCCCGATGGTACTTGAATTTTGTTTTGTCCCGTTAGGAGTCGTTTGTGTGCACGTTCTGCACGATAGCTCGCACATCAACTCTACTATTGTCCTTTTGAAACTTGGTCTATTGGAGATGTGAAGTATGTACTCGGCGGACGGGTGCTTCAAGAAGTTTGCCGCATGAATACTTCATTTGTTTTATTCGTTTATTTATGCTCCTAAGCATACTAATAGGGCTGCCCATTGCGTGGAAAATCGACCCTTACATTGGTAGCTCAATAGGTTGACTACAACTTTTTATTTTCAACAATTTGTAATACTTGGCCTATCTATTACAATTTTTCCCCCTGTTGAATCAACAATAATTTTAGGACTATCTATTACAGGTGGAAATTGGTACGGTATCGGTATCTCAATACCAAATACCGAAATTTCGAATAATGAAATACACCATAAAATCAATCTCAATCCCAATCCCTAAATAATTTTGGTATCCCAATCTCAACCCCTAAATATTTTGTATCCCAATCAGTACTTCGGTATCCCAATCGATACTTCGGTATCTCAATCGGTATTACCGAATACAAAATTAACTACCTTTGCAATTAATAATTAAATATATAAATTAAATTTGATTGTTTAATTTAGGGCAAATAGACTAAGCAAAAAGTGTTGAATTTGTCTAGAGCTACGATATGGATAAGGAGAATTGAGGAGATGTGACATCTCATATGCTTGTCATTGGTAATCTTTAATTTGACAAACCGGAAGCTGAGAGACGACCATTACTAGTGTTTGCTTTTTGGAGTTATGAAAATAACAAGAAATTAGGTGAGAGACGAGAGTGACTTAAACTGAAAAGTCAAAATTGAGTTGGATGAGGGCTTCTAAGTTGTGAAAGAGCGAGGAATGATCAAAGGTCGTGTGCTATATTTACTAATTTTTAATTTTCAGTATTTCTTGGTATTCCGGTATCTCAATTCCAATCTCGTAATCCCGAATACTGAATATCACTAAAAAATGAATCCCAATCCTTAAAAATAAGCGAATATTCAATAATATCAAATAATAATAATTCGATATAATATTCAATATTTCTCAAATACCAATACCAAACTTCTAGTCCCACTATTTATATCCACGCCCAATTTACCTCCAAAACCCCAGAGCAGCGAAAGTTTCACAAGTTTTGGCGGTTCAAAACGTCAATTCTCCCTCCGTTCAGAAATCCTTCTCAAATTTCTTGCGCCAACTTTCCAAACATTTCAAAATCACTTCCCGCCCTCCTGTTCCGATTCCCCCCTCTTTAAACTGAAAATGCACTACAACGAGAGAATAGCGGAAGCAGAACCAGAAAGAAGCACAGAAATCACTCTTTTCCGTCTACTCCACCAATCCCTTTCGAGAGAATCGAGAGATCGATTTCGTCAGAGATGGACTCAGACGAAGAGTTCCTGCAATTCGCGGAGGCGGGAGAAGCACCGTCTTCCCCAGTCGCTCAAAAGAAGCTCAAACGTTTGAGGAGGAAACTCGTCAGTCCGAAAGCTGCTTCGGAAGAAGCAGTCCCTCATCGATCTGAAGAGGATGCGCCTACGCCTTCACCTCGGCCCGTGAGCTCTCCAACTCCTTTCGAAACCCTAGGTTCGGAAGAGAGGGATGACGAGGACGGATTCCAGGCCACGAAGTCGAGATCTGTGTTCGACTTTATGCGTCCCAAGGAGGGAGCTCAACTGGACTATACCGCTGATGGTGCGGGCTTGAACGGACGCGTGGCTGGAGTTAAGAGGTCGCTAGATTTCGGATCCGATGGCGAGGAATCTGACGGCGGAGGGGATGGGGATCGAACACCGGCGAGTGTCGGAGTGGATGAGGAAATTGGCGAATCCGTGATGGAAGAATCGGAGAAAGAACGGCCGGCTGTAGACGGAGCCGAGGGGAAGAAAGAGAAGACGAAGAAGAAGCACAAGAAGAGGAAGGATAAGAGATCTGATGATGGCTGTGACGTGGAGCCAAGCTCAGGTGGAAAGAAGGTATCGTTGTTCTCGTAAATCCATCTTCGATTGAATTTACGCCGAGTTTTGTTTTGGGTTGTCTGTAATATCGGTTATGGTAAAAAGCAGGATAGAAGAACTCGTCTCAAGGAACTGCGTGTTGAATCTCAGAGGCTGTTAAGAGGTGTAAGCTCGAAGCCATTTCTGTTGTGAATGAGAACTTGGGCATGCATCGCCTTTACTAGCCTTAATTAACCATCTGGATTGATTCTTCTTGGCATGTTTAGAGACGAGGGATGCATCGTTTAAACCCCAGCCTCTGGTTCAGAAGTCGGTGTCCACTGTTTTGGAGAAGATTCGGCTAAGAAGGCTTGAGTTCACCAAAAGGTAACTGTATATCGAGAATTGTTTGTTCAATTTAATGCGGTGGGAATTAGTCTTGATTGTGAAGGGGTTATTGGTTTACACTTTACAGATCAGTACAAGTAAATCCTGCTTCATTCAACGAGAATGACCTTTCTCCGAAAGGGTTATCTGCAGACTTGGATTCTGTGGATGCCCATTTTGAGGACATTGAATATCCCGACATTAGTAGATCAGATAATGTGAAAAGTATGGAGAAGCCTGCTGATATGGCGGAGAAGAATGATGTTGAAGGTTGGGAGGGATCAAATAACGCAGCAAGTCCCACTATCAGAAGCTCTGTTCCTCAAATCGTGAGTCTGGTTTTATCACATTTGTGCAGTCTCAATAATCAATATGTTAGTAGGTTGGATAGTTGTTAATGCAGGAATTTTTCATTACTTTTTAATGTGTATTCAAGAAAGACGAGCCAATTGAATGGTGCTTGATTGTGTTTTCTTACTTCACATGCACAGGTTGAGGATCCAAAGCAAACATTTCGAGCTCCACTTGATGACACCCAGGTTGGTTTCCTTTCTTGCTTAGACACTTGGTTTCATCTGAACGAATCGATATTAAATTGCTTGACTATTTGCATGTAGGATCTATTTGATTCACAAACGAGTGACAGTAAAGATGAGTTGCTGGATGAGACACCTAGTAGTCCACTGGAGGAAGTTCTTGCACCATCCTTACTTGCAATGAACTTGAAGTTTGACTCTGTCTGCCCTCATGATTCGTAAGTCCTAAATGCTCTGAAGATTGCGATGTTTTATTTATTTATTTAGATTGACAGTCAATAATAAGCATCTCTTCCAGAGGTTGTCTGCTAGTTCATCTGAATTTCTCGTATGACAATATGGCATCATGAAAATGTCGATCATATGGAACAAGTTTTGTTAACTTTGTCCCTGCAAAGGTTGTGATCATTGTATTCCACTTTCATCTGACTTCTCTTCTCCATTTTTCTGATGAAGTTCTTCTGATGAAGACGATGAAAATGATAAGGAAAATGTCGACCCCTGCCGTTCTGAATCAATCAACGTGTCTTTATCCCCAAAAGGAGATCCAATGAAAGCATTCATTGATGAGGAAGCTGAGGAAGAGGATGACAGCGATAATGACTTACAGCGCTTCCTAGACAACGAGGAAGAAGATGATGATGATCTCGACTCGGAGGAGATCAATGATATAATAGCAACAGGGTTCAAGGAGAAGCCTATTGACGACGAAATGCGAAATGAACTCCATCAGAAGTGGCTTGAGCAGCAGGATGCTGCTGGAACAGAGCACCTCATGAAGAAGCTCAACTGTGGCGGTGGTGGTTCTAAGATGAAGGAAACGTCCCTTGAAGAGAGAGAAGAGGATGAAGAAAGTAACTGGGAAGGAGGAGACTTTCTTGATGAAGCTACAGAAGGTCCTGTTACTCGAAATGTGTTAAAGATGAATTTGAAGAAAGCTAAAGAAATGATCCCTCGAATGTTTACGGATCACAATGATGTGTATGTATCGTCGGATGATGAAGAAACTGAGAGAAGCCTGGTTCAACAGCGGATGTTTGTCAACCCGGTGAGTTTCCTGACTACTACATCTCGATTTGACGTACTCATAGTGTTGGGCAACATCATAAATGAATTGGACCGGATCGAATTTTATTTGATTTCAAGCTCGAAGATTAATAAAATCGAATGCTTTTTCAATCCTGTGCTACGTTGATGCCGTTCGATTCAGGATCGGACTGGAAGATGCCCGTTTGTGTCTACTGCTCATTCTGCTATGACGGTTCCTGAATATTTTTCTCAATTTGTTTATGTGGGAACAGGAGACTCGAGGTCTGTTTTTTACACCAGCAGAAGAGGAAAGCTCCAAGGATATCTTTAGTCGTATAAAGAAGTTGAACCCTGTACCTGATAGCAGGAAGAAACCCAAGATAACATGTAGGTTTCTTCTGCAGTTTATTACTCTCATGCTCTCTTACATTGTTTCTTCCAGTCATTTCTACACAATGATAGTTTCTGATTTTTGTTCTTTGCTTAATCTGCAGCTCATTTTCAATCCCTGTCCATCGGAGGCAGCAAAGCTACAAAGTCTAAGGTAACCATTTCGACTTGAAATCAACGTGAACTGATCTTTTGTTAGCTTGAGACCTAGAAAGATTAAGGCTACGTTCGGTTGCAGTCGTCTTTCCTGCAACGTGGATCGAGAAACCCACAGCAATCGTTCCAGAAGCAAGGCTCCTCCTCATCCTCCATATTGCGGTCTTTCATCTTCGAACGAGATGACAGCAATAGCAAGAGCTCAGTCTCATCAGATGATCCTTCAGACTCTGTAAGCCCTCACACCAGCTCTTCACTTCTTCTCCTAAACCAGTACGGATTTTCAATCTTGTTTGTCATTATCTTTTTTTTTCTTCCAGGTGCATGTAGAGCTGAAACCGAGAAGAGCCACGGCCAAGTTCATGAACTCGTCGCAAGCTAGATCATTAGCCAATACTCAAAGCACTCAAGCTGGTTCAGAGACGAACGGTGGTGGGCTGTCGCTACACGAGATCTTGAGGGCGGCTCGACAACGACCAAATCCGGGCGATGATGCAGCTTCTTGCCACCAAGTCGAATCAACCATCTATACTGCTTTCAAACTGGATCGGAATTTGGTCACTAGATCAACAGCGGGTTCTGTATCAGTAAGAATGGTTTAGAGCAGCTGTCAGCCTTGCCTTCTGGGTTATTGTGCATTGTTCTTTATTTACTTTGCCCGATGAATGTTGGGATGGGTTTGCAGACTAGCTAAATTCTGAATTGTAAGTTGTAACATACAAGCTTTTCCATTATTTACAGTTAGGATGAAGTGAAGTTCTGTTTCTGCCCATTTTCCCTTATAAGTAATGATACTGTAACTGCCTACTACATGCATCTAATCTAAATATTAGCAATTTAATGATTTTTTTAGACACTTCTCCGACCAACATTACATGAAAGAAAGGAAATGGTGGGGAGGAAAATGTGAAGAGTACAGAGCAGTAAGATTTGAGATATAGTTCCATAGCAAAACCAACCTGCTAAGCTTTTAATCATTGTCCATGTCAACGTAATATCTTCTCACCTGGAGAGACCAAACTATCTTTCCATGTGAAAACACCATAAGGATATTAACCCTAAGCTTAGCTGCTCCAGTAGCAGGGTTGAATAAGAACCCAGTATCATCACTCAGCAACCACATATCATACTTCCAGCTCCCCTGATTATGAATAAAGCAAGCGAATCCTTATACACAATAAGCTGCTTCAGGGCATCGATATATCTAGAATCATCGTACTCATAATCATCAGCATACACATAACCATCATCATTCCGGTCACGGTCAGGGATTGGGACAAAGACAGGATCTTGTATCACATGGAACACAATCTTTCCAGAGGTTGAAGGCAAGCACCGCGACAGGAGACACACATAGCCAGAAACAGAACCCATTCAAGTACCTACAACTTTTCCTCTGCCTAACTATCTCAACTTGATGGCGGAGCTCTTCTAACTCCTTCTAAGTATCAGTGCCAAGCGAATACACCATCACTTAGCAACTGTATCAAATCCAAACCCACAGCTGTCAAATTCGCAACCATTGATAGCAGGGGGAGAGCCGGAGAGGTGGTGCTTCCACCCCTTGTTTCGGGCACAGGCACTACCCTATATGAGCCAGTAGCTGGATTCCACAGCTTATATACGCGAGTACGACCACCCTAATCTCCTAGCAAAAATATGCCATTGCAGGGTCCAACCAGTACAAGGGAGCATAATGGGTTTATTGGGATTACTGGGAATTCCCGTTTCAAGGACTTGGTGATACATCACCATCTGGAAAAAGTTGTACCACCACCTTTTTTCTATCAGTCTGGTACATTACCGTCTGGAAGACATCACTAGCTGCTGGGTTTTTGGTGTAGTTTTTGAGATACATAGAAACAAGAATGGGACTTTCAATGATATCCTTCCAGCATCTGCAGATGGACTTGAGCTGTGACAGAGTTCTCACAGTCAGCCGAGATAGGATTTCAATCAGTACATCTTCCAGTAACTCACCCTCCACTTTGTTGCTGTTGTTCTCTACCGCAGCAGTAGGTGTTAAGCACAAGCGCGCCTTTCTCATCCTCCACCTGTCAATGTTTTCTGCTCAATAAGCAAACTGATCGTTGTATATCTCCTTACAACTTTCTTAATTACAAACCAAAACCCAGTTTTTTTAAATCAAAGCTGGACTTGGTTCCCCAAGTCATTTGTTACATTCACTACCTCCAAGGCAATAGACAACATATCATATAACATCTCAATCTGCAATCAGTCAATGATCACTCAGTAGCGCTGGCTTATAATGTTAGATGCAGGCAATCAACTAAAATTGACGAAGGACAAAGACACCGACAATCCATGAAGACGAGGATGAGACAGCCAATTGCATACCTCCTCTAGTTCAGTCTGGCGAAGGTGTCTCGACTTCAGGGAAGCAGCAATTCGATAGATAACAATCAGAAAAAATGATGCAGAAATTGCTGTGATTATGTTTTCCACAATTGCGTTCGCTCCCATGGATGGCCGATGGCTGCGCCGGCCGGCAGAGGCGAGGGCTGGAAGGTTGATGGTTCTGTCACCGACTTGGACCTTACGTAATAAAATACAGAATGAACCGTCTATAATTTTTGAATTATGGGCGGCTTACATAATTCAGCTCATAATTTGATCAGGCCACCCACCGTCATCTTTTCTTGCACCCCAAGCCACCGCCAGCTTCTTTTCAGCTAGAGGAGCTCGAAAGACCCCCTCATTCCCCCATGTGGTTCTAGTCCGATTCCAACCATTTCACAGCCAAGCAAGAAGCAAAATCCACCATTCATACTAATAAACTTATTTCAATCATTCCATATAGAAGGCCGAATATGCCTTTCAACCTTCACCAGTAATCTCGACACGAACAAAAACCTTCACGAAAATGATGGAACCTATTGGTATCCCTTACAACAATCACTCTATTTAATGCCTTCGACACAAACTTGAATGCAGAATGGCAGTCTCCACAAACCCTGATATTCTTCTTGATACGAATCGTGGATCCAGGTGGCGTATTAAGAAGGGCAAATGCCAGAGCAAGCTTCTCGCTATGTTGCTGCAGCTTCACCTCCCTCTCCCTCTGGTCCAAGCACAAAAGCACATGGTTAGCATCCGGTTTATATCCAATCTGCTTGATCTTACACCTAACATTCTCCCACATTGCATGAATTTCTTCCAAATCCGGGTGGGAATCGTCATCTGCCACAAACACATGGACCTCATTCTCAATCTCCACCCAACTGCAAGCCGGTTCCTTCTTCACACCACTCTCTTTCATCATCTTTCTAACTTTAGTAGCTTCTACCCATCTACCAGCAGAGGCATAGATGTTGTAGAGCAGCATATGGGGACCGGGATCACGAGGATCAAGCTCGAAAATACGCTCAGCAGCATAAGCACCCAGTTCTGGTTTCTTATGCATCCTACAAGCACCAAGCAGTGCTCCCCAAACAGCGGCCGTAGGCTCAATTGGCATTTCCTCGATGAACTTCTTGGCTCGGTCAAGCTGGCCAGCTCGACCGAGGAGATCAACAATCGTCACATAGTGTGATACTTGAGGCTCTATCTTATACTTCTTCATCTGATTGAAGATATTGAGCCCTTCACCCACTAGTCCTGCATGGCTACAAGCTGTAAGAACACAGAGGAAGGTTATATCGTTGGGGGGGATCCCAATCCTCAACATTTTGTCGAAAGTCTGTAGGGCTATGTCTCCGGATCCATGCTGGGCGTACCCTTTGAGTAATGTATTCCAGGAAACAATGTCTCGTTTAGTCAGCCTATCGAAAACCTTCTTCGCTTCCTCAATGCTACCTGATTTAGCATACATGTCGAGCAATGTGTTACCAACAAAACCAACGAGGTCTGCTTTCGATTTGACCAAAACGGCATGGACCCACTTGCCCTGCTCCAAAGAACCAACGACAGCACAAGCATTCAGGACACTGGAGTAAGTGAACTGAGTGGGTTGAACATTCTCCCGAAGCATGTTGGAGAACAAGAGAAAAGCATGCTCGGCCTCGCCTTTCCTGGCATGGGCAGCAATCAAAGCATTCCAAGACACTTCATTTCTGCTTCTTAAATGATAAAATATAACCTGGGCCTCGTCCATATGTTCACATCTAGCGTACATGTCTAACAGAGCACTGCCCACGAAAACATCCGAAACATAACCAAACTTCAAAGCAGTAGAATGTAGTTGCATACCATGGATAATAGCATCGGCAGCGGGACCCAAACCAGAAGCAGCCTTCAAGACACTGGCCAATGTGAACTCATTAGGGAGTATGCCTAGGCCGACCATCTGTCGGTACAAAAGAAGTGCATCTCTAGGCTGATCACGTTGCGAAAATCCAGCAATGAGGGCAGTCCAGGCCACGATATCTCGTCTGTTGGGCATTCTGTCGAACACCTGACGAGCATCATCCAAGGAGCCGCATTTGGCGTAGAGATTGATGAGGGTGGTGAGGAGCACCGAATCGCGACTGAATCGGGAATTGAGAAAGTGGGTATGAACAATCCTTCCTTCCGCGAGCTTACCGAGACGGGTACACTTCTTGAGGAGGGCGTGGTAGAGAGAGCGGTCGGGTTCAAGAGCCCCACCGTCGATGAGGTCCAGCACATGGAGGCCGGTTCCTGAGGCGTGCTGGCTCTTACAGAGAAGGTCGTGGTCTTGGATAATGTCACAAGAAGGCGGTCGTGGTGGTGATGGCGGCGGCGGGAGAGGATGGGTTGCGGCGGCGAGAGAATGGAGAAAGGATGGGCCAATTGAGAAGAAAGCACCGAGCTTTGACAGAGGAAGAGGGCTGCGAATAACGGGAATAATCGTCATCGCCGAGATCGTCTTTACCAATAAGGAAAAGGGGATGGCGAATGAGAGGCGGATCGACCATCGGCCATCGCCGTCGCTCCTGAAGACGTCGGGAGTTAGAACTATCCCCCAACTCCCGCCGGCGGGATAAGGTTTCTGTTTTATTTTTTCTACCAAGCTAGGTCAGTGAATTTCTGAGTTTTCTCATTCTACCCCTCAACTTCTCTTCTCCCCGTCGGTGAAAATCGTGTAAAATTTAGGGTGTTAAAACGGTGTGGTTACCATGGCAATTGTTTTAACAAGTACTATTTGGATAATTTGGATAATTGTTTGGTTTGGTTAAAGTTCTTAGCTTGTTTAGTTTAGGTGGTTTGGTTTGGTTTCAGACACTCCTAACCAGCCAAACCAGATTAACCAGATAAATAATTAGCCATATGTCTAATATATACACATACTTAATACTTTGAATAACCACTCAAGAGTTAAACATTCATCCTTTTTAGACTCATAAAATATAAAGTTTGATATTGTTCCTATAATGTATATAACGCGTAGTTTAGATAAATCTCATACATTATGTTGGATGAAAACTTGAAAACAAGGTCATTTTCAGCTTATGAAAATTGCTAAAAGACTATGTCAATTCAAACAAACACAATAATTCATTAACCCATACCATTGTGATAAATTTTTGTTAGGTGAATACTTCTATACTGACCGTAAGATAATTGTCTTAGTTGCATGTATTTATGTTAAGGATCAACTATAACTATGTGTTGATTGTTATGTTTTAATCATTATATGAATTGTGAATTGATAAATTAACCAAAAACTTTCTCACTTAATGATAATATGATTTTATATTGGTTAATCTGGTTAATCAATTAACCAAACTGATTAAACTTTAGTTTGGTTAATTTGGTTGTTGTATTAATTTGGACGGTTTGGTTATGATATTGTATTCCATGGTTAATGAAATTTAGCCTTATTTGGTTTGGTAATAACCATGGTAACCATTTGAACACCCCTAGTAAAATCTGTTACGAACGAGCCTTCATATTTGGTAGAAATGTTACTAAACAAAATCGGGTAAAAAAAAGGGTTAGTTAATATATTTAAATCGACTGAACTTTTCACATAATAAATATCATGTTCAATCTTTTCGATCTATAACATCATGACATTAACTATACATCAAAGTAATGAAATTGGCCAAATTCAAAAATTGACTGTTATCTTAGACGGTCAAACGCGTTGACTAACGGTCAACATGCCACGTCACCGCCACGGTCAATGTGCCACGCTCACTTAATTTTTTTTTATATTTTCCACCTATTACTATTTATCTTTTTTCCAGAAAATCATTTTTTAATTTTTTTTATTCAAAATGAAAAAAATAGTAATAGGTGGAAAATATAAATTTTTTTAAGTAAAAGGTGCTGACTTGGCGGTGGCGTGGCGCGTTGACCGTTAGTTGACTCGTTCTAACTACAACATCCCAATTGCAGGCCAAGTATAATCGGCAACCGGGTGTAGCATAAGGCAAGCAAGCAATAAGAAATTATCGTACCACGAGGATCTAGACTTACCCTACTTCAGGTTTATGGTTCGTTATCTAGCTAATCTAGGATATTGATTAGGAAAACTAAGCTAACTAACCTAGACTAACCACTAACCTAGCTATTTACAAGGTTTGGAGCTCCCTTGGGTGAAATCCCCCTATTTTCGACCTTTGGATCGATGTTGAGTATCCTCTTAGTTCGATCGACCCACTATCCTACTGTTAGGAGATGAACTCCCTTGGGACGGACCCGAAACGGTGAAGTGATGGATGGGTAGGTGCCTTATTCAACCTAGGGCACCCCTATATCATAGGAGATCGATCCAATCGACTCCCTCGGGGATTGCCCGGACGATATGGGGTGAGGAGTTGTTTCCCTCCTAGGTCAAAAGCTCGATTGACTCAATTACTCTACCGTTAGGAAACAGACTCCCTCGGGAATGACCTGGAATGGCGAATCGATGAATGTGGTAGGCTCTATTCAACATAGGGCAACCCCATATCCTAGGAGATTGACGGAATCAACTCCCTCGGGGATTGCCTATACGATATAGGGTGAGGAATGACCCGAAGACGCCAATAATGGGCTCTAAGGGGATTTTCTCCCTCCTAGGTCAAAAGCTCAATACATGAAAATGGGAACCCAACTAATGTCATTCATGAAAACATCCATCAAATAAGTAAATCATCAATCAAACATGGAATGTGTCACATACATCAACATTAAACCCAAATCTAGACCTAGGGTTTTTAAACCAAGAGAAGAGGGTGAGTTTCTAGAGATAGAAGAGAGATTTTACAAATTGGAGCCCAAGATCTTCTTCTTCTTCTAGGCTTGATTCCTTGCTTCCAAGCTTGATCAATGCCTTCAATTAAACTCCAACATCACTCAAGAACTCACTCCCTCTCTCTAGAACTCCCCTTTGGTATTTTGGGTCGAAACCCTAGAGAAAGAAACTATTTCCTCTCCAAAAACCAGCTTCCCTTTTTCTTCCTTCTGCTGTTTCCTTTTATACCCAGATCGAAGGTTGTTCACGGTCTGAACTCAAAGCCTAGATCGTGAACTCGAACCAATTCGTGTCGTTTCACTACAATATTTCACGGTCTGGAGCTGAAGTTTACGGTCTTACGACCGTGAACTGACTTGGCATCAGTAACCTTTGAAACTCCTCTGGACGCCCTTTGTTTGACGGTTTGTGGTTCCAGTTCACGGTCCTGGCGACCGTGAACTTGGTGCTTGGACCGTGAACTATGGCTGCTTTCCTGCGGTTACAAATTGGAGCCCGAGATCTACTTCTTATTCTTCTAGGCTTGATTCCTTGCTTCCAACCTAGATAAATGCCTTCAATTAAGCTCCAAAATCACTCAAGAACTCACACTCTCTCTAGAACTCCCCTTTGGCGTTTTTTCACTTTTGGCACTTTTCGACCGACTCGAAACTCGTCCTCGACCTTCCCACACGTGCTAGGACCTGAAATGTAACAAAACAAGCCCAACCTAGCATAAAATAGGTCGAGGGACGGCGATCTACTAAACAAATAGGACAAGAAACGAGGGGTAAAATGTGTACTTTTGGACCCGAATCATTAGTCAACTCATTTGACCATCCACGATAACGATCAATTTTCGGGTTTGGCCAATTTTGTTACTTTGTTGTATAGTTTAGGCCATGATGTTATAAATCAAAAAGATTGGCCATGATGTTTATTATGCGAAAAGTTCAGGCCATACAAATATATTAACCCTAAAACTAAAGGAAAGAAGGCTAACGGTAAAGCTGGCGCGACAGTAAAAGTTTAGGAGTTGCAGATCTCAAGTTCGATTCAAGTGAGGTCCGTTAGTGTTCTTGGAGGCATGAGGCTATTCAAGACGAAGCCCCATTGGTGTCGAAATTGATTGTAGGTGGCCCACTAGTTTAGTAGTCCCTCCCTCTAATACGGTGAATGAGTCGAGCCGTACTAGACCGGAGGGACTATTCCGGCGAGCAAGGATAATTTGATTTGATCACAATTTGTTTTGAAACTTCCATATTTAGAAAAAGGCTGAATTACACGTTTGGTCACTCGAATTATAAGAATCTTTCACGTTTGCCACCCGAATCATTTTTGTTTCTTATTCGCCACTAACTTTACGAATCATTTCACCATTAGTCACCAACCGTTACACTCCGTTAAATATGTCATACGTGACAATCAACTTTAAATTTGACCGTTAACTAGATGACGTGGAAATTAAAAAAAATAATTTATTTGTCCAACTCATCATTCCACTTACTTAGTGTATATTATTATCATATTATTTATTTAATAAAAGTTAATTAAATTACAAAAACAAATAATATGATAAATTTATTCTCCACCAGTCAAGATCCGATGGAGGAGATTGTCGTTGTACGCAGCCGCCGATCTCGGTACATCTTCAGTGCCGTTCATCTTCTTCTACCCTGCCACGAGTGTTGGACACGTGAAAGGTGAAAGGCGGAGAAAAAAACTCGCCAGCAGCATCGTCGGACCGGTAAAGCGATTGACGCGGACAGAGCATGAGGAGGTCGCCGTCGTGGAAGACCGGCGTCAACAGGCACTTCCACCTTGGCGACCCGATGCCAGTGTACAAAGAGAGAACTCTGCTAATTGAACGTCAATTGCTCTACAGCGGCGAAGGGTCCTGAACACCAGCTTGAGACGACGGTGCCCACGAGAAACAAGTTGCAGATGGAATGCATCAAAATAAAGACTCTGCAAAACAGTTAACAAACCAAGGCAGAGATACCCAAACACAAACCAAAAAGTAGCCCTGCCAATTCAGTATAACCCAGCAAAATGCAAAATCCGAAATTGAAAGCAAAGTATTTACAATCTGACCGGAATAACAAATTAGAGATAACCTAACCACCGATTAATAGGAAACAACTTCGGAGATAGCAGGAAACTGAACTTAGATCTTAAACCAAAGGCCAAATTGAAAGAGGAGTCGGCGGTGGCAAGGGGTACGTTCAGTGGCTGAGGGCGAAAAAAGCGTTGGCGGCAGTGCGTACGCTCAAAATCTAACCGCCACCTCACTCTATAAACAAATCTTAGTCAAGCCTTGCTCGCCGGCCTTCCCCATTCCCTTGCTCGCTGGCGTCTATGTTCCCCTCTTCGCTCTATCTCCGCTCGCTCAGACTCCGTTCCGGCGAGATCCGAAGGTAACTAGACTCCATTAACGGGAAAATGAAAATGTCGGCAGACTAAACCGAACGAGCTACAGACTACAGTTCTGATTTTTCCTTTTCTCTTTCGCAATTCGTTGAGATTTAGTTTGGCTGTGGAATTGGAATTTCTCAATTGCTGATTGCTCGGAAGCATCGAGCCAACTTTGTTCAATCTTGTTGTAAACTATTTGGATAAATAATGTTGTTCATGAATTCCCAGCTGACTCTTCTTGATTTTGCTTCCTCTCGATTCTGTGATTTGGATGGTCCGGTGGCAAGGTAGAAGAAGATGAACGGCACCAAGGATGGACCGATATCGGTGGCTGCGACAATCTTGTCCGTCTCATATTGACCGGTGGAGAATGGAATGATGAGTTGGATAAATAAATTAATTTTTTTAAATTTCCACGTCATCTAGTTAACGGTCAAACTTTATAGTTGACTGCCACGCATGACAAATTTAACGGAGTATAACGGCCGGTGACTAATAGTGAAACGATTCGTAAAGTTAGTGACGAATAAGAAAGAAAAACAATTCGGGTGGCAAACATGAAAGATTTGTATAATTCTACGGACCAAACGTGTAATTCATCCTTTTAGAAAAACGTCACGCTTCCCAATGTCATGGATCGTCTCGATTTTATCCGATTAATTGAAGTCATAACAGTCCAACAAGTAAATATAACAGCTGAGCTGACTCCATTGCCTATTTGCCTTCTTCATTACATTCTCCTCCAAACACCATCTCTCCCCCGCTCTCGCTCTCGCTCTCCAATCGATCAAAGTTTCTCTCTTTTGATCACTCACTGCATCACTCTCGCCTTCTTCCCGCGCCGATCGGAAGAAATGGATTCTTCGCCATCTTCAGACTCCATTAAACCCAGAGGTGATCACTGATCTCCCTTTCCCCACTTCTCTTTCGCTGTTCATTTTTTCCTTCACTGAGAAAAAGAAAATTGAAGCTTGGTTTTCCTCGATTGCTTTCGTTTTCAATTGGGTTGGAAGCTAATTCAGCTGCCCATGGCTAGAAACGGCTTAAAGTAACTAACTTTAGCGGTTTTTTGATCGGGATGGTCTCAGATGTCTGCATTGTTGGGGTTGCTCGCACGCCCATGGGCGGCTTTCTGGGAACCCTTTCTTCCTTATCGGCCACGCAGCTTGGTTCAGTGGCGATTCGATGTAAGTAGTCACTTTTCATCTCAGTTTTGGCAATTTCACATGAATTTTGGTTTCTCTTTACAGCAGTTGAAAGTTTTCTTCTTGTATTGAAATTTGTCTAGCTGCTCTCCAGAGGGCCAACCTGGATCCTTCACTTGTACAAGAGGTGTACTTCGGCAATGTTCTGAGTGGAAATTTAGGTCAGGCTCCGGCCAGACAGGCCGCTTTAGGTGCCGGAATTCCAAATTCAGTTGTCTGCACCACTATCAATAAAGTTTGCTCATCCGGGTTGAAAGGTAATGTAAATGATCTGATAACACAATTGAATAGAATCAATGAATATAAACATACGTGAATTGAAGTTCTGGTTTTTTACTGTAGCGACTATGATTGCTGCCCTCGCCATTCAATCGGGTACTCAGGATATCGTTGTTGCTGGTGGGATGGAGAGCATGTCCAATGCACCCAAGTACCTAGTTGAATCAAGGTTCTCCTTCCTTTGCCTGAATTTCTCTTAAGGTTGTTGATTTTTAGAATCCGAAGAGTTGTTGATTATAAGAATCTCAAGTGTCTATTTTCGCTTATCTTGTTTAAACAGAAAGGGTTCTCGACTAGGACATGAGACTGTTGTTGATGGCTTGCTCAAAGATGGCCTGTGGGATGTGTATAATGACTTTGGGATGGGTGTTTGTGCAGAAATATGCGCTGATCAGCATCGTATAACTCGAGATGAGCAGGTATTTTGTTAGTGACAGTTCACAAGCTTCAAGCTTTCATGATCTTTGATTTGCAGAATTCAATTGAAGTCGAATATGAAGTGGCCTCGTGTATCCCAACTTCTTACTTTAATGCTCTTTCCTTTCGGGAACTATGTTGCAGGATTCTTATGCTATTCAGAGCTTTGAGCGTGGAATGGCAGCACAAAACAGTGGTCTCTTCTCCTGGGAAATCACACCGGTTCGCAATTCAACTTTAGAGCTTCTTTTGAGAAAAAGCTCATTGCTTTGCTGAATGATGAGATCATTTGTAAATTTGTGTCATTTTGCAGGTTGAAATTTCAGCAGGAAGAGGGAAACCAAAGTCCGTAATTAGTAAGGATGAGGGATTGGGAAAGGTAAACCAAAATGGTTCACAGTTGTAGTAAGCTTTTTAAACAATGCTGGCCAGAGAAGAGTACACTTTTTATGTCTTTAAGACTGTTCAACTCAATGCTTTTTTGTCAGTTTGATGCGGTAAAACTTAAAAAGCTTAGACCGAGTTTCAAGGACACGGGCGGTACTGTAACTGCTGGGAATGCTTCTATTATAAGGTGCCTCTCTCTCAGTAGTCTCCTACCGTTTCTTTATTGATCCGTAGTTATTGCTCAAACTCTGTCTCTTAACAGTGACGGTGCAGCAGCACTCGTGTTAGTTAGTGGGGAGAAAGCACGCGAGCTCGGTTTGCAAGTGATTGCCAAGATAAGAGGGTTTGCTGATGCAGCTCAGGCACCTGAGCTCTTCCCAACTGCACCATCTCTCGCAATTCCAAAAGCTATCTCAAATGCTGGCCTGAGCGCCTCTCAGATAGATTATTACGAAATAAACGAAGCATTTTCCGTAAGACAAATCATACCACATTTTCCAACCAAATAGTATGAACGTTTTGCTCGTTTCACATCTCTGAGTTCTATCGCAGGTTGTAGCACTTGCCAACCAAAAATTGCTCGGTCTCAATCCCGTGAGTGTTTGTCTTTTGTTATCTTAGTGTAAAAATACGCAAATATGTAAACTTTAACTCTTTCGTTTGCACTGCAGGAGAAGGTGAATGCTCATGGGGGAGCAGTATCTCTGGGACATCCACTGGGATGCAGCGGAGCTCGTATACTAGTCACTTTGTTAGGGGTAATGATTCGCCGGAACTCATTCATGAGCTGGCTTGCTTCCATCTATCTATCGAGAGATTAATCTAACAACAATGCTTTTTTTTAGGTGTTGAGGCATAATAAAGGGAGATATGGGGTAGCTGGGATCTGCAATGGAGGAGGAGGAGCTTCTGCACTCGTTCTTGAGCTCATGTAAACAATAAAATTTCATTTCCAAAAATTAGCTTCCTTTCTGTTTGTGAAATGCTCATTCTCTTAAACCCCTTTTCGTTCTCTCCTCTTTGCAGGCCGGCTTCAACGGTTCGGCGATCATCCTTGTGAAATTCATCTGAGAAGAACTCAGAAACATTTAGGATCATAATTCATAGCATACCATTTCTGCCGTTCTTGTTTCTCTCTTTTTTGTGTTGCTCTATTAAATAAGCTCAAAGATGGCAGAACTGTGGAACTTTGGACATGGAAATGCTAGCAAAAATAAGCCTGTTTGTTCTTAGGGGTCGTTTGGAAGTTGCGAATGTGTAATGAATCATCATAATATAAATGCATGTATTGATACAATGGATGTATTTTAGCAATACATTGTTTGGTTGTTGAGATTCTATTTATGTATTGATTTACATAAAGTTACTTTTATGGGGAAATGTCACATTTACTCTCAACTTTTAGAATAAGACAAAAATTATTGGGGATACAAATGAAAATAAAAAGTTCACACAAATCTAAAACTAACAATCACAATAATCTCAACTTTTAGTTGAGATTATATAATGCATAATTTTTTGTGATTGTTGGTGGGACCTACCTAAAACAATGCATGCATTACTTTGACACTTCCAAACATTATATTTTGCACAATACATGTATTCAACAAACACAACTCTAACAATCACAACTTCCAAACGACTAGGGGTGTTCAAATGGTTACCATGGTTATTACCAAACCAAATAAGCCTAAATTTCATTATCCATGGAATGCAATATCATAACCAAACCGTCCAAACTAATACAACAACCAAATTAACCAAACTAAAGTTTAATCGGTTTGGTTAATTGGTTAACCAGATTAACCAATATAAAATCATATTATCATCAAGTGAGAAAAATTTCAGTTAATTTATCAATTCACAATTTATATAATGAATAAAACATAACAATCAACACATAGTTATAGTTGACCCTTAACATAAATACATGCAACTAAGACAATTATCTTGCGGTTAGTATAGAAGTATTCTTTTTGATAATGGTGATGATATTATTAAACTAAGAGAGAGGTACAAAGAAGGAAACAAAACACAGCAGAAAATTATCACAATGTATGGATTAATGAATTGTTGTGTTTGTTTGAATTGACTTTCGTTTGGATGAGGAATTGTTACGGATCAATTTGACACAATTGTCTCGTTTTGAGACAATTGTACCAAATTGCCTCGTTTGCCAGCAAAAAATTTGGATGGATCAATTTGCCTGAGGTATTTTGAATTGATATGTTTTGAGTCAATTTCAATTACCTGGGGTGGGGGCAGGTAATTCAAATTGACTCGTTTTAATTGCCTCATTTATAAAACGAGATAATTGATCAAATTGACTCATTTCTATATTGATCCATCCAAACGACCCCTCTTTTAGCAATTTTCATATGCTGAAAAGGACCTTGCTTTTAAATTTTCATCCAATAGAATGTATGAGATTTATCTAAATTAGGAAGTCATATGTTGTGGTCTACACTCTACATATACAAATATACATTATAGGAACAATATCAAACTTTATATTTTATGAGTCTAAAAGGATGAACATTTAACTCTTGAGTGGTTATTCAAAGTATTAAGTATGTGTATATATTAGATATATAACTAATTATTTATCTGGTTAGTTTGGTTTGGCTGGTTAGGAGTGTCTGAAACCAAATCAAACCACCTAAAGCAAACAAGCTAACAACTTTAACCAAACCAAACCAATTATCCAAATTAACCAAACCAAATTATCCAAATAGTACTGGTTAAAACGGTTACCATGGTAACCACACCGTTTGAACACCCCACAAACGACCCCTTATAGTTCAAGATTTCTATTCACTTGTTACACTCATTGTACCCGAAAATGCAGTGTTTGACTAATCTTTACTTTATTAAGAAGCCCTCGTAAAAACGAGAGGAGATTTTGGCATTAAGAAACAATTTGAGGAGGAAAATTTGAATCATTAAGATGCGTGGCATGTGAGAGATCAACATGAATCGATTTTGTTAAACTGTGCGGTAAGGAATTATTAAATCATGGAAGGGCGTATTTGTTAAACTATGATATGGACTGAATTACAGTCTGAGCACACAGTTTGGGTTATTTTGTAATATCGAAACTCTACAGGAATCAAATTTGCATATTAGCCAACACACCGGAGAACAAAAACTTAAACGCTATTCGTCGCCCTAAAATTTAAATTTTATCGCCCTAAACCACACACGTATACCCCTATCACAAATCAAACCTAAACCCTAGAGCATTCTCTCGGCAACCAAAATCCGCCGCCTCCCATTCTTGGCAAAATCCAGAACTGGCGATGTCGTGTTGCTGTTGCTAGGCGGAGGAGGACGGTCGCTGCTGCTGTCGCCGAATTCAATCCCCGCCACCTGCTCTATTTATGCATGCAACCATTCATGGAGGCACATGCCAAGTTTAAGGAATTGGGGGATATATCCTTTGTTCATTCAAATTGAACAATTAATCACGGGGACCATTAATCTAGACAAAACCTCTACATCCTTTGTGTTTTAGTTTTTTGTAATTTCATTCTTATGTATATGAATCGATTAGGATGTCGAAAAATTTCATAATGTATGTTCATATTTTTATTTTGTCACTAAGTGAATGTCTTAGATTCTTTTATCATGCCTAATAAAAACACATTTGATAATTCCCCGCGCAAAACTCGCCCTTCCTCTGCTCCCTCCAAAATAGAATCCACAGCTTCTCTCTGTCCCAATCTTCACCTCAACTTTCTCTCCCTCTGATTCCAATTCTCAGCGGCCAAACAAACAAAACTCCCTCCCCTTTTCCGCTTCCATCATCCGATCTTCACATCGAACTGTGAGAATCAAGAACCAGCGATTGCATTGCTCTGCCATTTTTTTACAAATTTCAAAGCTTTTCCCATTTCCGCTTCTCAATGTTTCTGATCCTGCAATCTTTCAGGTAACCCCACAATTCCTGAATCTGAATCCTGTTTCTTCTTCTTCTTCGACGATTCATATTGCAAGATCTGCAGAACCCTTTTTGCAGTTAACTTTCTGGGAGACCAAGAAGAAAACTAGAAACAGGGGGTAAAAAAATGGTGAATATACGGGTAGCGAAACCTGAAGGGAAAAAGGAAGGCGGAGGAGAGATCGGCGAAATCGACACAAGAGCTCCTTTTCAATCCGTCAAGGCCGCCGTCAGCCTCTTCGGTGAGGTCGCCGTCAAAGCCAGACCGTCCTTCAGAAAAACCAACTCCAGGCTTTCTTCTTCCTCTTCCGAGGTACATTCCATTTCTCAAATTCCCCCAATTCGAAAATTCGATTCAATTTTCAAACCAACGTCGTGGTTGCAGAATGTGCTCGACAAGGAGACCCAGCTCCTCCTCTGCCGCAGGGAATTCGAGAAGTACCGCCACAAGCTCGAATCCGCCGAAACCGCCAAAGCCCGAACCAACGCCGAGCTCGATCGGGCCAAGAGAACCCTCGAAGACCTCCGGACCAAGCTCAACTCCATCAACCAATCCAAAGTCTCCACCTTGAATGCCGCTGAGGCCATCAAGCAACGGGCCAAAACGCTGGAGGTCGCGAAATCGCAGAAGGACATGGGGCAGTCACAGAGGAACAAGGACCTTCTAGAAGCCAGAGAGCGATACGCCGTCACTTCGGAAGAGCTGAATTCGGCCAAGCAGCAGCTAAACAAGATCAGACAAGATTTCGACGCCACGTTGGAAGCGAAATGGGCTGCTTTCCAGCAGGCTGCCGAGGCACAGAGGTCGGCCAACATGAACGCCGAGCGAGCCGCCGAGCTGTCGAAGGAGATTCAGGCAATGCGGGAGTCAGGGCAGCATTTGAAGGTCGCGGCGGTGGAAGCTCAGGAGAGGCAACAGAAATGTCTGGCCGAGAAGAGCCGTCATGTTGAAGCTTATAAAGCTGCTAAGGAGGAAGTGGAGTTGCATGTTCAGCAGTTGAGGAAGGAGTTCGATCCAGAGCTTGTTCTGGTTCTTGATGAGAGGCTCAGAGAGACGACGGCAGAGATTGAGGATTTGCAGGGCAGGATGAAGAAGGCTCATGCTTCAGAGATGGATTCCGTGAAGGGGATCACCACGGAGCTCAATCAGGCCACGAGGACGTTGCAGGTTCAAATCGATTTTTTTTTTCTTTTTTCGTGTCGATTTGGTTGGTCTGGTTTGGTTTTGTTGATTGTGGATCATTTCGAATGTGTGCAGGAGATCGCGGAGGAAGAGAGCAACCTCCGCGTGAGAGTGAACAACATAAGAATGGAGCTGGAGAATGTGAAGATGGAGAAGGCTCAGCTGATGGAGAAAGAAGCAGAAAGGGAAGTGCTAGAAGCAGAAGAGAAGAGAGCCGTGAAGCAGCTGATGTCAGAAGCCGAAGCAGCAAGAAGAGAAGCCGAGGAGCTCCAGAGAACCGCGTGGGAGCACAAGGAGCAAGCCGATTACGCTAGAGCCATGGCGAAGCAAGCCGAGGAGAAGCTTCTGGTCTGCACCACGGAGATCGAGGTGGCGAGAGCTGCTGCATTGAGAGCTCACACCGAGATGAAGAAGATGTCCGAGTCGAAAACCAACGAGGAGATTTCTTCCAACAACAACAACAGCAACAAGAAGATGCGCATTTCTATGACCGAGTATCAGGCGCTGCAGAAGAAGCTGGCCGAGAGCCCTGCAATGGCGGAGAGAACTGTGGCAGAGACCATGAACCAGCTTGAATCGATTAATACGAAATCGGAAGAACAGGCGAGGAAGCTGGAGGCGAACCGGAAGGCAATTGAGGAGATTAAGGAAGCTACGGACATTGCTATGCGGTCTGCTGAGGCGGCTGAGGCTGCAAAACGTGCTGTGGAGGCCGAACTGCAGAAGTTGCGAGAACAGGGGACTTCTGCAGGAGCATAATGAAGAAGAACTACTACTGACCTTGCTTCCCAAGCTTCTGAAAAGGTTGAAGAAGAAGCCATCAGGATTCAGGAAAAAGTTTTTAATTTTGTTGTTTTTTGTTATATACATTGTCAATCTCCTCTGTAAATGCTAGTGTAAACCTGTTTTCATGTAAATCTCTCAAACCTGTATTAGTAGGAACTGGAACAAATGAAACTCCCGTTTAAAAGACAAAATTTCTAGATAACAACAGGGAAATCGACGAATAACATATCACAAATACGTATTTGTTAGAATTTATGATCTGTAAACATGTTAATTAAACAACGTAGTACAAGGACAAGCAATCCAATTCGGCTTGGACCAAGTTGCCTCTGCTGAAGGCTGGAAAACCTCATTGTGCTCATTAAGAAAGGGTGCTTGCTGCTTAATGCTATTGATTGATTGATTCTAAAGCCTTACAAATGCTCTGAAGCATTTCTACTATATCAGATGGCAGTACTTACTTATGGTAATTTCAAAAACTGCCAGCGTGGCAAATTATACATCCATTTCTATATAAGCATTCTTCCTAGATGTGCCGTTCCCTGTCTACTCTGAGTTGTTGATTTTGAGGTCATCCAGGCACCCGGAGAGTCCTCTCGGGATGCCCTTCTCGAACTTCTGGAGCTCGGATCGGATGGTTTTAACTTCGGCCTCTGGCTCGGGAACACTGACATGGAAAGATCCTTGCTTTATTGGTCCTGTTGGTGTATTCTTCGCCGCTTGCTCTTTGGTGTAGTTGTAGAGCTGTTGATGGAATGGATGGTCCAACGAATAGCAGCTCTCGGAGCTTTTCTCCGAGTTGTTCTTAGATGATCCAGAGCCTTCCCTTTTGCAGAAATGTGGGAGGGAGGAGATGTCCATTATCTACATGTTGAACGATTGCCTCCAGGGTCAGAACCCATTAAGCAGGAGTAATCGAGGCAATAAATGTAATCCAAGTTTGTTACCTTTAGGAGTTCATCTCGCCCATTACCATTCAACATCTGCACTTTTTTCCTTGTTCTTTCTTGCAGCAGAGGCTTCACGACCTGGGAAAGAGCCTAGGCAGTCAGGGCTTACATGAAAAGACATCAAGTGCTTCCCTTCTCTCTATCACCTGGCATAAATGACTTACGTACCTTCCAACAAGCTGAAAATATGTAAGGGGCATTTACGATATAATAGGTGTTTGTCTTCTCAGGGTAGTTCAAGTCATCCACGGTTGAAATGACAGTCAATAACTGCAGTAAAACAACTGCCTATGCTTAGGGAATAGAGTAAAAACAGCTGGACATGGTCAATGAAAGCTTCAGGAAATGGCAGGTAGATCTTCCATTTCAGCAGAAATAATTTACCTTTATTTGGTTCAGTGCAGAAAGCTTCAAACCAGTCATATCTAAGACCTTTATACAAGTGGTTATGGGTCGACCATGCTTCTTTGATGCAGCTGGCTATTGAAAAATACAAAGATATTAAAGATCATTTTTGGACAGCTAAGAAAACCGGGAATCAGGTATGAATTTATAACAGAGAGTTGTGCACTGACCAAGATTACACGATCCCGATACTCGTTCAGCTGAATGTGCGACTGAACATAGTAGTGAACCTGCATTGGAAAAATCAGATGTTTGGTACATAATTTTGTTCAAATTTGCATCCAAGTTTCGCCAGAGCTAGGTGTGCTCAATGCAGTCAAAATCGCGTTTTAAAACTTAAAAACTTACGATTTTACGCTCTTAGGTCACCAAAACGCTTTCGTTTCCATATAAAAACTTAAGTGTATAAAATCGGACTAAATTGCGCTTTAAAGCTTTAAAGCTTACGCTTTTGCGCTTCTAGTTCACTAAATGAGTATTCTTTTCATGAAATTAATTATACAAAGTGTATTTAAAAGTAAATCACCAACAATATGATGCATTTGAGATTAAAAGATACATACCAGGTACTTGGATGCATTCTCAACTTCAATAGCGTAATCTAATTTACCAGCTAGGCTCTTCCCGAATTCATTAGCATAGAGGAAATGGTGGCTTATTGTTAAAATTTATGTTTATGAACTTATTATTAAGATTCTATAAGTTGCTCTACTCTAGACATGAGTTGCATGTATTTATTAACTTATTTAAATTCTGTGCATTCATATTTTACATAGTATATGTCCTACTTAATAGATTTTTAGTTATTTTTCAGTATGCGTAAAAAACTTACGCTTTTACGTTTTGATTTTATGCTTTACGATTTTAGCCCTTTTCCGCTCTTAGGTAGATTCGCGCTTTTGACTGCATTGGGTGTGCTTAAAGATTTTCGAAGAATAGTTCCTCAAAAAGTTTATTCTGAACTTACGGATGCTTTGTCAAATGTGCTGAGTCCCGCACCAATAGCATATACAGGTAGTCCCTGCAATGAAAGCAATGATTTGGAATGTTAAGTGGTCCAATACATATTTTAAGCAAGATATAAACAATAAACATTCATTCTGTTACCAAAAGACAATCGTCAAACAGCAATACTAAACAGAGAATAACCACCTCTCTTGAGTAACCACACATTCCTATAAGCTGCGAATCACGCACTCCTCTGTAGTGATCTGCTGGAACAATGGGTTTCTGCAGAAAGTAATAAAGCCCAATTCAGCCACCAAAAGAATTCACTATTCCAAAGACAGGCGTGGTAGCGATATCCAAGACATAAAGCAGAGAAGGCTGAAACATTGTTCTTCGCCATGCTAAACTTCAATGATGCATGCATGGGGACATAAAACACTGACAAAAATTCCCTCAGGAAAGAACATTACCGCTAATATGTTGTCGATCTCATTCTGGACTCTCCAGTTCAGACAGTCAACTAGCTGTGGAACAAAATGGCAAACACCACCAGATCAGGAAATCATGAGTGTGGATGAGTTTTCATTAGATCTAAAGAAAAGAATCAAACTTTCAACCAGGGTGACAAGCTATTCACCATTTTATGAGCTTTGGCAACATTCCAATCTCGAGCTCTTAGGAACCTCGCCAGAGTTTCCACTTCATATCCTTGATGGACATTCTGTAATAAGGGACCAAAATTTAGAACATGAAAGATGACGAATTGCCATGCATTTCAGGGTCCATCCCAGGCCAAAAGAAACAAACAGAAGTACAAATCAATCGTCTTTGCTGCAAGCCAATCATTTCCTCTTAGGGGTTGTTAACAGCTCCTATGGACAAATAGCATTCCAATGTTACTCCAACTCGGGTATTAAATCTATATAGAATCACTTCATAGCAGTACCACAACAGTTTTGTTACACAGTCACTTACAAACCTCAGAGCCATACTCGCAGTTGTCACTCTATGCAATCAACCAGCACTATCATCCAACCATTGTTCAAGACAGAACCTCGCCAACAATCACGAGACATTTCCTCGTGACATTCAACTTCTCGTTAAATCAGCCATTCACACAGCCTAACTCCAGGAATTGACTTAAAGAATGAACTAGTAACTAGTAAATCACAGATCCATCCTCCTCCTTCCATTGCCAAGTCAAAAGCTCCAGATGAACTAAACATAAGAGTTGATCTCCCCAAGATCAGAGCTTCCCATCAAGCAAACAAAGCTTCCAGCTACTTCACCAAGAGCATCGAAACAGAATCTCTAAAAACACAACATTCCATGCTATGATTCCAAATCTTCGTTAAAATGCTTCAAACATCACACAGACCCTTTGGAAGAAAACTCAGCCCAGTTCACTAATGCCAGCAAATTCGAAGCAGCAGATCAGAAAGTTGGGGACTTCCATAAAGAGTTAGGTAAAACAAGCCATATTTAGTTACCTGGTAACTCCGCTTCAATGGCTCATCAACTGCCGTCACATTTGGACCAACGTTTCAGAAATGGAAAACAAAAGAACAGTCAATTTCTTACATAAGGACAAACAAATTTGAATAAATTAAGCAACAAGAAAAATAAAGTAAATTCTGGTACGAGGAGGGTAGGAAGGAGGAAGAAAACCTTGATCCATCAGAACTCTGAGCTGATCAATTGCATCTTGAGAACCCATCCCCATTCTCTCTCTCTCTCTCTCTCCAAGTCAATCCAGCTCAAACCAAGCTCGACCCAGCTAAAATTTGCGAATACTGGATAGCTGAAAGTAAAGAAGGGAGGGGGAAAGGAAGAAAAAAGGGTAATGACGGAAGCTAGCACTACTTAGCTTGGAGAGAGAGTGAGAAATCCTCTACTGTGACTGTCTCTCTCTCTCCTCCGGGAAGTAGTGCAGCGGAGGAAAGGAAGGCTATTTATAGTGGGAAGGAAGGAAGGGAGGAAGAGGATTCAAAGCCAGGTGAAGAAGAGTCAATTGGGAAGTAGGACTAGATTCGTGTGGTGAGGTATGAACCCAGAAAAACCAGAGGAAGAGAGAGGGTTGAATGAATTTGTGGAAGCGGTGGGCGAAGGTGATTGGTACACGACGTAGGGAGCTTTTTGGTAACAAAGAGGAAATTGGGAATTTCTGAGCTCAGCAACCAAATCTACTTTTTTGGAGTATAAATTATTGGAATTTATGATAGATCTAGTGAATTGTGAAAAAGTTAAATTCCTATGTTACTTTTGGAAAATAAATACCTCTCTAATTTCTTTTTACAAGAATATGTATAATATTCCCATACAAAAATTATGTGTGGTATTCAACGAAAGAAAAAATTATGTGTGGTACTTAATAATAATGTATAACTATGTAGAAAAATAAAGAAAGTTTACTTTCGTGTTTCGCTCTTTGTCGAGATAATTTTACATTGAGTTATAACTAAAAGCCGGATCAAATCGAAATTTGATAAGATTAATCACAAACCTATATTGAATGCACTTAATTATTTGTTCCAATTGCCACCCTCATTTGTTCCATATGGAAAGCAGTAAAGTAACTATCTTTATTATTATTTGATAATTTTATTGGTAACATTATAAGGGTGGTAATCGGTTAGTTACCGATTAATCGGTAACCGATTATCCAGTTATCGTTATACCGATTAGTTTAAAGTGACTGCCGACTATCGATCCTAGTATGTTATTTCTCTCATCGATTACTGTAATAGCTGGTTACCGGTTTAATCGTTAATCGGCTAACCGCTTACCACCCCTATTACATATTGATTTATTTTGATTTATAAAAGCCTTAGTTTAGCATTTACTATTCATTAAGAGAGTTTTTTTTAATTTGCATCAACTTCAGTGACATTTTGCTAATGGTACATATTTTGCATAATTTCATTTCTTTTATTTCTATTATCATTTTGTAGACACATATAGGGGTGGTAAACGGTTTCCCGGTTAACGGTATAACCAGTAACCGTACCGATTACCGCCGGTTATCGGTATACCGTTAACCGATTACAACAGTTTCGGACGGCATTCGGGGGTTCTATTGCTTGTTTCGGTATACCGGTAACTGGTGGCGATAACCGCCGTGTTAACCGGATACCGACAGCTACCCGGCAATACCACCACCTGCCCCATTTTCAACCCTCCCCTCCCCTGCTTCTCTTCTGCTCTGTTTGGGAAGGAGGTGCAAGGGAGGGGGGTACAAAATTGGGGGGTAAATTCAATTCCCAATAAATATACACCCATTTGGATACTTTTGAATAGTTAGAGGGGGGAGTATTAGGGGAGCACAAATACTGTTATGGCAAGCCCCCAATTTGGGGTGCAGAAGAAAGAGAAAAACTGAAAATGAAAGAGAAATAGACGTGGGGCCAAGTTGGAGTAAAGAGAATGGGAAATGAGAAAGAAGTGGGGTCAGGGAGTGAAGAAAGAAGAAGCGTTGATAAAAAGGAGGGAGAAGAGAAATGGTGAGGAGGTGGGGCCGGGCAGAGTGGTGAGTGACATTGATTTAATTTTTTTAATATAAATAATAATTATTAAATTAAAATTTGCACCCCCTTACTTTATTTCCCAAACAACAATTTACCCTTCAAATTGCACCTCTTTTAAATTTGCTCCCCCCTATAACTTACCTCTCAATTTGCACCCTCCTCAAATTTGCACCCCCCTTGTTGCCAAACAGAGCGTTCATCTTCTTCCTTGACTCTCACCCTCTCCGCCTGTCCCATTTTCAGTCCTCCCTTCCCCTGCTTCTTTTCACCCTCCCCTCACCATTCTTCTCACCCTCCCCTCACCTCCGCCGCCAACCAATTACTTTCACCTCCGTTCTTGCAAACCCTCCAACCACGTAACCCTTCTTCTCCCACACCCATGGGTCTTGCTGTAGATATGTGGTGGTTATGGATTCAGATCTAAAAGTGAAGGAGAGAAGGGCGAAGGCAAGAAGAAGCCTGCATCTGCTCCGACGGCTGCGGCCGGCGAGGGAGAGGAGAAGGACGACGACCGGAAATGTTGTCTTCATCTACAAGATGACATGCATCGCCTTTCTCCACTCCTCTTCTGCTCTACGACACCATCGCTACACCTCCCTTCACCAATCGTCGCATCCGTCTTCAGAGGCATCTCCCAGCATCATCTTCCTATGGTCATCTGAGTCGTCGTCGCCATCGGCTTCCTGGGCACCATCGTCGTCCCAATCGCCAACATCACCCATCGAATCGACGGCAGTCGAGCCACCATCGAGATTTGATTGGCCATCGACACTGTCGCCCAATCTCTATCACTGCCGCCAACAAGAAAGGGAAAGGTCGAACGGAGAAGTGGGGTTCGCAGCTTAGATGGAGACATGGAGTTTTGAGCGAAGGAGAAGAAGAGGAATCGTGAGAAGAAGAGGAATCGTTTGTGAATTGTGATGGAAAGTTGGGGGTGCTATTTTTATTTTTTTATTTTTATGGGGATGGGGTTCTGTTTGGGAATTGGAAAGAAGTAGTAAAGGAAACCCAAAAGGCAAAAGGTAGATTTAATAATGTATGACCGGCTAACCGGATTTCTAACCGATAACCGGTTGTTCGGTTAGCCGGTTAACCGGTTTAATTTCGGTACGGTATTCGACAGTGATTTGGAGGAAAACGGTATACCGATAACCGGTAAGTCGGTAACCGGTTAACCGGTAACCGACCGATTACCACCCCTAGACACATATTTGCCTTTTTTTCACTAAAGCACATATTTGCTTGATTTTCATTTCTTTTGTCATTTTTTCTTTCATTTGGAATGGACACATCATACATATTTCTCTTTTTCTTTTAATCACATATATCACATATATGAGAACCATTTAGTAACTTTTTTTTATTTTATCTTCTTGTTTGCTATCCTAAAATCTACATCTTTGTCTATATTTGATTTTGTCGCTGATTCATCTCTTTTTCGATTAAGTTCAAATATAAAGACAACAGGAAATTTTCTTATTCTCCATGGAAAACATAAGTGTCATTTGACCAACGACACAAGATGCTACGTACTTCCTTCATTTTCCTCTCATTTCATTAAATTTTTATGACTTTCTTTTTATATCCTTTTATTTTTTGTGACAAAAATAATTTCAGTGTTCGTATTTGGTTTTGCCCCTTTATTTGTCTCTTAAACGATTTGCTAGATCCGAGTACACCCGAAAGGTGGGAGAACGGAGTCACGATAGTAGTACTCATTGAGGAACTAGAGAATCACACTAATAAAGTCTCAACAATTCAAATCAAGTTCCACAACCAAAAAGGATTTCAAGCTTACTTTTTTGTTTGTTGTTCCCCAATCTATACCTATTCATTGGTCATCAAGTTCATTTTTATTGTTTGCTTAAATTTATTTTAAAATGAGATTTCTCAATCTTATTCAGTTGCTTAGATGTTCCTATTCCTGGAATCTCTTAACATGATTGATTTTATTGTCAATGACTCTTTTTCATCAAATGAGAGTTAGGCCTGTAGTTTTTTGAAGTTGTGTTCCTTAAGTATTAGTTTATTACCTCTTACAATCACATGTAACCTTTCACATCGCTCGCTTGATGCGAAACGCAGTGAGCGGGCTTCTCTAGTTGTTCATAAAAATAGGAGAAAAGGATATATATATATATATATATATATATATATATATAGAGAGAGAGAGAGAGAGAGAGAGAGAGAGAGAACAAGAGATAGATAAATCTGAAAAATATATTTTCAGGGGACATGCCCAGCCATATTAGTCTCAACTCCTTTAAGGATTCCGGAGCAAGAGCAGTGGTCAGCGTTGCAGTTAGCAATAAGGGTGTCATCGGCGCAAGTGTAGACTTCAAGACAATGTGCAGTTGTTTTGCACGGCCAAACAGTGTCGGCGTCCTCCACGACCGGCGGTGGCCACAATAGCATCATGCCTGAAAATAAAAGCCACGTACGTCGTAATTAAAGTTTTTTTGTACATCACATCCACAAACTGACTAATTTATTAAAATTTTTAACAAGAAAGGTATATGCATATTGCCAGAAGAAAAAAAAAAGTTGAAATTTTTTTGAGCAAAGGAATCGCTGGAAATTAAGGAGACATAGAGGTAGGAAAGAAAGGGTGGAGAGCAAAGGGAAATGAAGACTTTTTATCTATAACATAGCAGGGAGAACGGATTGAGGAACGTAAAACTAATACTAAAACATGTTTTTCTCATGTTTTAACTACTCATAAACGGAGATTAGGTGAACTGTAACACCTCAATTTTTGGGTAAGATTCGAACCACAATAAACGCATTAGTCGAATCAATGGTTATATACAAAAAAATTGAATCAGACCGAACAAAGTTGAAGTAGTATGTAATTGATCGGTTGGGTTTCATCTTGGGCTGAGCGTTTTATTTGGCACCAAGCCTCAATGGATCAAGTTAGAGGCTCATCGAAACAAGAGAAGAAAAAGGGTCATGACAATTATATGGTAGCGGTGAGCAACTCTGACCTTATGGATGAATTTAATGAAGCCATTGACAATCTTTCCATTCTTGACCTTCCGCTTGGAGGTAGAAAGTTTACATGGTGCAATGGATTGAATAATGCGTATCTATCCCGGATCGATAGAGCTTTCATATCAAAAGATTTCGACATGAGGTATCCGGATTGTACTCTTTCAACACGTGATCAGGTTAAATCCGATCACAACCCTTTAACCCTGAAGTGGGAGCTATCTATTCGCATCAAAAGATTGTGGAGATTCGAGAATATGTGGTTAAAGGATGCTAGATTTGCCGAATGTGTTGAAAATTGGAGCAAAGTTCTGGTTTTTGGCAAAGGGGAGGTTTTTTGTGGTCTAGAAGCCTGAGTTTTTTTTTTCAAACGTAATATCAAAATATGAAATCGAGAGGTTTTTGGCAACATTGACACCAAAATTGAGGTCCTTCTGAGCAGCGTTAAAGCTTTAGGCGTTATTGAAGAAGGCAAAGATCTTACGGGTTCGAGAAAGCTGATAGGGATAGACTCAAGCTTAAAATTGAAGGTTGTCCTGAATTTACATGAGATTTCTTGGAGGCGGAAATTCAGGGAGGGTTGGATTAAGGAGGGAGAGAAGAACACTAGTTATTTTCACACATTTGCAAACTATCGAGGAAAACAGAATCTTATTGACAACATCATTATCAATGAACAAGCTGTAGAAGGGAGATTGGAGCTGGGCGAAGGCATTGCTGGTTACTTCAAAGCCATTCTTCTCGAGAATTGCATTAAGAGACCCTTTCCTAGATTTTACATCAGTAAGAACTTTAGGAAACAAATTGTTTGGCTTTTACTCGACATTTCTTTGAGAAGGAAATTTGGGATGCTATCAGGATGTGTGATGGGTTTAAAGCTCCTGGACCTGACGGGTTTACTCTCGACTGCGATAAGAAATGTTAGCCCTTCATTAAAGATCATGAGATAAGAGCTTTCACTGATTTTCATAGCACTGGGTACTTACCGGATTCTATCATGCATTCCTTCGATTGCCTTATTCCAAAAGAGGATGTTGTTGAGAGTATCAAAGACATGCGGCCCATTTGCTTACTGAGCAGCTTTAATAAGACAGTGACCAAGGTTCTAACTAGATTTAATGGTGAACGAGTTCAGTTCACCTGGGAGGAGTTCCTGAAGGCCTTTAAGACAGATTTTCTTCCCGAAGCTTTTATCAGAGCAAAGAACAATGACTTCGCCAACCTTAAGCAGGAGAATGTGACAGTTACTAAGTACACCATCAAGTTTGTTCGACTACTTTACTTTGAAGATGGGTTGGCGGATACAGAGCATAAGAAGAAGATGAGATACTTGCATGGTCTGCGCCTAGGATTGAAAGAAAAGATCCACAGGGTTGATGAAGAGAGCATGGCCACTATTAAGGAGGCAGCACTTAAGTATGAAGCCGATGAAGTTGAGGGTAGAGAGGAAAACAAGGCCAAAGAAGAGGAGAAGAAGAGGAAGTTTGGAGTGAGTTATGCTGGACCTCGTTACCCACCCAGGGGAGGTCATAGCAGTTTTGGGAGAACACCAAGTCAATCTATGTCGGGAACATCATACAGGGCACCAATTTCCTCAGCCACACAATTTTCATTTTTTCAAGTTTGTCAGAAGATGCATCTTGGAGAGTGTAGGAGATTTTCTGGTGTATGCTTTCACTGTGGCCAACCTGGGCACATCATGAGGGACTATCCGCCTTCGAGAGAAGTAAGAGCTACACAGTCCGAGCCTTTAGTGCAATTTAGTAGAGCCCCATTCAGGGATGGTTACCAGGGAGGCCGTAGTGGATTTCAGAGTGGTCGTGGTGGTAGAGATGGTGGTCGAAATCAGCCATCAGGAAGTGGTACACAGGGTACTAGAGCATAGGGAGCACCGAGGGTTTATGCAATGACTCGAGGTGAGGCAAAAGTGGCACCAGAAGTTGTGACTGGTATGCTTTCTATCCTTGGCAAGCAATTATATTCTTTGATCGATACTAGTTTCTCTCACTCATTCATGTCATATACGTTTGCACATATGCTACGCTTAGTTCCAGATAAGCTAGGTTATAACTTATGTGTTAAAACACCTGTGGGAGATACCTTGAAGGTAGACTCAGTTATTAGAAGTTCCTTCATTTGTGTGGAAGGAGCTTTCCTAGCAGCAGATTTAATTCTGCTACCTTTTGATGCATTTGATGTCATCTTTGGAATGGACTTTCTGGTAACACATGGAGCTATTGTGGATTGTCAAAAGAAAGAAGTGTTATTCAACACACCAGATAAAAGTTCTGTTGTATTCCGAGGCATTAAGAAAAAAGAGACTCATGGTTTTCTTTCTTCCTTGGAAGCTTTTCGATTAGTGAAGGAAGGTTGTGAAGCCTTTCTTGCTCAAGTTACTGTTGTAAATGATAAGAAAGTTGAGGATGTAGAGGTGTTAAGGGAGTTTCCTGATGTATTCCCCGAAGAACTTCCCGGCCTTCCACCAGAAAGGGAAGTAGAGTTTGATATTGAATTGTTACCTGGCACAACACCAATTTCAATGGCACCATATAGAATGGCACCAATTGAGCTGAAGGAGCTTAAAGAACAATTGCAAGAATTGCTAGACAAGGGGTTTATTCGACCTAGCATCTCACCTTGGAGTGCACCGGTTTTGTTTGTTAAGAAGAAAGATGGCTCCATGAGAATGTGCATTGACTACCGGAGGCTGAATAAAGCAATAGTGAAGAATCGTTATCCCCCCCCCCTCCCCCCCCACACACACACAAAGAATAGATGACTTGTTTGATCAATTGCAGGGTACATCAGTCTTTTCTAAGATTGATTTGAGGTCTGGATACCATCAATTGAAAGTGGCAGATGGAGCAACCTCAAAGACAGCTTTTAGAACAAGATATGGGCATTATGAGTTCCTGGTAATGCCTTTTGGACTCACTAATGCACCAGCAGTATTTATGGCTCTTATAGATAGAGTTTTCCATGAATATCTTGATAAGTTTGTGATTGTGTTCATAGACGATATTTCCATCTATTCTAAAAGCAAAGAGGAACACAAAAATCACCTTAGAATTGTATTGAAAATTCTAAGGGAGAAACAATTTTATGCAAAATTCTCAAAATGTGAATTTTGGCTGAAGGAGGTAATATTTTTGGGACATGTACTTTCTGGAAGAGGGGTGGAGGTGGATCCGAAAAAGGTGGAAGCAGTGGTGAGTTGGACTCCACCAAAAGATGTGTTTGAGTTGAGAAGTTTTCTTGGCATGGCGGGTTACTATCGGTGGTTCGTAGAAGGATTTTCCAAAATTGCTGCACCATTGACTAAACTGTTGAGGAAGAATACCAAGTATGTTTGGGATGAATCATGTCAAAAGAGTTTTGATGAACTGAAGAAGAGATTGACCACAGCACCAGTACTTGCACTACCTTCAAGTCAGGGAGAGTTTGTGGTGTATAGTGATGCCTCGTATCAAGGATTGGGCTGTGTGTCAATGCAAGATGGAAGAGTTATTGCATATGCCTCTAGGCAATTGCGTCCTCATGAAGTAAATTATCCCACTCATGATTTGGAGTTGGCAGCGGTGGTGGTATTTGCTCTCAAGATTTGGCGACATTATTTGTATGGTGAGACTTTTAAAATCCTCATTGATCATAAAAGCCTGAAGTATATTATGGATCAGAAGGATTTAAATAGTCGCCAAAGGAGATGGATTGAACTTCTGAAAGATTATGATTGTACCATTGATTACCATCCAGGTAAAGCTAATGTAGTTGCTGATGCTCTGAGCAGAAAAGGCAAGAAGAATATAACGGATCTGGTTGATTTGAGGGCAATGAATGTTGATTTGGAAGTGGATGGTGTAACAGGGTTACTAGCTCGGTTGAACATTCGACCTTTGTTGCACGACAAAATTCGTGAGAAGCATAAGGAGGACTCAGAGTTGGTAAAAATCATTCAAGACATTGAGTAAGGAAAAGAAAGCCCATTTGAAATGGTAGATGGCATGTTGAAGATGAATGGAAGAGCATGTGTTCCTAATGTTGATAACTTGAGGAAAGAGATCCTAGATGAAGCTCATTCTTCTGCTTATGCTATGAACCCAGGAGCAACTAAAATGTATCACACGATCAAACCATATTTTTGGTGGCGTGGGATGAAAAAGGAAGCGGCTGAACATGTTTCACATGTCTAGTATGTCAGAAAGTTAAGGCAGAACATCAAGCTCCTGTGGGAAAACTGCAACCACTTCCAATTCCAGAATGAAAGTGGGAAAGAATCACAATGGATTTTGTATATGGTCTCCCATCATCAAGGGGAAAAGATGCAGTATGGGTTATTGTAGATTGACTGACCAAATCGGCTCACTTTTTACCCATTAGATGGAAACCATCACTGGAGACTTTGTCTCAACTATATATTAAGGAGATCGTCAGATTGCATGGTGTGCCAATTTCTATTGTCTCTAATCAAGACCTGAGCTTCACATCTCGTTTTTGGCAAAGTTTACATGATGCCTTGGGAACTAAATTACATTTTACTTCAGCTTATCATCCTTAAACAGATGGGCAGAGTGAACGAACCATCCTAACTTTGGAGGAATTACTTCGATCATGTGTAATGCAATGGGAGGAATCATGGACTGACCATTTGCCCCT